TTTTTTCACAAAGGTGAGATGGTTTTCCATGATATGGGCCCTTTAAATATGTATGGTAGATAAGAGCTAATTAGATGTACTAGCAGTAATTGCACTAAATTTACTAGCTCTCCAATTAGCCAATTCTGCTCTGCGCTGAAATCTACTGAACACGGAAATAACGCTGTGCAAATTAGTCTATCAGTGAACGCATCTTAAAACACTTTAATGCTATATAAAACACAGTTACTAACTTGTTTAACCTTTGCTAACAATGAAGCATTGAATCCTTGTCTATTATCACTCTCAACCTTTTTCACATGGTCTCTTGTCATTGCCCTCTTTCTCTTTCTTTCTCTCTCTCTCTCTCTCTCTCTCTCTTTGTAAATCTCATGGATTTTCTCCTCATTATGCAGCTCTAAGCTTTCGCGGGTCACTATGGACTAGCTGTGCTCTCCTGACAGTTTGCTGCTGATGAGTTCTAGTAATACAAAGACTGTTCAGTTGCCTCCTGCTCTGTTGCAATATAATTGGGCAGCAATATATGCTGTAATACATATCTATACATATGGGTACCTTGTTTTTCTTCCATTTGATTCAGAATTAATGGTAGCCTAAAAGAGAAAGATGAGTTGCTTGGGGTGAGTATTTATTTATTCATTGTAACTTTCAGACTGATGACTGAATTTGAATGTTGGAGCCTGTTGCTGTGCCCGTTGGGTGAATCTTGGTTGTTCATCTGTGGATTGGCAATATTGATAAAATTCAGCAGCAAGAGTACTGCTACTCAGTGGTAAAGGAATGCTATACAAACCTGACAGAGTTCGTTTTGATTTGATTCTTTTGTTTAGGGATGTAGCGATATGGGAATTGTGGGCTGATGCTGTTATCTGCTATGCGAATTCATGTACATATCTCCAGTGCTGATGCTGATGCCAAGACATAAATGTTTATAATATGCAGAAACAGGGACTAGATCCACCTGTATTAATACTTTAAACTCTTAAAAAAAGATTCTTCAAGGATTCTTTGGTAAAGAAAATGGTTCTATAAAGAACCATGAAGACTTAAAGAACGCTTTGCATGATGAAAGGGTTCTTTGCATCATGAAAGTGTTTTCCAGTTTGATGGAGAATGTGTTGTATATGGTTCTAAATACAACCTTTTTTGTAAGGGGTTCTATACAACACCAAAAAGGGTACTTCTATTTTTACAAGCTTGACATCTTTACATTAGAAAAACCCTTTCTGGTGCTATGTGTAAAAAGGGTTCTTTCATTGTTTACGGTTTATATAGAACCATTTTCTTTACTAAAGAACCCTTGAAGTACTGTTTTTTAAGAGTGTAGAGAAACAACATTTATTTCTGTATATTTAGGGAATTAGAGAACAGTATTGTAAACATTAACCAGATTAAAAAAATACAGAAAGGAAACTTACTGTTTGTGTAGTTTTAATGTATTTTGAACTGTTTGCTCAAAACATTCTGAAGCACCCAGTGATATTCAGTGCCGTGCCAAAGTCATAGCCCACCCTTTCATTTATTACATTTCCAGTGAAACTGGCTATTAAGTAATTTCAGCAGATAGTTCTGAGGAGGTGAGGCATACTTCAACTTGCATAAGGAAAGGAGGAATCAAACGAGAATAAGTGAAAAAAACAGACATTTCCAAAATTAGTTGAAAAAATCTTAAAAGATTAGAGAAAGTGGGCCTCTTAACAACCACGTATGACCTGAAAGACCACAATAACTGTCACAATCAGATAAACAGTACCTAAAACTTTCATCTTTGAGAGATAACAGAAAATTTAGCTCCACTCTTGCTTCAAATCTAAAAAAAAAAAACGCAAGTGTTTCTGTCCATATTTACACTGTGAGAAGACAGCTTAATGCTGTGGGTCTGAAAGGATGTGTAACTGTCAACAAGCCCTTACTGAGGAAAAGAAAAAAAGAAGAAAATTTGGATCAAACAAAAAAAAGCTGCTGGTTTTCTTAGAACAAAGGACTGGCCACCCCAGAGTCCAGACTTCAACATCACTGATTGTGTTTGGAATTACTAACCAAGCAGTTGGTTGCAAGTGTAGTAAGATGCACACTTTGTATGGCAACCTATCATTGCTGTCTGCTTCTCTATAACTTGTAAGTTTTACTCCTCATGAGTCATGAGATGTCAGCTGGTTCCCTGATTGCATCATTTATGGCTGGAGTTGTGTACTGAAGCATTTTCAGATTCTTATATTTTGGAAGGCTATGAATTATTGACTAATCATCCACTGCTATGCACTAATTCTGCAGTTTGATTGCTAACTCTCATTTGATCAGCACCATTAAAATACTTTTCTGTGAACTTTATATGCTGTCTTTTCTGTGACATAATGTGGTTATGACAGAAGTTAGCGTCTATTCAATCTAAACTTCTATTATTTCTTGCAACTGTGCTCTTTCCTTAAAATAGATTAGCTCTAGATTTGTTGACTATATAATGAACATTTCTTCCTCTACTACTAGGATATCAAAGAGAGAAAGTGCCTTCCACTGATACATGTTTAATGAAAAGACAAATAGATATAAATTAAATACCAGACTCATAGAACTCTTCAGAACTTGGCTGTTAAAATGTTCTGCACTGTGATAAAGCTTTTGACACATTTTGCTGGATACTTCCATTATTTCCTGTAACATGATATTTCCTATGAAGTAGACAAATGATTGAATGACTCATTGCGCGATTCAAAAGGCTGATAATAGATTGTGGAGGCACTCTGGATGAGCATAGCAGGCTGTTTGTGCAAGGCTCCTTAAACTCTTAATCATCTCTCACTGTGCTTTATTGGAAAGCTCTTGCCATTAATGCATGAAGACCCTGGGCGCCTCTTGTTTAAGTCAGTCTGCTCAACCTGGCATATGTAATGTGCACCTGGAGGCAGCTTGGGATTGTGATGGAAGCTTTCAGCACATAATAGCTTATTTGCATTTTTTTCTAAATGTCTGTTTTCTAAATGAGTATATTAGTGAAAACGTATCCCGTTAAGTCCAGACGTCACGTATTTATTCATCTAGTTACTTTAATACTCGTCTGCACATGCCTTGTGTGCATATATACTATTAATATAGTATAATATTAGTTATTAGTCATTGTGTGTGGCTATGGGATTTGGCCAGTGATGACCTGAATGGATTTTAGGTCATTTATTTACATTCAGATGCTGAAGTTTAGGTGCCTCTGGTTAAATTACATATTTTGTTGATTTTCAATACTGAAATTAATCCTACAAGGGAAATTTGTCATTTTCCCTAAGTTCACCCAGTCTGGGAGCAACTACGGATGGGTAGTATTGCGATATTCTATCATTATTATGATAAATTATGTCACAGTATGCTTTAAGAGCATATCATGGATTTTTCCAACGTAAAGAACTCTGACCAACGTCATTACATCTAATGATAGCGTCATTAGTCCTGTTTAATTGGATCTATTGCAGTTCCTTATGTGAAACGTTGAATAAAAAACATTGAATTATTAGTTTCTGATAGTATTTGCCTAACTGGTTCTTTATTAACTGTTCCAACCTATCAAACCTTATAGAAACATGCTGTGATGAATATAATTTGTTGTGAAAATGTCTTTTAAATATCGTGTTATTGTGTTTTGGTCATATCGCCCGCCATATAGCAACACATCGTTCCCAGGAGAGCAGTGCCACCTGGGATAGTGGGAGGCACAAGGGCACAACCATATACACAAATGTATGTCCAGTCAATCCTGGGATTTCACCTTTCAACCTCTTCCACCACTAGTTTATTTATTTGCTGAATTTAACATATTGGACAATAAAACATGGTTGTGATTAAAATAAGTGAAATGTGGCCTGTGCAAAATTTTTTTGTTGATTTTTTTTCCCAATGTGTTAAAATTTCACATTTAGGTTTGTTCCCAGTAGAGAATTCTCAATTTAAAAATCAATATAATTTGACCTGGGATGTTCAAACATTTGTATATGGCGGTACAACGAATCTTGTTTTTTCTTAAATGTCAAAAATATAATAATAAACATACTGTTTGCCAAATTTGTATTTAATTGGTAGGCATTAAAGCCATGGTTAGAGGTGTCCAACACAGTTCCCCTACTCAAACACACCTAATGAACTTGGCAATTAACAGATGAGTTAAATCAGGTGTGTTTGAGCAGGGAAATTGCCAGCCTGTGCTGGACACAGACCTTCCAAGACGGCATTTGGATACCCCTGGTGTATCACCACGAAGACACATTCTGATTAGACTTTTTGTATGTTGGCTCTGTCCAGCTTGCTTGTTTTTTTTTGTATGTCAATAGACCCCATTAGTCGCTTATGTTTAGTGTTAAAGGAATATTCCTGTTATATTTCTGATATATTTCTGCTAGGTAGAATGAATATTTTGAATGGTGAAATTAGCATTTTTGAAGAAGCAGTTGCTTCTGAGAGATGGCTCACTTCCCACTGAGATATGAACGGAGAGAAAATGAAAGAGAGAGAGAGTGTGAGTGAGAGAGAGAGCGAGATATACTCCCACACCTTTGCAATTGCTGTATGCTGGCATCTGTACTGGGAGCTTCTGCAGTGATAGCTTTAGAAGAAGAGAGCAGACACTCAGGCTGGTGCTTATTGGAATTTTTCACACCTTTCTACAGAAATCTCTCTCCTTTTGCCTGTAACATTTGGCTCAGCAGGAAACCAGAATTATTCAGAAATTATTCAGCTTTTGAGAAGGATCGGCCATCATCTCTGATACTAAAGGACACGCTGTACTATTGTGGTTAACTAATTTTTAAAAGGTGGAGTTTTTCTAGCATCTTCATCTGTTCAAAGGGAAAAGATTCTGTGTTTTCCCTCTCATACCTGTTGCAAGCTCTGGCGCCAGCTGAAGCCTTCGGATGGGGAGCGTGACAAGCTGAACTGATTCTACAGCTAAACTTCATGGCTGTTCACAGCTGATTTACGCCTTTCCCTCTTTGCTGCCTTTCTCTCACCATGTTTGCTAGGATCTTCATCCCCAAGAAGCACCGGCAGCGCTTTGATGAGGCTATCTCCCAGAGTCTCATTAACCGAGTGTGCCGGAGCAGGAGTCTGAACGAACCAGGCCAGAGCCGCCTGCGCCGCAGCCGTAGCCAGGACCACCACGAGCGGGCGCAGAGCTCCAAACGGGCTAGTTCCGTCCCTCGGGACAGTGGGGAGGACCAGGAACGAGTGCAGAGGAAAAGCACCTCCGGAATCCCCAGTATCCCTCCGACCGGACCCAACCAAAGGTATTTATATGTATATATACACACACATGATTAAACTGCCTCATACTGCAATTGTGATACACTTTACAAAATATTAAAAATGCATTTAATAAATTAATAATAGTGTGATTTATCTAAACATCCACATAAACACTCGTGTGTCACTGTGATCAACAAGGGTACTCACTGAACACAGGAAAAAATGTGGTTAGAGGGCTCCTGAGATTTCAGTACTATAAAAAGAGTATTATGATATTGTGTTAAACAAAATATATATCTGCATATATATGCATCTCTTCAAACACACACACTAGATATATATATACATGTGTGTTTGTAGAGATGCACAATATATTTTTTGTTTACATAATATATATATATATATATATATATATATATGTGTGTGTGTGTGTGTGTGTGTGTGTGTGTATGTGTGTGTATATATATATATATATATATATATATATATATATATATATATATATATAAATATAAATATAAATACATATATTTATAAAACATGATAAATCAGACTAGGCTGGACAGTGCTTGTGAGAGAATTATGGGTAAAGCAAAATAAGGAGGTTGTTGAATTACTGAAGATAATGAAGACATTCTGATGAAGCTTGTTTAGTCACATATCTGTGACAAAATTCACTGCTTTTTTATTGGAAAAACATCGCAATTGAGACATGTAATTAGCTGAACAAAACAATGTAATTAATCACAAATAAATAATTTAGTCATTTGACAGCCCCCCCAGATGCTTTGCATATATATTTACATACATATATACATACCTTACATATAAATGCATACCTAACCACATACCCTGACAAAATGGTGAGAGCATAGTAGTGAAAGTATTATTACACATCTTGCACTAGACTATGTGTTACTGTTTGGATCCACTTTACCTTGAAATCACACTACTGTGGCTGCCTGTGTGTTTTTCTCTTTGACACTAATTTGGCTCTTTTGGTTTAAGAAGCTATTCAGAATGAAACACATGGGGCTGAATAGGTTGTGCTGTACTTTCACATTGTTTTTCTGAAACATAACAACATTAAAAGTGCTTCATTTTTATGTGAGATAGTATACTGTATGAGGCTGCAATCGGTCTTTTCATGAAAACATCTATGTTGTCGCCTCACAGTGTGTAGAGCATTGAACATGCGTCATGTGTAGGAGGGTGTGTGTGTGGGTGGGAGAAGCACTGTTGACATATGTCTCTTTCAGTACTTCACACTCTCTAGGTGGAATGAAGCTCAGAGGAATGCATTTGATTGTTCAGTATTTACACACATTTACACTTAAAAAACGTCATGTTTCACGTGGTCCTCACCTCTGTTGTACCGTCCAACTGAGCATTTTACAATACAGCATACATAATCATCTAAGAGCTTCATAAAATAGCAAGTGACAGCTCACAGAATTAAAGCGGAGATTACAGATTACTCCTGCACTCTACATAACATCACATGATGCTGCTTAACGATGCCTTAGTTGAAGCCACAGCACTGCAGAACCTCATGTACTGTAACATCTGCGATGTACCTGTGATCAGTCACACATAGTGTGAATAACTGACCTTCAGGTTGTTTACTTTTATTTAACTCGGTGTTATTACAGTCCAATCTCAGTGATTCCTAGTGAATTTTTTAAAGCTTATTAAATTTTGATTATAAATTGTTTTTAGGCAAAAAAATTATTTATAGCAATTTTTTGTTCTGTTTGCTTTATTTATTTATTTTTTTTTAGGAATTTAATAGGAATAAAACTACTACCTGCAGATTAAGCCATAGTTAGTTCAAAGTCATGGTTCTCTCCTGTCCTAATGTACTTTTATTTATATTTGTTCTAAGGTTTCTCATGACCATAAATGTATATGTTCTTAATAGTTAAAGGTTGTAGACATTGACAGACAATGAAATCTGATTTTTCTCCACATGTAGATCATTTTACATGATGTCAGGATGGCTTTATATGCGTGTTCTGTTGCAGCACTTCAGGAGCTATTGTTTCCTTTCCTTGCTGCTTATGTAATCTCTATACTGGAGTCTGCTGCGTATCACGTACCATTGATTGCCTTCCACCCTTTAGCCTAATCTATAAATCTACATTTGGCTGAAGTAGTCCGCCTTATATAAATGGTATGGGATACTCGGCAAACGTGCTGCTTTTTCCTATTGCTGTTTACTCAACGTCTTCAGTGTCTTCTCGAGGAGTTGCCACAGCAACGGAGCAGCACGCTCTTTGATGTAGAAATGTCAAATGTTCTCAGTAAGAAGCAGACAAATCATCTGCTCTTAAATGGCTCTCGCTGCGTTTGCTAGTGCATTGCCATCTACTTTTTTCTATTTATTGCTTTGCATGGTGTGTAAGCAGCAACCAGAAATAGAATCTGGAATAAATCTGTTTGCCGCTTCAGGACGGAGAGCATTTAGTGTACGCTATTCCGTTTGTGGAGATCTGAATGGAAGCATAACAGCTTCAGTCTGCAAATCTGTTAGCCTTTTTGACTGTTTTTCACACGATACGTATCTGATGTTCTCTTTGAAGTGTGTGGTAGAATAGGAACCTTTTAGTTCAGATTTGGGCTACTTTCATGTAAATTTCATGAAATTATTACAACCCAGTTGCTTGTTTAAATGAATGAAATAAATCTGATCTGATTATTATACAGTACTTCGCAAAAGTCAGAGACCATCCTTCATTTATTTAATTTCTAGTCAAAATGGAAATCATTTATTGGACAAGAAAGAAGCAGAAAAGATTCATATTTTCATTACTTTTTGTGTTTGCTATTTGCCTTCCATTCTTTATGGGAGACTTGCTTTCAGTTTTTCAAAGAAATCTGCAAGGATATTTTTCCACACTTCCAAAGCTCAGTCTTAGAAGTTGGTTGCATTTCCTGTTTCTTGCAGTCCAGGTATTCCCAAACACATTTAATGATGTTGAGGTCTGGGCTCAGTCCATTGTTCTGAGAACACTAGCAGCTTCTTTGTTTGATTTTTGTTTGATTCTTTTTCGTCTATCTCCTGTTCTCAGTAACGGCTTCTTGACAGCTACACATCCTTTCATAGTGTGCAGTTGTCTTCTTACAGTGGAAGGATGGAGAGAAACACCTTTTTTCAGATCTGTAGCAAGAGTGGAGTTTGATTTTCTCAAAGCTGGATGCTGCTGTACTGAAAGCTGAAGTATTGTTTATCTGATGGTAACAGTTTTGAAAGTCTGCCAGGTCTTGCACAGTTGTTCAGAGTCACATTTTCTCTATATTTTTTAAGATATATATTTTTTGAGCTCCAGTTTGTTTTTTTTACTTTCGACTTCCCCATGCCTTATGCAAACTGATTATCTTATATCTGATCTCCTCAGAAATATTTTCGCCAAAATTAATAATTTGTACTTGGAAACTAAATAAATGAGGGGTGGTCTCTGACTTTTGCACAGCGCTGCATGTAGTTTGCCGAATTATATTACCTAACGCAGTGGCTAAAATTGTTAAAGACCTGGTCACCTCATCAAGTGTTTATGAGATGATATATAAATTTCTTCCAAATGACCAACAAAATCACAATTTTCACTGTTCTAGTTGTTTTGTTGAAATAGTGTTGAAAATGTTTTGGAAGCACCAACTATCATCAGCACCAATACCTTTAGTTTCCACATTATAGCGCATCGATGTGAACATAACCTTTCACTGTGACTTTCCACCGTTAATTATACGCTTTTATCTGAATAATTAAAACCTGAAATGTCATAATGATTATCAGGATTAATACTGTGGTATATCATTAAAACAAGTAAGTGTGTCATCCCTACAAGCATCTAAGCAGTATTGCCTCAAACATAGTAAATTTATGAACCTTCATAGTGGCTTTCCCCATTTTTTAGGATCATCCGTGTATACAGAGGAAAAAAGAGCTTCGGGTTCACTCTGAGAGGCCATGCTCCTGTTTGGATTGATTCTGTCATTCCAGGTATGTATGTTGTCTATCCATCACAACAGTGTTCTTATGTTTTAAACTAGACTACTATTAGAAAGAAAACAACAAAGGGTCTTAAGGTGAATACAAGCGGATAGGGATGCATAGCCGGAATCAGACAGGATTGGAATTGACTAAAATTTGCTCCTACACGTGACGGTGATCAGCCTATTTATTTTTGTTTTGGCCAATCTGTCTAACAATTTTATGATATAAATGATGTTAAGTACACATGCTTTGTTTGACTGCTGTTTCTAAACCTTGGCAAAAATCTTGCCTATTACTTTAAAAAATGACTGTAGTAACAGCCAAAAACATCAGCCTTTGGCCATAAAAAATATGATCTGTATACCCCTACAAGCAGACTGTACATTATACAAAATACAAAAAAACAACAGTATCTACAGAATGTCCTGTGCACAAATTCTCTGTCATGTCACTACAATGTTCATTCTTTAATGTGTACCATTGTGGCGAAAGCCTGAAAGATGTGGAACAATACTGAAAGAGAATGGAGTGGGTCGTGGTGTTGCTAAGGCCAGTGTTGGGTACATTCTGTATGGAAGTGTGGATGATTGTGTGTGTGGGGCTGGAGAGGGGGAGGTGAGTGTGTGAGTGTGTGAGTGTGTGTATGACGATATTCGCCCACTTCAGGCCTGGGCAGAGGCTAGTTAGCACTGACTCAGCCGGGCCATGTGGGGCTGCTTATGGAAATATGGTAGGCGTCCAATATCGTGATAAAGAAACCGAATACAAACCCTCAGATCCAAGACTGAGGAGTCTTCATTTGTTATTTGTGTATTTCTGTCTGTCAACAAGATAACAGAGTGGAGCAGATTTACTAACGTTTTGCACCGTCTTAAACTCCAAAAGCGGCTGTCACAATTCTGTAAACAGTGCTCATACACTTTTATTTATTTTTCATGGGAAGTAAAACACTTGCCACTCCATGGGAAAAAAACACCTACCTGCATGGCGCATTATTCTTAATTTGATGAAGGAAATAAAAACCAAACTTAATTGTTTTAGAAAGACAATTCTGTAAACTTCTATTTGTTAATATTTAGAGTTTATTTCACAGAACTATCCAAGAGCAGGTTTTGTCTAATTAATGATCTGAAAGTTTTCTTGTCCAAACTATTGTTAAAACACATATTGGAAATCTTTCACTCTGCAGTTCCTGCATTAAAGCTACACCTTTGTTACTCCTGTGTGCTGTGGCTTCTGTGCGCTGTGGTTTATGTGTGCATGTGGCAGAAATGTCCATTCTTTGATATACTGCACGTAAGAGTTCGTGTAACAATTATCATACAGTTCCCAAAGAGCCAGAGAGCTGTCAGTGTAATTAATCGTAGATTTTACAATATAACATGGTTTTCAAATACATTAGGCACAGAAATCATCACAACAGCACAAAATGAATGTATTTCAAAGCACAATGTAAAAAATAATTACTTAATTTCCTTAAATGTTTAACAATGTAGTGTCCTATTTTCACAAATATATATATTATTATACTAATAATATCTTCACACACTTTCTCGTTAAGTAATAGTATTTTTTTTTTTTTATTAGACAAAATATTGAGAAAGTAAGTAATTATTTTCTAATGAGTCAGAGTTTGAACCTGAAACAAAGAGGGATTAAAAACTTTTTTCTCTTGTCTGGAGGAAACATGCTTTCATACAAAAACACATGGTTACATTGTGCTGCTCGTTTGTTCTTCATTTGCATGGAAGTTCTGCCCCTATGTATACAAGTGGAGCACAGCACAGGACAGTGAGCAACACAATGATATATTATTGTTTTCGTGATAAATTGCATCACAATACGCTTTTCTGAGGATATCATGTGCATTGCCATCACTTCTCGAGAACTGAGCAACTGCATGTATCATAAGACAGACTTAGACCAATTGGAGCCTGTAAACAAGCTGTACAAACTGCATAGTAAAAAGGAGCTAATGTCAGGGCATAATGGCATCATCTTATTATTTTATTTTTAACGATTTTTCGTCCTATTCTTTCTTCAGTAGTTTATCGTTGCAAATGTTGAATAAATGTCAGTTTTTTTAACATGCTGCTCTGTTGTGCTCATTCCACCTTGTTTACAAAGCTCAGAACAACTAAATATCATAATACATACTGTGTATTGTGAAACATGCAGTTTCATGATTTGAAATTTGAAATTGTATTTATTACCCTTACAGCAGGGCTGGACTGGGAAGTAAATTCAGACTTAATTTCAGCCCCCTACCCCCCATCATGACCCCCCCCCAAAACCATGACTAAGCCTGCTATCAAAGTTACGAGCGAAGGCATATTTTTGAACAACAGTAAACACAGATTATCTCTTGTAAATACATAGGCGTGAACACGTCAAATACGCTGTAGCTAGACTAAGAAGTGGAGTGACTGCTAGTTGGTTAATTAGCCATCTGTAGCCTTAGTGTACAAGTAGACGACCATGCATTTCACTCTCTCAGTTGCCCACAAATAGCGCCCCACTGGAAATTGTCTTGGTCCTATCAATGGCCAATCCATTCGTACCTTACAGGGCAGTTTGATGTTTTCCCAGTTTTGAGATTACTGATTCCACTCTTGTAGGGCTTTGATAATTAGCTGGTGAGTTGAATCAGAGACAGCTGTATACAGTCCTAGGCTCTCCAGGGAAGAAACTTAACATCACTGAATTATGTAAGAATAGCAACAGCTGTTAATATACAGCCCATAATATATGTGTACTCAGATACAGCAGGTTAAGTGTGTTTATATTTCACAGTATGCTGTGCACTCTATGTGCCAGAATAGACACTTTACTCATTATATCTTTTCCCATTCCAGACAGCCCTGCGGAGGAGTGTGGTCTTAAACCAGGAGATCGCATTCTGTTTCTCAATGGCCTGGATATGAGGTGAGTTCCTCAGTGTGTTCCCTCTACACTCTTTTGTCTTGAGCTGTAGTGAAGTCATACTAAAATAGAAGAGCACGAGCTATAGCTCTACAATGCTACATAAAGGGAAATTCCACCATTTTTTATTTCTGCATAATGTAATAGTTGAAATATAAACAAAGTCATTCAGAGTGGTTTAATGTAAAATCACTCTGTGTTCACTGCAAAGAAACGTAATAACTCAGATTTCTTTAAAGTGGTGGTGATAAAAAAAAATAGAGATTGTGAACTCCACAACTCAAATATAGCCATTTTATTCACTATCAAAAATGATCAGTGAATCAACTCATATTTTCTGAGTTTTTATATGTAATGTTAATAATGTTAAAATAGTGGTAAATATGAAAAGTATCTTTTGTCACTATTTTGCCTTACAGTATTGTGTCCCTCTCCACCTTGAATAGATTTTTAAAAAGTACATTTTAAGCCAAAAGTTTATCACAAATCTATCATAAAACATTGTCTCAGGCTGGTTCTCTGGTTCCTATCACCATCACTGTGAACAATTTTGACGCACTACGTTTCTCTAGATCGTAGCATTTCACACCACTCCACCCTGAATGACTTTCTTTACACCTTAACCATTGGATTATACAGAAACAAGTGAGGTCCATCACAAGTGGTATGTAAAGTGACCACTGTTGTTACTTAGCATCTGCTGGTCAGTGGAATGATACACATATGGTGAAACGTGCTGTAATCAGATTTAACAACACAGGAAGGATGCTTTTCAGCCAATCAATCTCTATGGTTGGAACTTCAGTCCTGTTTATACCATTCATCTTGTTTGATTTGATCACAAGTGGACAGTGAGACCTGACATTTCTAATCTGTCTCCAGTGACCAATTATGATTGAATTTTGTGACTGAAGACAGGGTGCTGCACACGTGTACTATGCCAGTCTCTTGCTGTTGTTGTCAGACAAAAATGTGCCATGAGTCCTTGTTTGTGTGCATGAACGGTTACAAATTTTTAGACTGCAAGGACTGCTAACGTATAAAACAGTGATTTTGAAATATGGACCTTGAATCAAGAATCCAGTCCTGGGTTTTGTAATTCCTGACACTAGGGGGTTGATTAAGGTGGTCCTTTGTTGTCAGGGATGCATCAAGATGCCTTAGTGTTCACTCTAGAAATGTTATGTGGTCATATGTATTTATTGTTATTTGATATGCAGTCTTGGCTGCTCAACTGTATATGGGGTAGGTGGAAAATCATGTAAATGAGATTTTTTCCAAACTATTGTACCTTTAAAACATGGCCTTAGAGTGTAGAATCCCTTTATTGGATATTTTCTTTTATTTGCTCTTCAGCATTTTATCAATCTGCTGGAAAATAACCTGTGTTCAGTAATAGTATAAACCTTCTCACCAAATATTGAAAAATTACATTATGTGGTGATTTTGAATTACACATTTGTGCTCCACTTGGCTGAAACGACTGTGTGTGGTTTCCGTCTCATCCTGTGAGTGGCCTGGTGACCAAGCTCGATAATGAGGTACCGTCAGTGCAGGGGTGATATATCTGTGTGTGTATATAATGAATATTTCAGTGATAGAGTACAAATTTCATGAGAATTTGACACACTCCACTGCTGTCCATGGAAACAGCAGAAGTATCACCAGTCCTCTCTTCATAGTGATTTTTCTTTGGAGTATAATCTAATTGTACACTATAAAACAGCTAAAAAAAAGTGCCAATGTATTCAGGACCAATGTGAGCAGAATTAATGCATGCAGTATCTTGCAGCTAAAAATAATTAGGTTTGTTGCCGAGCCACAATTTCGAATGAATAAAACATTGCTATCCATCCATTCATTCATCAGAACATATTACAGTTCCTTTTATTTCTTTTATTACAAGCTGCTAAAGTTGTTACATATTCCCCATAACACTGGCATAAAGACAAAAATTAGGCTACCTGCTATGCACTTACTGTGTGTGTAAGTAATAACCTTAGAGAATAAACATTTAGTAACTCATACTGAGCTACTTTATTCTGTGCAAATAGGAGGGGAATGCACTGTTTGTTATGCAGAAACTGACAGAAACTGACAGATGACGACGTATTGTTATCACGAACATTAGAATAGAACTGAAAACCTGTTGACTGAGAACTCACTCATAATAGAAGCTAATGGGCAGCTAAGTTCTGTGAACCAGCATTTGAAATGCGTGACTAACACAAATTCAAAACTAGTGCTTTTACACTCTAACAATAGAAAGACTGTCTTATCAGAGCTTTTCTTATGAAGTTTTATCATTACAGCAACACTGAAAAAAGTAGTCCGGATACTTTCGCTTTGTCTTTGGTTTTCTGGTGTCCATGGCGATCAAGCAGAGCACTGCCAATACCACAATGCTAGTAATGAATTACTACAAATTTTCCTCTCTGGAAAATTATTCTTATCTCTTAAAGAACGCATTAGACAGATTTACAGGCTAATTTATGAATAATGCACTGTACGCTGCAGACAGAGGAGGTAGGCATGTTGAAAAAAGCTAGAGTATTAAACCGTATTTTGGTGTATGTTTAGGAACTGCTCCCATGAGAAAGTGGTGTCCATGTTGCAAGGCAGCGGTGCCAATCCCACTCTGGTGGTGGAAGAGGGTCCAGCAGTATACCCCTCATCAGACTCTGAGGCAGAGGAGACCCCCCCAATGCCCCGCTCACGCTCCCCTGCTCTCAGCTCTCTGCAGTGGGTTGCAGAAATCCTACCGCCCAGCATTCGCGTACATGGACGCACCTTCAGCCAGCAGCTGGAGCACCTCCTCACCCTGCAGGAGAGATACACCATCTGCAAGGCTCTGGAGACCTTCTTCCAGCATAGGTTACACCAATCATGCTGTCTATTCTCATGCATCACCTGATGTAATACTGCAGACATTCAGACACACTACTCCCACTCTTCTATTTTAAGAATATAGCCATAGGGGACATACCTGTTTAGGGGCATGGCTGAAGTATTGTTTGACTATTAAAAATGTTCCATCAGTATTGACTGCCAATAAACCATTGATAAATATAAGTGGTTTGTTTTCTGTTTCAGTGAACAGATGGCTCTAGTATGAAGACAGTCACTTATGTCAGATAATTTTTTTTTTATTTGATTTGATTGAAGCTTTACAGTGAATACTATGCTACAAGGAGTTGGTTTTAATGTTATGACTGATTGGTATATACTCCATCCACATTATTGAAAAATTTAGAAATTGAGAAAAAATGCATAGTTCAGGTGCAGAAAACATGCAGAAATTGCGTTTTACAGCTATTCTGAAAAGTGGTTAAAATTACTGTCACTGACAAAATTTGAATATTTTTTTCAGATGCTACTTTTTGGAGCATTTATTCAGGAAGGTTTCTGTAGGTTGCTTTGTGGAGAATGTTTGTAAACATTGCCCCAGCAATCTGCATGTCAGCTCAAACATGACAAAATGCATTCTTTGTTTTCTGATCCTGGCATCTAAGAACTCTGTTGAATTAATTTAGTCATTTGTATGTTTATAAAACACCAATTAATGCTTTTCCATACAGCTAAAGGGCAGTAGATATAGACAGCAAATAAATCCTGAAAGCAGAGATAATTAACACTTACTGAGACTAACCATGCTTTCAGCACAAATGTCAGTGCAACGCGTTCCCTCAGCCTGAAACGAGCCTTTAGCTTCACGGCTGTGAAGCCAATGTGCAAAACATTCAAAAATAGCTTCAGCTTCAGGCACAAATAGATGCACATAGACAATATGGATCAATCTGCGTGGGTTCTTTTGGATTTCTTAAATAACTCAGCTACAGTGGAAATGTGCACATAGAGTGCTCTCAAATTGTCTCTAAAATGCTTTCCCCACCTGTCTGGCCCACAGGAATGTGGACACACTCATTGTGGATGTGTTTCCTGTGCTGGACACCCCTGCCAAGCAGCTGATCTGGGAGTTCATATACCAGCTTCTGACCTATGAAGAGCAGGAACGCTGCAAAAGCAAGATCTCACGCTTCCTCGGCTTCAAGGGAGCAGGTGTGCAGATTTCTGCCTGAATTTAATGCAGTCTGTTTGGGTTTGACTCATTATTAGGTGTTTGAGTATTTGTGGCTTAAATTAGTGATGCATATCGAAATCATACCAGAACCAACAGATAATCTTTTTAAAAAAGTTATCAGCATCATACAGACGTTTAAATCTGACCAATATTTCAAACTGATATTTGATGACATATTGATCATACTCCAGAACAGCAGAACATCAGAACATATAGATGATGCTGGGCTAAGACACTAAAATGTGTGTGTGTGGGGGTGTGTGTATGTATATATATATACATATATATATATATATATATATATACTTAAATGCATGGTCAGATAGTATGTGGCTTTTTATACTGTTGCTTGTATATTGTCTGTGTTTATTGTTGTTGCAGAGCCTGAACTTGGGCAAGAAAATCACAGACGAAGCAGCTCCATGAGAGTGAGCGGGACGTCCCACCGAAACAGCATGAGAGAAAGAAGCTCAGATGACTGTATCATTGGCACTCATCTAGGAATGGGTAATTTCATACATTTGATGGCTACTGTAAATACAATATACTGAGGTTATATATATTATATACTGATAATTCATATTAGCATAGTAGCTCCCATTGTTACATGCCCAGGCTTTCATTCTCTAGAATCATTTCTTTGCTCTTATGGAGCCTTAAACAACCAGCCATGCTATGTCTGATGTTTATGGTTCAATAACTCTTCTGCTGTAAGCTGAGGTTGCAAGCACCTTTTTGCTCTGTCTGTTTGGCAGAACACCAACCTCACTGCCACAGTAAATTCCAGTCAGCCATTGTTAGTCCCTCATGATTATATTTTGTTGCTGTCATATCAAAATCTTGTAACTCCATTTTATTTGTTCTTTTTGCTTTATTTGAAAGAGCAGATCATCTTTACATTGTGGATCATGACAAATAAACCAAAATAACTTGAAATAACCATTCCTGTTAGCATTTCAGAGATACAAGGCTTTATTATGACAGCAACAGTATGCTTTGAGGGGGGGTTTCAGCTTGCTTTGAGGTGCTATGTGCTGGACAGTGCTCTTTCCCTGCCTCAGGTACTTTCACTGAGCCTCCAACTCCAGGAGAAAGACAGTGTGGGGATGGGACCTCCTTCCCAGAGTCCCCTGATTTGAAGCATGTGGGTACCATTCAGCACTTGTTTAGCACCTGTTAAACTTTCACCATTGCTTTTTCTCAGTCATGCCATTTGTCATCTAACCACAACAAAAAACCTGTAGATATCAGGAGTGTACACAGAGTTGGAGAGTGCGTATGCGGGGAAGAACATCAAGTCTCTACAGAGTCACTCCTCACCTGGGACTGAGAGCATGGGCCATGCTGAGAGCCATGCACTCACTCGCTCCTTCACACACGCTAACACAGGTACACTCACAATACCATTTGCTCCATCTGAAATCAAACTGCGGGGTCTTTTTTGATGAGGTAATGTACAGTACAAACATAGCCCTACTCAAGCTAGATTAGTTACCAGTGGAGGATCTCTTATATCATTTTTAAGGGATTTGAATAGCTGATTTGTAATTCTAAATATTGTCCCAAATTACAGGTTTACCACCATACTTCACCTTTATGTTCTTTTGTGCTTGGCCTTGTGCATCTTTTATGCCAAAAAAAACATTTTTAGACCCTGATTACTTATGTTTAACAAAACTTATTTGTTTTTGAATGAATCTTGTTGGTAATCACTTATATTACAGAACCTCCCCAGGTAAAACCAATCCAGTTTGAGAAACAGGGCTCATGACTGTGAAAGGACATTACACTGTAACATAATAAGAAAGGTAGCTATGATAAGTAACTTAAGTTCTACAGTTAGATACATATGTGTTTGCTTGACATTAACTAAAGCATTAAGTCATTACTTCTAACTTGTAACTCTATTATCTTGCTTCCTTCAGTTTGATTAATTTGTATTGTTGTCCTTCGTCCTACTTACAGTATGTTGTTCCTTATAGGGACCCGTAAGTCAGGTCTATCTTTGTCCTGGAAGGAGCCCTTCCCCAGCCCTGAGCTTTACCAGCAGACTGTCCCTTCTCCAGGAAGTGTGGACTCCAACCCCTACGTCAGCTTAGACAGTCCTCCTGCCTCCCCTCAGCACTTGGAGGAGGCCCCTAGCCCCCTGTCCCGCCGCAGGAAACTCTTCACTTTCTCCAGACCTCCCCGTAGCCGAGACACAGACAAGTTCTTAGACGCTCTGAGCGAACAGCTTGGCCACCGTGTCACCATTGTGGATGACTTCCTGGGAGGCGAGAACGACTATGAGGAGGTGTGTGTGTGCATGTAATCAGTGATATATTCACTGAGATCAAAACACAGCAGTGCAGGTGGGGCTGGGCAATATCTAAAAAATAATGTCTAAAAATAAAAAACTGGGTTGCATATTGCATTGAAAACCTGATTTTGTCAAAGTTGTGGAGGGGTGGGGGTGTGGCCAAGGCCACCTTTATATTTAGTCTATGTTTCATTACCATCATGCACTCCAAAATCCATCATTTAGAAAAGGTTGATAAAATGACACAAAAAAATGCAATTTTGTTATGCTCACAATGCAGTTCTTTACTCTATTCAAATACAAAGTGGGTAAGCAAAATTGTATGTTTTATTCTCTCCTAAGGTGAGAGTTCTGGTGCTCCACTCATTGTTTAGACACCTTTGCTGATTACATTGCCATGCAATGCCATGTGGGTTCAGTTTCCTCCTTTTCAGTGATGCCCCCTAGCTGCTTGAGTGCTAATAGTTCCCCCTGGTGGCCAGCTCCTTAGCCTGTTAAATGTGAGTGAATGAATTAGTTAGTTAGCTAGTTAATTAGATACAAGTCTGGTCCATGAGTGGTCCATGAGGTACACTGCATTTATAAAACTTATTATTAAAGACTTTATAAAATATATTTTTTGTCGCTATTGAGTAGGCACTAAGAAAGCTCAGATGAACTTTCTAGAGATAGCTCAGATGATTAGAAATCATGAAGTATTTTATTATAAGTAATCTGAACACATTCGGACACTTAAGTTGTGTGGACTATGCGTAGAATTTTTCTCAGACAGGAGGTCACAATCTGGGAAGACTGGAGCAGAAACAATGCAAAATTTGCAGCACTTCAGCCTAATGTCTTATAAATGTCCTGTAACAAATTATTTGTCAGCAATACTGGGAAACAGTAATTAGAATGAAACAGAACAAAACATTACTTTAAAATAAAACATAACACTAAATAAATTTGTAAATCTTATTTAATATTATTTAGCAAACTATTTAAAATGAGGTCTGTGTAGTTCTCCAACAAGGAACAGCACTGGGTTACTCAGTCACTGCTTATATCCAGTTATATCGCTATATTGCCCTGCCCTAAAGTGGAGTATAAAAATGGAAAGTTGTTATAAGTGGTGATATGATTGTTGTGCCTTTGCCAGATGAGTTTCCAGGACGATCAGGAGAACATGTCCCATCAGTTGAGCAGCGCCAGCAGTGAGGATCACAGCAGCGATGACTCAACATCGGTGACCTATTCATCTGGATCAGACCACATCCCACCTCCTCCCCAGAGCCCTCCTCCTCCACCCCCACCACTCCAATTCATTGACCCACCCTCTCCTATCTGCCTCACACCACAGCACCTGCCCCAGCCACCTCCTGCCTTCCAGAACCACCCTATCATCGCCCCTCCACCACCTCCACCCCGCTTCTTCCTGTCCAGCCGGCCATCACTGCACAAGGTACTGCCTACACGTGAGGAGACCAGGTTCCAGCACCCACAGCCCCGGCAGACCTCTCCACAGCCTGCTGCTGTTCAGCCCACCCACCAGCTGGACCATCCCAAAGCCCACCCCATCCTGCAGTCCTCCACACGCACATCCCCTCAGCCTTTACGTGTGTCACCCCGGCCTCCACTGAGGCACCAGGCCCAGTCCATCTACCAGCGCCAGCAGAGCTCCGCCCCCAGGAGCTCACTCATCCAGCCCAAAATCCAAAGCCACTCCCCCCAGCCACCGCATAAGGTCTATGAGAGTACACGCTCCAACAAGATACCACCACCACCACCCCCACCACCTCTGCCCCCACCCTGTGACCCCCCACCGCTCCCCAAACCCAGCCCTCAAGCTTCTGACACCAACCACATGAGTGTTAAGAGACTCCGCTGGGAACAGGTTGAGAATTCTGAAGGCACCATTTGGGGACAGGTTAGTTAGCCTGAGACAGAGACATTCTGAAGTTTGGCATCAATTATTGATGTCAAATTAAAGGAATAGTTCTTTGGCCAAGACATGTTTGGAATTCAAATTTGCTTGTTTAGTGTAAAACTGGTCCTACAAGGCTAAAATAGCCAACAAATGCTAGAGCTCAATAGTCACCCAAATAACCCAAATCATTTTTATAAAAATAAATTCCCAAACCTTCTTTCAAACCACACCACTTCATTAAGGTTGCACAGACTTGCCAGTGTGGTTTAGAGCACAGTATGACTTATTGTGAGCTATAAAAACTTCGCGACAGGCAGCCATTTCAGACAACACCAGAGCTGGTATTCACAAAGCAGGACTGATCTTGCATTGTCACAAAAACTGATCATCACTAGATCATCACTTCTACTCATGAGTTGGTGAATAGAATACAGACCTTGTAGTCTAAAGTGGCTGCTTCCAGTTTTTTTCTGTCATACTGTGTTCTAAACCACATTAAGTTTGCCTGACCTTAATGAAAACATTTTGAAATAGTGTTGGTGATGCATATTTAAAGAAACTATTTGGTAGGGGTGGGCGATATAACATAAAATATAATAAAATCAATATTATAAATATATTTAAAAATTATAATACATGAAAAAAGTTCACGATATGTATCATGATATTAGATTTTTAAAGTACTATTGAAAACTGAGTATGGTGACATTTGTTCAACATTTTACATGGTGCATTAAAGTAAATACAGTTAAAAAGGACTAATTATAATTATACTTTCTTTGTAATGAATAATGCAGTTCTTTACATAGTGATGATTTTGATATACTCAGAAGATACTCAGAAAAGCATATTGTGACATAATTTATCACTAGAACAATAAAATATCACCATATTGCCTTCCCTAATATTTGGGCTATTTGGGTGACTATTGAGTTCTTGTGTTTGTTGGCTATGCCTCAATAACTATAACAAATTATTCAATAACAAGTTATACAATGTAGATTGAAATATTATAAAAAACACATTAGATGGTATTCTTAGATTGTGTTTTTATTCAATAATTCACATTTTTGGGGAACAAAAAGTTAACCAAAAAGCAAAACATTTTATTATTTTTAATTTATTTTTATTTTAACTTAATTTCTTAACCATTATAGAATAATCTACAACTCTGTTTGTCATTCTAAACACCCCTAAAAATCCTTCTTACAAATTATTTGAAACCTATGAAGTTGAGTACTTACCTCATATGAGAGTCACTTTATTCATGTATCTGCAACACAATTAATATTAAATTATTGAATACAGTGATTCCAGTTTTTGATTTTGATTCATTTTTTATTCGTAGTGTATCAGTCACAATATGACTAAAACAAAAGTTATTCAAACACGGATATGTTAATTTTCTTTTAATGACTGATTTTATCTGTTTTCCAGCTTGGAGATGACCCTGATTATGGTAAATTGAGTGACATGGTCAAATACCTCGATTTGGAGCTGCACTTTGGCACACAAAGGAGTTCCAGTAAGTTCAGTATTTTTTGTGTGTTATAATAATGTCCTTACATGCCCATCCATGTCACAGCACTGCCATCAGGAGACATTAAACACACCTTCTGTGAAACTGGTTCCATTTTATAACTTATGCCCTTACACTTGAAGTACATATCTCATATGCGTTGTCTATGTTTGTGCTTTTACAGCTCATGATGTAAGCCATCTCTCAGTGGAGTCCTTTCAGTTTCTCCGTTCCCATCATCCTCCCCTCATTCATTGGCACCTCAGCATCTCTCTTTATTCTCATGAGCCTCCATTGCTGGTGCCAGGAGAACTGATCCTTACATAGTAATTAAATGTGTCAGTCTCTCTTCCAGAGCCCACCTTTCTGCCTGAGAGCTTTAAAAAGAAAGACGTGGTCGAGATTCTTTCTCATAAAAAGGCCTACAACGCTTGTGAGTATGAACTGGGGTTACTTTGCAGAGGAATCATCCGGGTTGTGCCCTAGAATGAGTCAGAAAATCAATAGAAAATACCTGTGGGTTTGTTTTGCTGTGAACGTGTTGTGTAAGTCAGTAATGTGTGAGAAAGAGAGAGGTACTCTTCGAAGCGCTGAGTCACAGAAGTACACATTGCTCTTGGCAAGAGAAGCCAATTAGTAGTATATTCCTTGTGTTGACCACAATTTTAAATCCTTTTCTCTTTTTTTGACAAACTGGCTCCATTTATTCTTTCTCACATTTTAAAGCAACCGTTTGGCAACAGTCTAATTTACTCATTTTTTCCATTACCCCAAATTTAGTTGATCAGTTTAGTTGATCTTTAGTTTTGTATTAAAGATATGAGGCCAAGGTAGCTAAAAAGCAGGGCCGGCTCTAGTCTTTGGGGGACCAAAGCAGGATTTTTGAGGACCTCCCATCTTGCTAGCTGATGTACCGTAAAATTAGAGGCTGTCTGATAACAATGATTGCAACAAACTGTCTAAATTCCATACATTTATAACTGGCTAATGTGTCTATTTCTGATGATTGGTTGCTTGCTTAGGATTCTAATAGTTAGTTTAAATTGCAAATGACCATTCCCGAACCTCACAATGCAGTGTTTCTTGCTTACCCAGCTAGCTTTAAGTCAGAAAGCATAAGTTGTATCTGCTTTATTGGACAGACCCCAGATCGACTACTTCTCAACTACTCATAAAGCACCGATTAGCACTGTGCATATTGCGAGCGCCTGAATCAACACACACTTTCCTTAAATTACATCAGGTTGTTAAATAATCTCAAATAGACTTACTGATGTTGTTTGGCATTGCATGATAAGTTGTTATACATAAAATCAACAAAAGTACGTCCTGACAAGGCTTCAGGATGGCTACTACTGTATTAGCTACGCAATGTACTTTTTCCTGTTCTTATGGATAACAGTATATCATACAGTGACAGAAACCTCATAAGCAAAAATATTTGAGATTATTAACACCTTGACACAGTGTGAGGCAAGTATGTGATAATTTAGGCATGTACTTTGCTCAACACTAATGAGTGAGTATTGTCAGCTCCAGAAATATTTAGATGTTGAAGTTATTGTTATTTTAGTTTTCTCCCACAGCATATTGGAGTCGAAATAAAATAATGAGCATGAGCTTTAGGTGTAGACTTTCAAAATATAGACTCAATTTCAGGCTATTTATATCTAAATGATCTGAAAACCATTTTCTTACATACCCCCCTCCCCATTTTTAGTGGCTGAAAAGTAATTGGACAGACACAATCACAAATTAAATTTGGCATTGTTAACACGCAAATCCTATGCAGTTAATGACTGCCTGAAGTCTTGCACCTATAGACATCACCAGTCACTGGGTGTCTAATGCTCTGCCAGGCCTTTGCTGCAGCTGTCCAGTGAGTGAAATGCATACTCAGTTAAACTGAGGTTGGGCGATTGACCTGGCCATTGGAGAACATTCTACTTCTTTGCCTTGAAAAGGGTTGGGTTTCTTTCGCAATATGCTACACGTCACCTTTACTGTAAAGCACTGTCCAAAGACTAAAGTATTTGGCTGAATCTGAGTAGATAATTTAACCCTATACACTTTAGAATTCATTGTGCTGCTTTTGTCAGCAGTCACACCATCAATAAGTACAAGGAAACCAGTTTTATGGGCACCATATATGCCCACACCATAACACTACCTCCACCTTGCTAGACTGATGAGGTGGTATGCTTTGGATCCTTTCTCTATATTGTGATCTTTCCATCATTCTGATAAAGGTTGATTTTTTGTCTCATGTTTCCATAAGATGTTCCAGAACTGTACAGGCTTTTTAGATGTTTTTTGGCAAACTCTAATCTGTTCTTCCTGTTTTTGTGGCTTACATCCTATAGTAAAGCATCTGTATTGACTCTGGTGAAGTGTTCTCTTGATTGATGACTTTGACAGAGATACACCTACCTCCTAGAGTGTGTTCTTGATCTGGCCAACTGTTGCAACAGGATTTTTCTTCTCCAGGGGAAGAATTCTTCTGTCATTCACCACAGTTGTTTTCTGTGGTTTTCCAAGTCTTTTAGTGTTTCTGCTCTCACCAATGCATTCTTTCTTTTTAAGAATGCTACAAAATAGTTGATTCGGCCACACCTAATGCATTTGCTGTCTTTCTAAAGGGTTTGTTTTGGTTTTCAGCCTAATGATGGCTTGTTTCAGTGGCAAGGACAAATCTTTGGACTTTATATAAAAAGATCACAGCATTAGAAAGAGAAATAAAACTTAATTAAAAGTATAAAATAATAATAAGAGAATAACACACATTTGGCAGTAGAACAGCCGGACAACCAATTGTACGATTACTTTTGAGCCATTAAAATGGGGGATGTGTGTTTGGATGTAAATACCCTCAAATTAAAACTTAAAGTCTGCAATTTAAGCTCATTATTTATTTTTAACTCCAATATGCTGTGGAGCTAAAATGAACCTGACTATATAAGCTTCCATTGCTCTGTTACCTATTTTAGCTTTATAGTTACAGTACAAAACTGCAGAAGCCAGTCTGGACATGTCTACATCAGCCCTAGTCTAAAAACTATCAAGTTTCAAAATAACAAAGAAGAGGAAAACCACTCTCTCCTCATGTGAAAAGTTTTGGAGTTTTTTGCAACAGCAGTGCTGGGTAAGCCGATGTAAGGGTGTTCACTCTGTCCGACTGCTCTCCCCAGCTATCCTCATAGCCCACCTGAAGCTGTCCCCAGCAGAGTTGCGGCAGGCCCTCATGACCATGACCACGGAGCGTCTGGAGCCATCACACATCAAACAACTGCTGCTTTATGCCCCTGATGATGAGGAGGTCAAACAGTTCCAACAGTATGACCAGGACCCTTCCAAGCTCAGTGAACCTGACCAGTTTGTCCTACAGGTGCGGCAGACAGGACAGTCTTCACCACGGCAGCTGTTTCTGAAAGATGAGAACTTCAATGAAATTTAAAATGCTTATAGTTGGTTATGGCCATTTACCTTTTCATATGTGTGTTCCAGATGTTGTTAGTGCCTGAGTATAAAACCAGATTACGGAGCCTACTTTTTAAGACCACCCTGCAGGAGAAGACTGAAGAAATGCGAGCTGGCTATGAATGCATCTACAAGGCTTCCTTAGAGCTGAAAAATAGCAAGAAACTGGCAAAGATCCTGGAGGTAAAGCACTTTTACAGGTCGAAACTGCAAAACATTGCTAAAACATGACCAGACACCAGCTAGAAATGTTTCCATCATTGTTTTGTTTTGCTTCAGTTTGTTCTAGCAATGGGAAATTACCTCAATAATGGCCAGCCCAAGACAAACAAAACTACAGGCTTTAAAATCAACTTTCTTACTGAGGTACAGTAGCTCTCAATATAAACCATGCTTTGTTGTGGCAGTATATTTTATAATTACGATTGTGAAATGCCTGGACTTTTGAATATTAATCATCGTCTTTCCACAGCTCAGTACAACAAAAACAGTTGATGGGAAGTCAACTTTCCTCCATATTTTAGCCAAATCATTATGCCAACACTTTCCTGAACTTCTGAGCTTTGCAGCAGACCTTATAACAGTGCCACTTGCTGCCAAAGGTAAATATGCTACTAATATATTAGTCATACCATGCATTATCTTCTACATGGATATTACCACTGGTGTTTCAGAATCTCTTTGAATGACAATATATAGATAGTTCTAAGTTTTATGTGTTCACTGAATTTAAATAACCCAATGACATGGTATGGTCATATTCAGCTTAGTTGTTTTCCTCTGAACACAGTCAATCAAAGAACCATTACAGCGGATCTCAGTGATCTCCATTCCACCATCCAGGAGATCAGGACTGCCTGTCTGAAGATTCCAGCCACAGCAGAGGATCGTTTCGCAGCAGTTATGAGTGTATCCTTTGTTACTGCACGTTCATTTACATTTTAAGACTAAATAGATATACTTAGAACTTTACTTTTTAACTGTTATGCAGCAGCTAAGGAGATTAATGTAACTAGCAAGTATTGGAAGCATATACAAAAGAATGGATAAAATTAAGGCTTCAAGATGGGTTCTACTTCTACTGTTAGCTGTCTTAGCCAGAAACCACGTAAGCAAAGTGAAAATAATTTAACACATCCTCTACAGAGAACACACTTAAATATGACAGATTATAACAAATAACAAATTCTGCACAGTTTCTATTTATCTGCTGTGATTAATATATCGGAAAAAATAAAACCATAACTTCACCCCAGGCGACAAATTATTTTTACTTTTTTGTTCCAATATGTTAAATTCAGCAAATAAACAGAGGATGTGTTAACTAAAATCAACAAAATTTCATGTGACCGTGGGTGCCCAAAATTTTGCATATGACTGTATGAATAAAATAAAAATCTTGACATATATCTTTTTAACAAACATTTAAACCTTTGAACTGATACAGTCAAACATGATAGGGCATCCAAAGTGTGTTGAAAATATCAAAATGCATCAATGATTTTCAGATCTGCAGAGGAGTGAACAAAATAACTGAAACACTGTTAAATATGAAAAAGGAGTTTAACTTTTCACAGGCCGTACATTGTTTTATGTTAAATTCAGCAAATAAACAGAGGATTTGTTAACTTATTTACAATTAAAAAAAAATCAACAAGCATAATTTGACCAGGGGTGTCCAAACTTTTGCATATGAATGTATAATGACTCAGTTTTATGCAGAAAAATATGTTTATTGATCTCTTGACCTTTGCATCAGAGCTTCCTGGAAAACTCTCATCCAGCTGTGCAGTCTCTGGACTCTCTGCAGCAGAGAGCCATGGACGAGTTTGGCAAGGTAGCCTTGTACTTTGGAGAGGACAGCAAGGCCACCACCACTGAAGCCTTCTTTGGCATCTTTGCAGAGTTCATCTCTAAGTTTGAGGTAAGGCTATGCATGGTTTTTGTACAAATAAAGGAGAAACAGTGACATCTCTACAAGTGTTCCTACAAGAAATAACATTATACCGCATAGGGCTGCACAGGTTATTGTTTGTTAATCGTTATCTCTGTATTATTACAATAAGTTCTCAGAATCTTTTGCAATATCTTTAATAAATCTTGATGCTGTGAGAATCCTGAACAACCTCAAACCTTCCAAATTAGGTTTTCTGTGGGTGTTCTGATGATCCAGCAAACACATTATAAGACATGTCGCAGTCACAGTATGTAGTAGCGTATTGTAATCGAAACAAAACTTTGTATCTTCATTTTGTCATTTTTTCCAGGATTTGAAAACGCCAGCTGCATTGTGTCAAAATTTCATGATGAATGGAGCAATAGAAATCATGCCTTGGAATCCAGTCTTGTTACATTAACATTTATTTCGGAGATAAGAGGTTATTGTCCAACAGCGACGATACGTGATTTAAAAGTTTGGAATTACTGTTTATAAAATGGTTTTCAACTATATAAAACCAGTTAGGTTTCAGACAGGTGTATGAAGTGGTGATATGATAATCCTGTGCAACTGCACAATTTTCAAATAATTAATAAGAAGCTTCAAGTAAAAATTTAGATATTTTAAATGTGTCCAGAATGATGAATGGAGCTGTGGAAGATTCTAAAATAAAGTAAGATTGTATACGTTATAAAATCCGTATCCAGATCAAATCTTACTTGACAAAAAATTACTCCTTGTGGACTTTCCTCTTCAGCTCATTCCACAGGTTTTCCACGTCAGATAACTGAAATGGCCATGGCAAAAACTTGAATTCTGTGGTCAATGAACCGTTTTTGTGTTGATTTTGAGGTGTACTTTGGATAATTATCTTGCTGGAAGATCCAGCCCAGTTTAAGCTTCCAGGCTGAGGTAGTCAGGTCTATGATTTAATATCTGCAGGTACTTGATGGAGTCTGTGATACAATGTTTCTGAATAAACTGTTCAGGGTTTTTGGAAGGAAACACAGCCCCACAACATCACAGACCCACCACCATACTTTACAGTGGGGATGAGGTACTTTTCTGCATGGCTATCTTTGCATCTATGCCAAATCCACTTCTGGTGTTTGTTGCCAGAAACCTCTGTTTTGGTGTCATGTGACCAAAGAACATGGTGCCACTGAAAGTTCCAGTCCCAATTGGCAAACTGTGGGTGCTTAAGTTTGTTGGTTATCTTCTGGTAACCACTCCAAACAACTTGTGGCGTCTGAGTGTAGTTTGGGAGATGTTCTGACCTCAAGACCCAACTGATATTTGCAATTCCCCATCTGTGATCCCTGGAGATTCTTTGGCCACTCACACTATCCTCCTCACTGTGTGTAGGGTCAGTATAGACGTACATTCTCTTCCTGGCAGATATTTAACATCTCCACTTGCTTTAAACTTCTTAATTATTGCCCTGATAGTGGAATTGGGCGTTTTCTTGTAGCCATTTCCTGATTTGTACAGCTTAACAACATCTTGTCACACTTCAGTGCTGTTTTCCCTGGTCTTTCTCATTGTGATGGATGACTAAAAGTGTGTGTGTCACCTCATATTTATACCCCAGTGAAACAGAAAGTCTGACCAAGTGTTCTGATCAGGTGAATTTTAAAACCTAGAATGTGAATGGGAATTATACTTAATTTTTTAAGAATTTCTACGGTTGCCATCAGTTGTGGCACATGTAGATTTGAGAAAAATATTTAATTCCAGATAAGATTTTTTTTTTGTATTGAATTAAACATCTAAAATACCTTTTAAGGAATTATTATATATAGAACAACAAAAGTGATTCCAAACTTTTAAACAGTGATGTAATTGTGATATTTTGTCCATATCATGCAGCCCTAATTCAGCAGAATAAGCTAACGACACCATTTCCAAGTAGAATGACCGCTTGGAGTGATGGACATTAATTTCAATGAACTGTTTTGCAGAGAGCACTAAATGAGACCCAGGCTACAGAAAACCCGAAAAGCCCTCGCATCGCCTCACCCTTAGCCTGGTGAGAACATGCCTTATAAATGCTGCTCTCCAGAATCAAGAGCGTCTACGTGCCAAGACCTCTACAGGACAACAATGGAAGCAAAGAACTTCTTAGTTTAAGTTTATGACCTAGATATATTAAAAGTTTACCTTGGACATAAAGAATATATATATTTTATACAACTCTATAGAGCCGTTTAATCAAAATGTCAAGTATATGAAAATAGCTACTATAAATAATTCTGAATGATAAATATATTTGTTTTCAGATTTCCAGCAGCAAAAGAGAATGTAACGAGAATGTGAGCACTTTAGGCTGATAGTATTGTGGTCGGCTGTTCTGTATAATTTATTTTAATGACCAAAAAATGTACTAGTCTCATGTGGGCAGACCACAACAGTGGATGGGCGTCAATCATCGGCTGATGTCTGATGTACTTTATCTACACTTTAGAAAGAGATGTTTTATTTCTGCTCAGCATTGGTGTTGTCACAGTTGTTTTCCAAGACCAGAGTACACTCTTTTTGTGTGTGACTGCCACACTAGTGTTGGCAACGTGTGTGTGGTTCAGCTGATCCATGGTAAAGCTGTGCATGAGAAGCTGCAGTACATTTTATGAAATTGATTGTCATCTCTGATTTCTCTTGCTGTGACAATTCAAAGTTGAATGAAAACGCATAGGTACAAATGTAGTCTCTATGAAATGGCACTGTGTTTACATCCTGTCTGTTTCATGTTTACATGGTAAAATTATTATGCAGCTTGGCTGACTAAAGGTCAACTTTCCATTTGAAATATTGTTTTAGATAGCATTATTAAAGTTCCTTCGGCCTGATGTTTTGTGCTCACAACGGTTTATCTGTAGCCTACTTATTAAATGCGAATGCATGATTTTACTTATTGCCTATCCTTGTGTCAAAAACAACCATTTTTTTTGTCGGTCCACCCTTTTGCAAGCCAGTGACAGTATTCTAAGAGATAAAAATTTCAAATTGCATGTAGCACTGTGTTTATTTCCATTAGCAGATTAGTAATGTTATGATTCTTAATGTAGGCCTACATCCATTTGTTTTCTTTCATCATTAATATTAATTTAGCTGTGTTGAAAAAATGATTTGTGTGAGTAGCAGAGTATTTCTTCCGGTGCAGTTCTATTTCGGCTTTGATTTCTATGGGCCATATATTGCTGCATTTTATTCAATTGTTTAATTTATATTGCCTGAATAAACTAACCTACTGACAATCAGAAGTCAATGTCTGATTCATTTGTGTACTTGTTAACTTGGGAGTGACCTGCACTACACTTAACAGCATTTATATCTAGAGGAGCTCACTGTTACAGTAATAGGTCAGTGAATAGCCATACAGGCTATGGACAGCTTAGTTAAGGTTAATGCAATCATAACAATTAATGTATGAACATTAATGTAGGAATCAAGATTTATGCATGGGAAGACTAAGGTATTGGCTGGTATCAGGACATTAACCTTCAAATTTGTCGGTATCCGACTAAAAGACAGCAAGGGTCTTGTCCATCTCTAACTGAGATGAACGTTCTGACAAAATTTCTGTCTTGTTCCATCTCACAAGGTAATCAGCTAGTAAGCTAACAACGAGCTGAACACAGGGCTTGCAACAACCTTTGGCTTCGCTAGGAAACGTGAATACATACACTATTTTGTATTAGGTATTAGGACAGTATTAGGATACCTACACATTATACCCACAGGAGCTTTCATAACATCCCATTCTAAATCCATAGGCATTAATGTGGAGTTTAGGCTACATCCCTATTCATTCAAGTGAACTGCTACAGACATTAGTTCATTATGAGCCAGCTTTACGTGACAGTAGCAAACTGCAATTTGTTCCAAAGAAAACTGTTATTCACAGGCTTTTGTGGAAACAGTTAATCCTAGCAGGTGCAGGGACAGCTGCTTAGTAACCCATAAGTGGTTCATTTCAGGTTAGCTTGCTATCGTTATGCTCATTACTGTGAAATATGTCGTTAGTGAAAGATGGTGGTCTAGCTCTCCTGATGAATGTGCTTTCATCTATTGGAGTTCCCACTGGGTGTCGTTCTTAACCCTTTAAACTCTGCAGGCTTATTATTCAGTTATTCATTTTAAGACATCAGTCGGTGACTACTATTATGAATTTGGTAACCAACTACTATGAAACTGAAAAAATAGACAATGCAAGTTATGCAGTTCTGAGAGTGAGGAGTTTCTCCTTACAGTCGTCATCTGAAGTACACTGATAATGAAAGATTTAGGCTAGGTGGCATGGAATAAGGTTCTGAGTAAGAGATAAAATTGTCAACAGTTTATTCACTGAAGCTTTATTTATCACAGGCCACAAGCAAACACATCTGAGCGACACTACATGGCCAAAAGACACGGACATACAGTCAAGCATACTGCCAGTAGAATGAGTTGTACTAAAGAGCTTAGTGACTTTCAACGTGGCACTGTCACTGGATGCCACCGTTCCAATAAGCCAGTTCATCAAACTTCTGCCCCTTTAGAGCTGCCCTGGTCAACTGTAAATTCTATTATTGTGAAGTGTTACAGTCTAAAAGCAACAGCAGCTCAGCCACAAAGCTGTAGGCAACACAAACTCTTAAAAATCATCTGCCCTCAGTTGCAGATGGGAGCAACATCAGCACAAAAACTGTTAGCCGGGAACTTCATGGCTTGAGTTTACATGGCCGAGCAGCTGCGTACAACCCTAAGATCACCATGCACAATGTCAAATGTCGCATGGAGTGGTGTAAAGCACGGTGCCATTGGACTCTGGAGCAGTGGAAACGTGTTTTCTGATATTATGTATGTAGACCAGTGTAAAAGCTGAAAGGACGCTGGCTGATGTTATGGCTTTATCTTTAATCTGTTATGGCTTTATCTTTAATCTAAGTTCTTTATTGAGGGACTTCAGGATACAGACGGTTTCTTACTGGCTATGGGGCCTCAATCCCCCTCAATCAGTTTAAAGGTTTAAATGTTTGTTTTAAACTGTGGGAAGATTTTTATTGTATTCATGCAGTCATATGCATGAGTTCAGACAAATGGCATTCTGTTGATTTACATTGAAAGTACATTTACACATCTTCCACAGAGAACACACGTTTTAATGCACAATTACTGTATATTTGCTGAATTTTACATATTGGAACAATATGTAAATTGCTGACGTATTGTCGGCTCTACTGGTGGAGTACAAAAACAATGAATGCCATTAGAATCCATTAAGAACTGAGTAAAAGGAGTTAGGACTCAAAGTGTCAGTAAAGCAGATAATTAAAAACCATGAGGAGAGTTGTCACTGTGCTTTTATTAATTCATCTTAAAAGCAGTTATACCAAGCATTTTATTTTTCTAAATAAGTTCAGAAGTTTTGTTGTTGTACAGTTTCTGAACTTTAAATGCACCTTAAACATTTAGAGTGTCAGTTCATTTTCCAAAAAGGTAAGGCAGCAAGGTAAAGGCAAGGCCAGTGAATATACAAGCTGTAAAGATTGTCTTTAGTGTCATCATTTTAAGGGTGGCACAAGTGGCACATATTTTTGTGTCACTTGGTACCATTCAATAGTTTTCTTCTGGGAACACAGTAAAATATCCAGTAAAGCACAGAAAATGTTGCTGAACATTTGACCAACAAGTTACACATTGTCCGGTTCTTTGTCAGTTTGTTGTTTGTCAGTGTAACTATTTGATAAACAATAGGACATTGGCTTTTAAACAATTCAGGATTTCTTACACAGAAGGCTGTATTACACATACAAATGAATGTTGTGAAATAAATTATCATCAAGGACTGACCGTGTTAATGCCCCAGCACAAGGAAAAACAATGAGCAGTTGAAGGCAGAATACTAACTCTGTGGCATGTGTACACTTCATACTATAGGTAATGTATTGCATGTATTTCTACTAATCACAATAGGCATTATAAGTCTTGTTTCATAGGAAACAATTTAAATATTTATTTAAGCCCTAGGGAATGTGTGGATGGAAACAGATATAAATGTGATGTAGGACAGTTTACATAGACAAAATTAGGAGTATATTAGCTGACTGGAAACCAGCAGTCACAGGCTACACTTAAAGCCACAGTATATGGTTTCTACTTTGCACTTTTCTTTTTTTTAACTAAGGCCACGTAAGACCCACCATGTACCTCAATCCAGTAACTTTTTCACCTAAAACACAAAATTCACCTAATCACATAATTTACCATTTCCTTTCATTGAATTACACTTGGAAAAGACAGAGCATTAAACATTACAGACATGTCACGATTCCATACCACTGTTCCTTCTGTGCCACGTTCAGATATTTTGGAAAACGAGCCAAGCTGATGAGCACTTTGGTAAGTTGGTGAGAACAGCAGCGTTTCAGATACGTTTTGGGTTTCCTTACAGGATGGTGCTCTCCGAGTCCAGGTCAGCATCCTTTAGCTGGGTGACCGGCTGGTGCTCTGTGGCAAGGTCTCGACCCAGCCCTTTGAATGGCATCCCCGCATCTGCACAAATGTTATATGTTAGTGTCTGCCTAGGCTTTAGTTAATGCTGCAGTGCTAGAAACAGAACAAAAAAGATGACATTAGCAGACTTGACAGACTTGCTTAGGCTAGAAAAAAAATGTGTCACCAAAACATTGGTGATGTATAATGATCCACAAGGAAGGGTCAAAATTCAGAAAAACAGTACCATGCAAGAGTCAGACCACCCTTTCATTTATTTAAAATTCCAGCCAAAATAGACTTTGCAAGTTATTAATTTTCCAGTGTCAGAAAAAAGCAGGAGGCATATTTAACAGAAAGTCACACAAAGCTTACAACACTTTGTACAATATGTTCGCCACTTTAAATCTTTCATCCTTCCCATATTAAAACCAACAAGTTACAAAAATGGGACCAGCAACAGTGCAAGATCTGGTAGACCACCAAAACTGTCACCATCAGATATACAGTTCTTAAAGCTTTCATCTTTGGGAGAGAGGAGAAAAATCAAGCTCCATTCTTGCTTCAGAATGCAAAAAAAAAATTCACAGGTGTTTCTGCGGGAAGACAACTCAACACTACGAGTCTGAAAAGATGTGTAGCTGTCAAGAGGCCATCACTGATAAAATTTAGCCATCAGCCAAAAGCAAAGGGTGGACACACAAAATACAGGAAAACTACATTTAGTTATTGAGACATATTTGAAATTTTCTGTTAAATATTTTTCTCCTTTTTTACCTCAGACACTGAAAAATGGATAAACTTGCATTTTATGGCCATTCTGATTGGAAATTACAAAAATGAAAGGGTGGACTCTCACTTTTGCATAGAACTGTAATTTTTTGCAATATATTGTCTGGGGAACTATATAAATAAATAGTATACGTTAAGTATATAAAAGCATTTCTTAGGTAAATTTCTGCAAAAGTAACCTAGGAACAATTATAAGGATAATGGACAATGTTAACAGAAACGACTTAAATCCTTAAAGTTAGCAGTTCACAACACATTTCCACTGACCCATTTGACAGTCCTGACCTTTGCTGTAAAATATCAGTCTAACTTTGTTAAATATCTCCCAGGTGGTGAGAGAATGTTTGCTAAAACAGGAAGCATGGAGTTTACAAATTATTTATACTGTACAGTCACAGGATAAGACAAGGAGTCTCAAAAAACTCAACTTTAAGCAGAACCAAAACCATCCTCTCAGTTTGCATAATGCGAAGTATTTGGAAAAAAAGCTAACTTGCAAAACCTTAAACCAACTCTGAATTGACAGACTTTGCAATAGAAGGTGTCTCACCCATCATTTTGTAAGCAGTGCTGCAGATGCCATTGGTGTCAGTCCCTGCGCTATGAGGCTGTGGTGGAGGGGGGACAGTGGGTCTGTTGCGTGGTTTGGGCACAGGCCGAGGCCGTGGCAGAGAGCCAGACTGAAATTGGGAAGGAGCATTGGTACTGGTGTTGTCAGGTGATATGACCATTGGTGGAGGTGTATGTGGGGGAGTAGGAGTGCTGGGTGGTGAGGGATCTTCTGTTGGCTCTCCTGCTGTCTGCCCAAGAGCTTTGGGCTGGAGAGGTGGTGTAACCTGGGTAGGGGGCTCTGGGGGCGGATGATTGGGTGCCTGGATGGGAGGCTGGTTGCTTGAGTGGCGCCGAGGAGTTGTGGTGAGCTGAGCTGCTAACTGAGTAGGGCTCAGACTGGTTGGAGAGGGACTAGAAAGAGGTCTAGGAGATGGAGAAAGGGACTGAGGGGTCCCAGACAAGGGATATGGAGCTGACTGACCGCTCAGCTGGCCTGAAGGTGGGTTGGTTGGTTTAGGTGGAGCAGGAGCTGGCTTCTTTGTGCCTATTACAAGCAAATTTGGAAAGATTTCATTGTAACAATGTTGGTTCTTCAGCATTCATTAAAACAATACTCCAGTGTTTTTCGACATGATCATCTGCCACACCAGTAGGGCTAAACGATTTGGGCAAAACATCCAATTACGATTTCTATGACCAGTATTGCCATTGAGGTATTCCTTGTTTTTTCTTTTTTGCCAAGAAGACCAGTAAGTAAATTTTTATAAAATATAATATACAAATGATTAATGATTAATTGTTGAGCCCTACACACGAGTAGCACTGATTATCACAATCATTCTAAAATGTTTCCCTGTGCTTAGAAAATAAAAAAAAAAAAAAAATCTGTTAACTTGAAACGCACTTATAATAGAAGACACTGGCAGTTGTCAAATTCCGTCAGTAAATGTTTATGCAAAACATAATAAGCTATAAATATTTATTCATGAATAGCCATGAATTTGAAGTTTCTTAGTGGTTTTCTACAGAGAAATAAGCTTAAATTTTTGTCTGCAGTAACAGACTGTACACTACAGATGTAGCAGAATGAGAATAGATTTAAAAACACTGCAAGATTCCATTAATAGAGTTTTTTTTTGTTGTTTTTTTTTTTTCACCTCTCCGTGCTGTGTGAGGACTGGGCCCTGATGATCCTGCCACCGGGGGCACCACGCTCAGCTGTGCTGAACCTCCACTACCATTTCTCTGAGCTGGAGGTGTGGATGCTGAGTCACGTGACTTGGAGCTGTCAAAAAAAAAATCTATTGTTGCAAAACACCTATTTAATAAAATTATTACATGCAGTGATAATAAAATGAGCAACTTCTTGCTGTGAATAGCATGTGGATAATTAAGATAACTATCACAGAGCGTAGTAAGTAGTACTGTACTTTGATAAAACATTACATAACATGTTCTACTATATTGTGTCTAAGAACATAAAAAATAAAAACCATTATCAACAGGAACTTAACTGTTTTTCCCTAGTATTATTAAATTAGCCTTGAAATCTTCTAAGCTTGCAAGACTGAGTCGTGCAGAATTTTTCTTTTTAGTTGAAGAGGCGTTCAGAGGTCCACATGAAACTTGTTCACTCACAATAGGCACTGCTGTACTAAGTCTCTAGCAAAAGATGTAGGCTGAATTGCAATCTTCCCCCATTTCTGTTCATTTACCAGAGAACAGAATGTACAGTCCATATAAAAAAAAAAAGAAAAGAAAAAGACTAGCTTCTCGTACTCCACACAGCAATGATTCATTTGCGTGCTGCAGAACCTACAAAGCAGCACTATACCCAGCTCTTACCTGAGTTCCTCAGTGTGTTGGGCTAGAAGCTGCTGTGCTGCTGCTAAGGCAGCCATCCCCAGCGCCAAGCTAGGCTGACAAGCTTCCGTGCCCAGGCCCGCCGATGTAGGCTGCTGCAGCAGGAGCTCAGCAACAGGCTGGCCTCCTGCAGAACCTGCAGCCTCCACCGGGGGCAGAGGGGGCTGAAAGGCAGGCGAAGCGTGTTGCTTTCTATTTAGCGTACTGCCTCTACGTAGATTGTGGTCCATTAATTTGTTAGAGGAGCTAAAGAGAGAAGAGACAGTGAAGACACCACCAGTGCTAAGATGTAAGAGACCGCCACCAGCAAGGTAGAGAAAAGAATTTTCTACACCATCTGCACTCAAGAGATCCCTCAACAGCCCAGTTACAACAGCAATGTACAAACGACCAGAAGAGCTATTATTCAAATAATTCCCAAGAAATTAAAAAGGCAGTAACGTGTGTGTCAGCAGTATATTTAGTCTGTTATTAGTTTTGATTAATGGAGTTAGAATTATGCTATACTCTTATGAAGCATGAAAAACTGATTTGGATTATTAATTTGCGTTCTGGTGGAATCACATTTAACATCAGGAAGTGTACCTGTCTCGTTTAGGCATATCACCATCTGGTCCCACCATACTGTTAGGCCTCTTCCTTTCTGTTGTGCCCGAGTCATGGTCAGGTACAGTCAGGTGGTTGACATGGTTTATCATTGGTGCTGGCATTGAAAATGCACCAGACACATTGAACTCCACATCTGAATAGAGATAAAACAGATATACACCTTATTCTTTGCGCACACACACACACACACACACACACACACTCACACTCACACTCACACTGAAAAATACTATTCTGGGACTTTTTTTAGCAAAGAAGGATTCTACGTTATTGTTCATACCTTCAGGGAAAAACCAGTCTGCATGTTGAATGATGGGTTCAATGATAGTAACCACATGAACAGAGGTAGCAGCAGCCATCTCTGCTAGGCTCCTGTGGTTAAAGGCACAACACCTTAGACAGTGCCTACAGTGTGTATTACATTCACACTGGCCCTTTTTCATCAAAGTTGGGTAAAGGAGTGCAGATTTGACTGCCTTCAATGATGTTTAAACTACTCTGCGCAAAACTTTCATACCATGTGGAAATTTAAACTCAAAAGATTAATGAGCTTCAGTGCGTGAAAACAAGCGCCAGCCTTCTAATACCCCATTTACATATCATTTACATGAAGCCCACCCTAATTCAGGCATGTCAAACTGGGGACCTTTCGGGCCAAAGCACTGTGGAGATGAATGTTTACCTTCATCTAACACTTGGAATTCAGTTAATGAAGGCCTTGCTAATTAGCTAATGAGCTGAATCAGGTGTGTTTAATGAGGCTAAAGTCTGAACGTGCTAGTCTACAGCGTTTTGGCCCACGAGGACTGGAGCTGGACACGTGTCGTAATTAACGCAGATGTTTCGGTAGGGAGACAGTAAAACAACAGCATTTGGTGGCTTATAAGCCACTGTCTGTGCTCATAGGTGTTTCAAGTTGAGAAGTGAGTGTACTGCACCCTCTACTAACTAAACTTTAGTGTTAATATTGTGACAACTGGAAAGAATATATTGTGAAAAACAAAAAAGTTTTTTTTAAGACAGGAGAGGGAAGTGATTGTGTAGTGTGATTATTTACTTAAAATAACATATTTAAATGCTGTTGTATTGCAGTGTATGAGATGCTTATGCACTTGCTGTGTTTTGTATTTTTTAGGCAGTGTTAGCAGTATAAAACAAAAGCACAGTGTAAAATGTCTTTAAATGCAAAATGGAACAGTTATGGCATTTGTTTATACCAAAGCGCACATAAAAATATTTACTTTTTTACTGTATTGCCATGCGCACCAATGATTATTATTATTGTTATTTTCTATTTTTATTCTTGTTATTGGTATTATAGATGCTAATAGTTATGGTTAGTTAACCTTAGTTAACCACAAAATCAAGCATTGATAAAATGAAGCATTTGTTTAGGTTGTTAAATCATTATGCTTAAATTTACACACACGCCTCCCAGACATGAGTTTTATTTATATTTTTACGCTGAAACTGATGAATAGCAAAACTGTCAGTGAAATTTACAAGCACTCATTTTACGGCCAGATTTGACCGTAAGCAACTTTGATGAAAAAGGGCCACTGAGCTTAAGGTATTAAATAATCATTTCTTACCCCTCTGTTTTGGCCCATAATAGATTTGGTCCTAAGACAATGGCAATGTTGCTGGGGGTCATCTTGTTAATCTCACTTTCTTGAGCAAGCTTAGCGAGGAACTTCACAAGATACCTTTTGACACAATCAGCAGTTTTGGAAAAATGTATCTCAGTGATAACTTTAGACTTCAATACATTAAAATTTTTAAGTAAACTTACCTGAAGTTGGCCTTATTGTTCTTTGGTAATTGATCACAGACCAACCACAAAGCTTGTAACCTTTTGTCTGAGTCAGGTACACTAGACAAGGGACATATATAAATAAAATATGTGGAAAATGAGAAAGAACGACAAAATGACAAACCCACTGCATTTATGTTACTTGCATTTTTTGACACATACTGGGTAAACATTCATTAAATATTGCTTTTATTAAATGCAGATCATTAAATAATATTTTTTACATTATCATGTTTAAATCAAATATTATATCAATTACACCTTTTTAATATATAGTTTTTTTAATATATGAAATGTCTTACTTGGATGCCTGTATCCACTCATCATAAAGCTGATAAGTCATGAGAGGCTCAGGTAGTTCCCTTAGGTAGGACTTCAAAGCCCCTTATTAAAATAATAATAATAATAATAATAATAATATTAAATCACTTTATTGAAATGACATATACATCAGTATTAGAGGTTAAAGATGAGAGCACAGCTTCCATACCAGCAACAGCATGGGGGTCAGAGTAGAACTCTTCTAGCTGAGAGGTGGAGCAGTCCAGTGCTGCCTTCAGCTTCTTCAGTTTAGAGGCTCCGGCAGCTATTCGGAAAAGACCCTGTTAAGTAAGCAAAAGTAAATGAGAGGTAAGCACGGACAGGTTTCAGAAAGCTCATCTAAAATGAAGTGTTGCTGCTGTGTTCAAATTTTCAGTATGTGTGCTTGTTTAAAAACAAACAAACTAACAAAAAAACAACAGAAAAAGTACAGTGTTGTAATACCAGGAGACTGCAGTTGCAGTGAATTATAATACTTAAATAATGTAAGTTTGAATTTCAGTCATGTTAAATTTATTTGCTGTGCAACCACATTTTCTATTGTAAAATAATTAGAAGTGAATCTGTTGGTTTAAAATAAATACTGGACAGAATGCGTCTTCCACACCATCAATGGGAGTTTTTCATGGTTTGCCATACCTCTTCCTTCATGCCAGTCTCGAGTAACATCATCACACAGGCCTCTATGGGAAGTGCTATCTCTCTACCACTGCGCTTCAGGTGCTCGTCCAAGCCTGTTCCAAATGCTGGCTTCTCTGTCCATGAGTCTGATCAAAGATACAGTTAAATACACATGATATTAAGTTAGAAATAATAAAAAACAGAGGCAGGTTTGAGATTTCTCGCTAACTTCAGCCCACTTATTTTTGCAGCTTAGTCCAGCTTAATCTTTTTCTTTTCATATTTGTACTTGGCTAAAATTCAGGAGGTGACTGGTTTTGTAAGCAATATTCTAGCCTGAACCAATGTATGTTTTCCCCCTTTTTTGGTGATGCTCACAGCAGGGTTGATTAACCAGGTGGGTGAGATGTGAGAAGTGTGACTCATAGTCCAATCGCTAGGACATGGAGTGTGTCTGTCTCACATGTACTCATATTCTCACAGGAAAAACAACTCATAATAACAAATTATAGCTCTCGGGGACTGTTACCAAAACAAGAACACAACAACATTTGTGCAAATCAACTTATTGTTTGTTCAGTGTAACAGGAGTGGGTGTAGAATTATTCAGCCAGTTGGCTGCCAGTTGTCCCAGTTGTCACTGGAAGACACTTTAATAATGTAATAAACAAAACCTGACCATGGTCAGCAGATATCACACCTTGCTGTGCCTGAATGGTTGGCAGGACACTTTCCAACACGGAGAGAGATTTTCTGTGGTAATCTGCTTGGGCTTCTAATAACTGTAAACAGAGTAGATTAAGTATATGAGGCCATTGTAAACTGAATAATGGAAGCAATAAAAACAATAACTGAGACACTGAGTCTAAGGCTAAAGGGAATTAAACACACACACAAACCACTAAATGCTCTTACCATTACATAGTAGCGAGCATAATCTCCTTCTTTTGAAAAGAAATTGTACATGTCGGCAGAAAGTTGATCCTGAACAGAGGTAGACAAAAGCCGAACATTAACTTTAGGAAAACAATGGTCGTTTAATCTTTTGACTGAACATGAAGACCACATCCAATTTAACCAACACCACAAGTACTATTATTACTTAAAATGAAAATTTATATTAGTGCTTTACATAACACAGATCAAGCTCATCAACTACAGATTTATGCAGGGGAAAATAATTCATTTGTGACTCAACTGTGTCACTAATATTTATCTCCTGGTATCCACCAAACCCAGATTCATCCATCAGACTGCCAGATAATGAAGCGTGATTCTTCACTCCAGTGAACACGTTTCCATTGTTCCAGAGTGGCTTACACCACTCCAGTCAACACTTGGCACTGCACACTGCGAGCTTATATGCAACTGTTCGGCTATGAAAACCCATTTCATGAAGGTCCCAATGCACAATTCTTGTGCTGATGTTGCTTCCATTGGCAGTTTGGCAGAGTGATACAGAAGATTTGCAAAAGTGGCATCCTATGACAGCGTCACAGTGCCTACTCTACTGCCAGTGTTTGTTTATGGAGATCACATGGCTATGTGCTTGATTTTATAAACTCAATAATTAGCAGCATACTTTAAGCCATACTGCGTATACATGTTCATACACAATACGGCTGAAAGAATGTGGACACTCCTCATAATTTTATACAAATATGGTGTGAAATGGTGTCCTGGCTGGGGTTGTGCTGTCTCGCAGGGCCAGATGTGATCTTATAATAAGAATGTCATGAAAGAGGCGATGATGAACTGATGAACAACAAGCCTGTCATTAGCCCATGGACGTAACACAAGTCAGTATGGCTGAAAAGTCCCACGAAAAAACTCCAATTAACGTCTAGATGTGTGTCGTTTGTGTGGAGAACACATTAAATGAGGTAAAAATAAACGCTACATCTTACAAGGAAAAAACTGTTGTGTTAGCTAACGACAGAACTTTGCTAGCTAGCTTGTGCCATCAGTTACACTCCTGATGTTAAAACTGCACAGACTGGAGAAATTTGGGTGAAGATTTTAGAGGGTTTGTACCCTCTTTAGTGATGGATGTTTGCCACAATCCAGCACCAAAAGTTTAGTAAGTTGTCCCCAGACATGTAGTCTCACTATGATATCAAGTGTGGTGCCACAAGGGTTTGTGAAGACTGCAAATAAGCAGCATTCTAGAACACAGCTTTGACACAGAGGCCAAAAATCACTTAATAATGTACTGTAAGACTGTGTTGATGAATTGGTCTTTTATGAAAACACACAAAGAGCATGGCTGCTAGGGAGAGACTACCTTGCAGAGCTCCATTTTGTTCATTGCTTCATCCATTTCTTCTTTAAGTGAGTCTGCCTTGGCTGTCAGTGCTTGTGTGTTTGTTCCCGAGATTATAGACTTGGTCGCCTGCAACCACCTGAGGTGCAAACAACAGGGATTACGAAAATGCTTTATGAATGACTGCCAACTACTGACATGATATGAACTGACAGCACTCTTAGCATATGGCATCTCATAATTATAGATCAGAACAAAACCTTTTATCTCCATTTTTGTGATTTTTCAGTTTTTTACATCATTTGAAAACCCCTGTTTCCTTTTACATGTTATGTAAATTTCAAGATGAATAGACGAAAAGAACTACTAGCAAAAAAGTCTGGTTTTATTTAAAACACAGACTTTTTTTGCTAGTATTTTTAGGCCATTTCTTCACACACATACACACACACACACACACACACACACACTTTACCTTGCTCGAGCAGAATCATAATCTAGCACCAGCTTGGCCAGCTGTCTTCTCTGTTTGAGTATGTTGGGAATATCTATCTGAAAGAGCAACAAACAATTATTGATTAAGAATGCATAGTCCAGATTTTAATAGGAAAGGCCATTTTGTCCTTTCAACAAAAATCAAACATTTAATGTCCAGTATGTGTCAGTATGTGATAATGTCCTAGCACAGGCTGAACAATATAAACGAGAGCGCAGATTTACTATGCTCTGCTTTAAGCTTTAGCTATAGCCGCTTTCCTCCCATCTCCGCCAGAAAACCTTTCCTCAAAACTAGAGCAGTTTCTTGTAAAATGTCTCTCAACATTCGGCTGTCTTACGAGGCTGAAGTCGCTTCTCATTCTCCAGCTTCTCGTTCGAATTTTCTCGTTCCACCTTACATTCTGACTGAGGCGCCGAATGTAAATGCGGCACCATTTAAGGTGGAACGACAAAATTCAGAAGAAAAGCGACTTCATCTTCACAACTTTTGTGTTTGACAGTCTCTCGTTGCAGATTTAACTTGCCAGGAAACCAACTGCGCTGCTTATAAATGCGAATAACGCATCGTTGCTAGGTGACCTGCAGTCTGCACTCCAATGCTCAGTCGTTGCGAAACAGTGCTTTCGCGCTATGCTGCACACGTCCCGTCTAGAAGATATTTTACTGACACAGCGATCCCCCCCACACCTTTCTCTACATCGAGACCAAAACCAACGTTATAAAGTCACTAAAAACGGGTAGGACGGCTGTAATGCGCTGTGTGGTCATCCATTACCACTGGATCTTATTTCACCGTAACTGCGCATTTTATCGCAGATGAGTGGCAGCAGCGTCTCATGTGCTCCAAAGGCAGTGAATGAGAGCCTTCCAGTTCACTTGCCACATCACTTCCATTTGATTTATTAATAAAAGATATTGGAAGTAAATTCATTATGGATCATTACAAATACTTTGCTTTAAAACTACCAAGTCCTCACACAGTGAGAAAATAGAAACAATGTATAGAAAATAAAAGATGCATCGAGATGCATTGATAATCGTTTTATAATCGCATCGCAGCCCTCTGAATCGTAATCGAATCGTGAGGTGTCTAGAGATTCCCACCTCTAGTGTCAGGTATAGCAAAGTTACACAGTTCTTTAAAAGTGCATTGTAAAGTGTAATTGGGAATGGCTTCAGGGCTTACCTCAGCTAATTGATTAAGTGGGTCTAAAATGTCCTTCTCAATCTGCATCTCATGCTGCATCAGTTCAGACGCCAATCTATTCTCTGCATCTCCACATACTTCCATCATTTTCCTACAGAGAACACAATGAAACCAAACTGAAAATCAAATTTAAACGTCAAAGTCACCCTTTAACCCCAAATGTAGTCAGCCAGAAACATTTGGTGTCTGAAGATTGTGTTTCTTTGAACTTGCACTGGAGCTATTAGGCTAATATAGTTTTTAAGTAATGGAAGCTTTTTCAAACCCACAAACAAAAGAAATAACAAAATGACCGATGCACTTTTACACACAAAGACATATTTATTAGTAATAGCATTGTGCAAACCGCATGCCTAAATCATCACACTCTTCCTCAAACTGCGTTGGGTCTCTGACACTGTATGACTAAAGTAAATGGACAGGAGTATGGAGGTTCCAGATATGAGTCAACTCTGACTCAGATTCAAAGTTATGGGAATCACTAAAGTCGATTACACCCAATAATCTCAATTTCACACAACAAGACATAGAAAAGGACATATGGCAACAACAAAGAGTACAATACTGTAATAATTTGTACAATAATTTGACCATAGCAAGGAAATTTATACCTGATTCTCCTTAGTCAACTGCTTCAGATGTTTTGGCACTGGCAATGCTGATTGTTTGTAAGCCAATTATAGGATATAAATTTTACACAATTTTTCACTTTGTCTAGAGTAAAACAGACCTGGACTATTACTGCATGACTTATGGAAGGATTTATTTTTAAACACAGACTGTCTAGATCAGGGGTTTCCAATCTTATCTGCAAAGGGCCGGTGTGGCTGTAGGTTTTCATTCCAAATTGGATCACACCTAATACTACTCATTAAAGGAGTTGGTCTCAGTCTTCAAACATTTGTGAGCTCCTGCTTTTTTGGAATGAAAACCTGCAGCCACACTGTCTTGCTCTTAGGGAGTTTTTCCTTGCCACTGTCACTGGCTTGCCCATGGGGGCTTGGATCGGATTTTTCTGTAAAGTTGTTTTGTGACAACGCCTGTTGTAAAAACTGCTATATAAATAAACTTTGACTTGACATTGAAACATATTTGACACCCTTGATCTAAACAGTGACAGCAGAATAAATAAGTTTGCACAAAAAAGTGGCTATAAGCTTTTACTACATCCTAGCTTGTTAGCTTTGTAGCTCCAGTCAAAAAGTAACGAAGCAAATGTCAGACACCAAACTCATCTGATTGACAATATTAGGGGTAAAATTGAGTAAATTAAGAAACGTTAATTGAGTAAACTGAGAAACATAAATTGAGTAAATTGAAAAACGTGAACTTCTTGAGTCAACAGTAAGTTGAAAAATAGGACACATTCCACATTCACCCAATAAGAGACTCTTCCCCTAGCTGACTTCCACCATCTTGCATGGCCTGTGACAAAGCTGTGAGTGGGAGCTTTTTCTGCAAGAGAAAGACACAATGCTCTAACAACAGATATAAACGGATGCAAAGTTATGTTACAGAACAGAAAGGGTGCTGTGGGGTCATTTTTGTGTTTCATTAATGTGCGAGTGGCCCTTACATGTCTCTTCTCAGCATCTGTGCCTATGTGCCCCTGTAGACATGTGACCAGTCTCTTGTGTGTGTTGTGGGAAACGACTCGCACCAGCTCCATTCGGCGTTCAATCTGTGCAGAACAGCACAAAATATCAATAGGAAGCCACAATCCATATCAGACCACAGCTGAGTGCTCAACACTGTAGTAGCAACAAGAAACCAAATTATACAATAACCTAGAAAGGCTTTATGATGTGAAAATGACATTCTGCAGAATATACTGCATATACACAGCACTCACTTCACTTCATTCACCAAGAATGCACTAACCAGAATGCACAGAACATTTAACACTAATACCATGTTAAAATGCACATTCCCTTTCTACATTCCATCTTAAGTAAGACTATTGTAACAGGCCTGCCTTTTGTCAGTCAAACAGTGAAAAAATAGAACTCCTTTTATGGGGCAGGCAGGCATTGTTTTTAGTACTGGGTTAGGTTCAAGCACGATTTATTACACCCACCCAAGAGAGATATGTAAAGCATATGCTTTTTAAAACTCTGATACAAAGGGACTCGACAGCTGTAATACTGTGTTCTGAGAATGGCTGTTGTTTCAGACCTTTCCCTTATTTCAAATACATTCATATTTAGTAAGATCTCTGAAGTTTCAAGTAACATTTTACTATCATTTCAACAGCAATACATACAAACAAGTAAATAAATAAATAAATAAATAAATAAAGCACCAATACATTATATTTACTCAGGCAAATTCTTAAAAGTTGAAGCATTTTCATTTTGTACTGTGATGTAATTCCAAGTGAAAGGTGGTACTAGGGATGGTCTCTGAACCAGATGAGTGTTTCACATAATGATCAGTGGAGTAGAATAATGGGGAGGTGAGATTATTGGTTAATAAATCAATAATATGCTTCTCTGAGCATCTCATGGACATTGCCAGTACCTAATGAAGACTGACCAACTGCATTTTCTGTACAAAGAGAACATAATTAGTCATGGTGAATTGGATTAAGTGCAGTGCAGTGTCTGAAATGCTGAGTAAAAACCCTTGTACCAGAGTCTGTCTGTCTGTCAAAATATCATAATACATACTGTGCATCATAAACATGTCTTTAAGTATTGAAATATAATCATTTTGCCACATCATCCGTCCTAATTGTGGGCTTCATCAGTACTTCTAGAACAGAAAATGACCAACATGTATCACTAAAAGGAAATTTAGAGGCGCCCAAGTGGCATAGCTGTCTGAGGTTTCACCTTATTGTGAAATCATAACTCTAAACCCAAGAGTGCATTATTGACCCTGTTTAACTAGATGTAGTGCATTGCGACAGACAGAATGTTAAAATCACAGTTTTTAATAGTACTTTTTAAAATGTGGTACTACTGGTGTTACTTCTCAAACCTGTTCACAAACTGTTTTGATATATATCATGACATGAAAATGTTTCCTCAAGTATCCTGCGATAAGATCCCTATTTTACAATAGTATGTATGTATTAAATATCATTCACAATTTTTATGTAGATTCTGAATGCATGAAAATATGCCACTGTTATATAATACAGAGAAATTCAAAACTGTGTGCTTGAACAGAGAGGAATGAATGAACAAACAAAGAGCGATCACAGCGATAACAGAAAAAAAAAACTGCATGTGTGTTCCAAAAACAACGAATGAGTTCAGAAATTCCACAGGCTGGGAGAGGAGATAACTGCCTCTTCACGCCCCTAACCACCCTCCCCTTTACGTCATTCCAAGCCCCCTCCCCAACCCCACACAGCTGGGTCAGGCATACATTCCGTTTGGGCGTCTCCTGCCTTGGCTAGCTCTGCATGGGAACAGAGAGGGACCCTCCACCTGGCACAGGAACAAGGAGAATCCATTGACTGCTGTCTGGTGTTTTTCTGTGTAGGGAGATCCTGTTCAGGGGTTGTTTGGATTAACCGGTGCTAAAGGTCTTTAAAATGTTTCCCTGTTTCCAACTCACACTGAACACTGGCTAAACAGCACCAGACTAAACAAGCCCAAACAATGGGCTGCACCCATTCCATCTGTAATGGAATCGATCTAGTACCTCCTTTATGAGTGTTCAACAGAAAGCAAGAGAGGGAAACCCCTTTCTAAACTCACTGTTTTGCCGCTGCCAAAGTGACTAGTCAACATGCCTGGACAAGCACACACAGATCATTCATGAACACGTGAATCTTGTTCTAAAAAGGGAGGGGGCTCAGGTCAAAAGATATGAGGTCACTAGTGACCCACACTGGCCAAAGAAAACGTCTCCAAACTGCAGACTTCAAACACCTTAGTAGTGGTTGGCAGAACACAACCGGCCTATCGATGCTCCACCCACAAATACGTTCTTTTATAGCAACTGTTTCTAGGTCGCTGTTAGTCTTTACAGACTGTAAGCCTATTCAAGAAAATAAACCGTAGCATGTTTAACCCAATTTTTGTTGTAATGTGTTATTTATTTTTACAAGATAATTTTGTGTTCACCAAATATTTATTTTGTATTTTGATCAGGTGTAGTTTCTTGGTGGTCAACCAAGTTAACATTAGCATAGTGCTACAACTTTAGTTTCATTTCAAGATGCTGTATAACCATTTGTAACACTTTTGGATAAAAGTTTTTGAAAAGAATAACATCTGATGTATAATGGAAAACAGATTTTTAATTCTTTAAAAAAAGAAAATTCTTAAAATACACTGTCTCAGAGATTTGAAATATAGGAGGCAGAGGCTAGTGGACGACAATGACTAAAGCATACACAGTACCCTCCACAAATACTGACACCCCTAGTAAACATGAGCAAAACTGGCTGTAAAGAACATTCTTTATTGCTTACGCTTTTGATCTTTCAAAATTTTAACACAAATTCAACCTTTATTTGAAGAACCACAATAATTGCCATCCTTTCATTTAATACTTTGTGCAGCCTCGCTTTGCAAAGAGAACATCTGTGAGTCTTCTCCTATAATGCCTAATGAGACTGGAGAACACATGGCAAAGAATCTGAGACCATTTCCCCCACACAGAATCTCTCCAAATCCTTTAAATTCTGAGGTCCACACTGTGGACTTCCCTCTTCAGCTCATCCCACAGGTTTTCTATGGGGTTTAGATCAGGTGACTGGGGTGGCCATGGCAAAAACCTTCTTTGTCCACTCGAATCATACCTCCTCTTCCTAGCAGATTCTTACCATCTCTACTTGTTTTAAGCTTCTTAATTCATGCCTTGATAGTCGAAATGGGCATTTTCAACTGTTTAGCTATTTTCCTGTAGCCATTTCCTGATTTGTGTAGCTCAACAACCTTTTGTTGCACATCATTGCTGTTTTCTCTGGTCTTTCTCATGGTGATGGATGACTGAGGGAATCTGGCCTGTGTTTCACCTCATACATAATCCACAGTGAACCAGGAGGTCACAGCTGACCATTTAAGTGATTCTAATCGCTAAAATATGAATGGGAATACTACATTTAGATTTCACTCTCAGGAATTGTGGCACACATAAATTTAAGACAAATATTTACTTCAAGATTGACAAGATTCAGTTTTCCTTTATTCATTATACCTTACAAAAAGGTTAGATTTTTTGCAAAAATCAAAGAGGATAAGAAATTCTGAATATTTTTTACAGCCCATTTTGCTCATGATTATAAGTGGTGACAATATTTGTGGAATGCACCATACATACAAATGTGTGTATATATTAAGAGACAGTAAATTCTAGCCAGAACTACTTTGCTAGTTACATGTAGTAGTAACTACAAACTCTCCCCCTATCTCCTTCACTTTCAAATTCTAACCACACAGTTTTTTCAAAACAGATTAAACACTGCAAAACATTTTTTAAAAATGGGTTGAAACATACTTGGGCAGGTATCCATGTACCTGGGCGCACTGCCAAAGTATAACCTGTGTATATATGTATATATCGTTCAGCATTAATGGTGTCTTCACAGATGTGCACGTCACCCATACCATATGCACTAATGCACTCCTATACCATCATGAATACTGGCTTTTGAACTGTGCACTAATAACAAGCTGAGTGGTCTTTAGATCGGAGAATAGTGTCCATGGTTTCCAAAAAGAATTTCAAATGTTGATTTGTCAGACCACAGGACACTTCTCCACTTCCCCTCAGTCCATTTTAAATGAGCTCGGGTCCAGAGAAGGTGGCAGCGTTTCTGGATCCTGTTGCGTTATAGAGTTTTAACTTGCATTTGTGGATACAGTGATGAACTGTTTTCACAGACATTGTGTTTCAGAAGTGTTTCTGAGCCCATGCAGTGAGCTCCACTAGAGAATCATGTCTGTTTTAATGCAGTGCTGCTTGAGGGCCCAAAGACCATGACCAGCAAATACTGGTTTTTGGCCTTGTCCCTTGCATACAGAGATTTCTCCAGATTCTCTGCATCTTTTAAATGTTTTTATGTACCGTAGATGATGAAAAGCAAATGTTCTTTGCTATTTTATGTTGAGAAATGTTATTCTTGAATTGTTGCACTATTTTATTGTGCAGTCTTTCACAGAGTGGTGAACCCCTCCTCATCTTTACTTTTGAAAGACTCAGCCTCTCCGGGTTGCTATTTTATACCCAGTCATGTTACTAACCTGTTGTCAATCAAGCACCAGGTGTTTTTTTTTAGTATTACACAAATTTACCAGCATTTTGTTGCCCCCGTTCTAAATTTTTTTGGAACGTGTTATTGGCATCAAATTCAAAATGGGCATAATTTTTTCAAAAAACAATAAAATTTCTCAGTTTCATCATTTGATACATTGTCTTTGTAGTATTCTCAATGAAATATAGGGTTTAAATGCATAAATTGTATTTTGTATTTAATTTACATTTTGCACAGCGTCCCAACTTTTTTGGAAATGGAGTTGTAGAAACTCAACATTATGTCATTAACATGATCATTAAAGTGGTCCAATTTAAATAATTTACATTTTTTGTCAAAAATGAAGCTGTGAATGGGAACATTATGTTTAACAGGATTTTTTTTTCAACATTTTGTAAAGGTTATTCAACCTAGCAAAGGAAAGCTACAAAAGAACACTTTTGTCAACAGAGCATGGATGAGTCCACTGTAACACAAAAGAGAGTACGAGGGAGTCTCTGACAGGACTTCAGGAGCCGTGAATAAGTATGAAAGCCCCGAGGGAGCTGAGCTATGCTTCAGCCTTGTCAGCTGGGTGTGGGTGACAGGACACCACTGTGCTACTTGCTGAGAACCAGGTGGAGCAGAAGGGCTAGCAATTTTGACCGCCAAAGGGAATGTCAACACGATTCGTGGGTGATGTGTTAGAATGTCAGTGAGAGATGGACTGGCACACACTGAACCTAAAGAAGCAAACAAGATTGAATCGAAAAAAATCCAGCGTGCAAAAATGTCCATGCTCCTAACCACTGTGCATAGTTCTTCCATCCTCTGACTTTAATCCAGCTTTGTAGTTTACACAGTACAAAGCAAGGGCACCTCGAAAATCTATTTCCTACACAACGATCTCACCATTATTTCTTAGCATTTTGCCACAGACTACACAGTGCAAGACTCTGGGGCAAAAGTTGTCTGTGCCATCACAGGTAATTTTCCTGTCACTTCATTCACGCACTAGAACGCATTCTCTCCCAAGTGATGAAAGAGTATTTGGAATGTATTTGCCTTGTAGCAGTGACAACACCTGTTGCAACACTGTGACTCACAGGTTTCTCATCATTTGAATAAAAATGGATTAGAACCTTTACAAAGCAGGTTGAATTCACCGATGCATGTGTCATTCTATTAAAAAATAAACAAGCACAGCTAACTAAAGACAAACCTGTTTCACAATGTACAGGCAGCAGATTTCAGATTTAAAAAAAAAACAAAAGAAGAAAAAAAGTCCCACACAAAATAACGTGTAAATTAATTACATTCACTCAATGTTAATGTTATGTGCAATACTTAATACAGTTTTTTACCTTTAAAAGAGGAATTCCACAGATTTTTCAGAATTTATATATAATTAAATTGTTAAGTTAACAAAGGCATTCAGTGTGGTTTGATGTGAAATACCCTGCTCTAGATAAACTTACCAAGTCAGAATTATTCACAATGGTGGGGTTAGGAATTAGACATCTGAAGGAGTTTAATGCCTCTACAAGTTACTTCACAGAAAGTTATTACATGACATAGTTTTAAATATGTTGACTGATGCCTGGAACATTGCTTTACAATAGTTTTCCAATAATCTTTTGGCTTAAAATGTATTTTTGAAAACACATGTTGGTTGGAGAAATACATGTAGGATGCAAGATAAAATACCTAATTATGCTAAAATTTTGAAAAATCTGAGGAATTCCCTTTTAGGTGTGGGGGGTGGGACTAGCTTTCTAAAACCAAATCGATACAAATCAGGTGTACGTACGATAGTTTGTATGTACAAACCATTGATAGATGATATGGCATTTTCCAAAGGCAATGACTTACATTCACTAGAAATAGTGATAAAACTAAGAGAAGGAAAGAGTTACCTGTAACAGGTCATCGCTGAGGACTTCTGTTTTCTCCGCTCTGTAAAAGAAAAGTAGGAGAGGCTTAGAGTGGGGAAAAAAAATAATACTCTATGTAAAAGTAGATTCCACATCAAAAATTAAATTAACAAAGAGGCTACAAAAAGTGGATCATTCTCAGCACTGCAGTGACACTGACATGCTGGTGGCATGTTAGTGTGTATTGCGCTGGTACGAGTGGATCAGACACAGCAGTGCTGCTAAAGTCCACTCACTGTCCACTCTGTCAGACATGCCTACCCTGCTGGTCCACCTTGTAGATGTAAATTAAGAGACAGTAGCTCATCTGTTGCTGCACAGTGTGTGTGTTAGTCATCCTCTAGTCCTTCATCAGTGGTCACAGGACGCTGTTGGCTGGATATTTTTGGTGGGTGGACTACACTCACTCCAGCAGTGACTATGGAGTTTTTAAACACCTCAGCAGCACTGCTGTGTCTGTTGCACTTGTACCAGCACAACACACACTAACACGCCACCACCAAGTCAGTGTCACCACAAAACAGAGAATGATCCACCTCCCAAATAATATCTGCTCTGTGGTGGTCCTGTGGGGGTCCTGACTATTGAAGAACAGGGTAAAAGGGGGCTAACAAAGTATGCAGAGAAACAGATGGACTATAGTTTGTAATTGCAAAATTACAAAGTGCACCTACATGGTTAATCGAAGCTGATAAAATGGACAAGAAATGAGGTGGTGGTTTTCATGTTATGGCTAATTGGTGTATAAACAGACAAGAGGTAAGCTGAAACACTCTTGCATTAGGTTTATTTTATGCCAAACACAAACAAATAATACACAGGTCACATGCACACTAGGCATGGGCGATATCAAGAAAACAATTAGCACAATTATTTTCTAGTTTTTAAAAAATAAATAAATAAAATGAATAAATAAATCGAGATTAATTCAACTAACCACTGGACACTTAATCTGTACGAAAAATACTGCACCTTTTACTTAGTAAAATCACACAGTGGGAAGTTTACTCTACCAGAGCTTTTAAAGACGATGTTTTATACGAATTGAAAGTATAAATATGAATAAAACATTGTGTACAATTTATTTAATATGACTTATTACCTTTTTCTAAGAACAACAGCCGCAAATGAGGATCAGCGAAACTTTCTCTTCAGTTTAGAGTTAACTTAGCTGCTGTATGCTAACTTCCAGTCATTTTAGCTCATTTTTACTGCAGTGAGTCACTTTGAGGAGAGCTGAAGTTCCAAAGCACGTCAGCATTTATTATCGATTCCATTCGTGTAAAATAAGTTGAGGGGAATCTTGCAGTAAAGACAGCATAACAGTGTGTAGTGAAAAGAAATAACACAGGCAGTTTCTTAACAACTGTATGTGGAACTGACTACTGGTGCGCAAGCATGCACATTTCTTAAACTTGAACCCCAGTTCCCCTTTTACCAAAACGGCGATTATCGCTTTTAACACATTGCCATTGGGTTGCTTGTCCATCATCGATGATATCCAATTACATCGCCCTATCACCCAGGCCTAACACAGACTGCAAACTTTGGCAGCGAACCTAATTCAACAGTAGTCCACAGCTCATAGTCAAGCAGCTGGCTGAAATAGGATCTATAGCTATGCACTTTCCCAGGGAATTTCAGCATTCCATCATCGACCTTGCCACGCTGATATGTGCAGATGGTTAGGCACTATTAATAGTAAACTAATAGACTGCTTTGACCGTGGCACAGATCCTTCCATACACAGAAGATAACACCCGCACACTTCACAAACACGTTTTCAACACCTGACGCACTACTGCTGTAAAAGAGTTAATAAACCCCACTTATCACTATCAGGTTATGACTTTCTCTGAACATCAACATCCTTTACAAGTGATCCGTCAACCATAAAACTACCAGCATTAAAGATTAAGCTGCAGTGCTGGTAGGTGTACTAATTGTTGGCTTAACACCAAAATTAAACTGATATATAATGCAATAGTGAGCCAATGTTAAGTCAAGGTATACAGTAAATAGATTTTTATTTTAGCAAATCTCTGAAAATTATTTTTCAGCAGCACTTCTAAGCAAAATGTCAGTCCATAAACAAAAAAAGTTTGCACTGGTTTCTCTACTTTATACTTTACTTTTTTAAACAGAAAATGTGACTAAATGTGGTCAAGTTTAATGTAAAGTCAAAGTGGCTTATTTATGAAATTATTAAAGAATACATCTGAACACAAAATGGCCAACTGTTAACATAGATTTACATTTTTCTTTATCTTCAACATCTCAAATACCTGAATAACTAACTAACTAAATAAAATAACATATTTGCTAAAATCAGGCAGCTCTTCCTTGGCATCATGTTTCATTTTAAAAGACAACTTCTAGTCAAAAGGTTAAGAACTCTGTATTCTTGGCTTTGACTCGACTATTTAAGGAAAACAAATGTGCAGGCACACTAGCCAAATTTATGTTTTTTTCAGTTTTGGCAAACACTGTGAGAATATGGCTGGCTCTGTGATACTAACATTCCAAACAAGAGAATTAGCCCAAACCTCCTTTGAAAATGAATACAAATAGCCTACTTCAAGTGGGTTAACCTTCTCAACAACTCTGTAGTAATGCTTTAACCTTAATATATCTTGTAATTAGCACCATATGAAGAAACAAATCAAGCAGAACACGAAAGTTATTTGACACTTTAAATTCTAAAGCGAGCAGGCCGATTACTAATACAGGATTAGCAGTAATGTATAATGAGCTTCGGCTAATGTGCTAAAATTATCTTGGAGCTATATAAATGTGCAACATAAACAGTCACGTCAACTGGGTTCAGTCCTGCAGCTCTCAGTGTGCCATGCTACAAAGTCAGCACAGTCTCTCATGCTGGCAAAACTGCACTAGAGTAACCTCGTGACAGTGGTAGACAGCTGCTTTCAATTAACACAGAGGAGCAAAGAGAAGGACTGAAAGGCTGTAACCAAATCCAGATCTAGAATTCAAAAGACTTTTTGGAATCATGCCTGGGCCAAGCTGTTGTCACATATACAGTGGAGCAGAACTATAAGAACATCAGACCCAAATGTATGACAAGCTCTCAAATACAGAGGAGGTGTCATTTTACACGGGGGGATTAAAAGAGAAAAGAGGCTATACATAAACATGCTGTATAAATCACTACATGTAATTTCCTATGTTAGTCAACTGAATCAGAGTTCTGTATGTGTCCAATATTGCCACTTGATCTAAAAGTGTTGTTTCCACTAACACAGCTAATCACTGTACTTAGTATGACTCATTAGTATTACATGAATTACATGTGGATGTCTGAAAATAGTAGTGTACACACCCTTTAGCATTGGGCCTGTTATTGCACACTCAAGTAAGTTAAAATCACCGTGAAGGTCAAGATAGTAATCTATTTTGCCCTTAAAAATCTGCAACCATGCTTTTTTCCTCTCTTCTGCTTAAAAAGCAAGTAATAACTCTAGTGTGAATGAAGTTTGGTCTGGGGTTCTTTTTTCAAAACAAAGAATAAAAAAAACTGCAAGATCTGCAAAACAAAAGTAATTAAACACAATAAATCAGACGAAGCTCATGAAAGGATATTCACATGAAAAAGCCAATCAGCATGTCATGTTGAAATTGCACTTGACCTGTGGAGACCAAGCCAAGATAAGGTTGACCAAGAAAAATTTCAGAGACGACCACCAGGAAATTGTGTGAGATGCAAAGACAAACCCACTGGCAGGCTTCTGTAAAAGAAAGCAGAGTCCAATATGGCGGTACTTAAACAAAACAGGGCTGTGTGATGGAGTTTTCAAAAAAATCTGAAGAGACCTAAAGATTCTGAAGTAGTCTGACAAGATAAAGCTTGATCTGTATGGTCACAACAAGAAACACCATGTTTGGAGAGGACTCAACAGGACATATGAAGAGAAAATCTCTGCTGTTTTGGGGGGTGTGAGCACTCCAGTGGCACAGGAAATTTGGTCAAGATTAAAGGCAAGATGAATGCAGCAGATTATGCAAAAACCCTGTAGAAAAGTCTGCAGGCATCAGTCGGAAGCTGTGCATAGAGCACACTTGGACTTTCAACAGAACAATACAGAACAATGAACCAAAGCACAAGGCCAAGTTGACCCAATAGTGACTGCAGTGGGAGGAGGTGAAGGTTTTGGAGTGGAAGTCACCGTGCCTGGACCTTCCTTGAGCTATTGAGAGGTTGGTGAGGCAAGTATATGGCACGAATCACTGATCTGTAGAAGAGCCATTTGACCAAAAAGAATGGGCAGCTTTACCACCTGAGAGAATCTATGGACTTGTACGCGGCCATCACAAAAGACTGAAAGTCAGGGGTCTCAGTGTCTGGTGCTGGAGGGCTGGAATCCACTGAAGTTTGGTGATGTCCCTGTTCAAACACACTTGATTCAATTCACCAGTTAATGGCTTTAGTATGTACATTTTAACAAGGAAATCACCAAACACTGCTGGACACCAGTGTGGGTTAACCAAGGGTGGGTTAACTTTTAAACACTCTGTAATTTGAGTTATGATTATTTTTTTCAAATAACTTCATCAGAGTAGTATTATCAAAAACAAAACTGTTACCAAAAATAACAACACCAAAAAAAGGCTCTAATATGAAAACTGTGATATTCCAAGGGTCATTAATCTTATCCACAGAGGCCCTGTGGCTTTTCATTGTGATCAAGCAGAAGCACATCTGATTCCACTCATTTAATCAGCCGGTCTCATTCTTCAAACAACCAATTAGTTACAGGAGGTGTGCTCCTGCTGGGTTGCGATGAAAACCTTTCTGAATAAGACTGGTGCCCCCTGTGATATTCTGTCAATTGCTTATACCAACTGATTAAACACACAGTTAAAACAAACATTACTTTCAAGACCAACTGAACTTCATAACGAGAAAACAGTGCAACAAATGCAGCTCTCCATTCTTTGAAAAGCCGGTGCAGAGAAACAACAATGGTTCTGCATTCTCAGCTAGTTGACTGGCCCAAAGGTGACTGTTGGCTTTTGATATATTTTGACATTACATTGTGCTTTGCTTTGGGGTGAGGTTCATTCATTAGGGTATGGGTGGACAAAGAAGATGTCCAAAATTCTGTTATCTGAGGTGTAAAAAGTAATTTTTTACCTTTCAGTCACCAGATATGGCCAGCGAGCAGCTGGATTTTTAGAATTCTCTGACAAACAGTCGTATGCAAAATCTATGGCAACCCATGGTCAAATGTTTTGTTGATTGTAGGTAAAAATAAGCATGTCTTCTACAGAATGCACAATTACTGTTCATTTGCTGAATTTAACATACTGGGGGATAAAATTAAACAAAGTTTAGTCTGTTGAAAGGTATGGCACATTTAATATTTTTTTGTTTTACTTCTTTCCTTTTTCTTAAACTCAGCAAATAAAATAGGAATTGTACACTAAAATTTTTAAAAATGTGTTCTCTGTAGAGGATGCGGTAACTTATTTTTACTACCGGAGTGTTCAAATTTTTGCATACGATTGTATATAGCCTGTTGCCAATAAACTGATGGATGTGGACAGTCCACAGTAAACCAGCAAATTACAGTGCCCTTATAAACCTATTTTGTGCTTAAATAGGCAGAACATCTGCCTGTATTGTACTAATGACACTGATAACCTCAGCCATTATCTCACAATTAATAACCCTTCAGTTCTAGAAGAACAGCTAACAGCTGGTACTCTCGGCCATTCACAGATTCCTGAGTGACGCAAAAAAAAAGGGTGAGTTCTTGCTTTTTTTTCTTTTTTTTTGTTTTTTTGGAACTGCTGTCAAGTCTGTTGTACAACTTACTTTTTCTTAAAAGTAGGTTTTAGCACAGCATGCAGAAGCATGCTATTTACTTTAAAGAAGAAGCTTATTTAGCTTAAAACAACATGTCTGTGATTGTAAAAGGGTTGATTCTTTGATTTCGTTCTTAGAAATTTAACTTCCCCAGGACCGCTTCCTGTTTAAAAAAAGAATAAGGGGAGATTTCCTTTGAGGAGCTGCATGCCGAACAGAGTGTACTGCCTCATCACAATCACAGGAACCATGGGACCAGCTGAGGCTTGTGTCCGGCCTACCCCTCCCCACTTCTGCACCCAAGTCTGCTTTCTGCATCAGAACCTTATGATTTACTGTTAGTGAAATACATTCAACACCATGAGTATTCCAGACGTACACATCTGTCGCTTGCAGCTAACGGTGTTTAAAGCCACAAAATTAAGGTGTTTAAGTAAATATGCTGGACCAGACGTATACCTCTATAGATAAGTACAGCTATGGGCCTGTGTGCGAATCGTTAGGGTTCTTTATTATTGTCTCAAAATGAGAATTATAACCACATTCTGCTTTATGTTCAAGTTAGAGAGTACAAAATATTACTCTATTCTCATTTTTCTTTATGCAGTTCTTGGTGTCAATACGGGTGGGCAACATGGCAGAAGCCCTTGACATTTGTATGATTCATGGTACATATCAATGTGTTTTTTTCTGAGGTTTAATGCAGGCCTAGTGCACTTTTATCATAACTATATGTATAACAAATTTCAATTGCATCATCAGAGCTCAAACCTGCAATCGCCTCACAATAGGGTAAAACCCCTTGTATTACACCACTTGGAGACCTAAACTTTTTTTCATGATACATGCAGTTGTACAGCATTGTAAACGCAATTAAAACATCCTAAATATGCCCAGAAATGCTTACTACTATTTATTGTGATAACTCCACCATATTATCACATGGCTCACCCCTACATAAGAGCACTGCTACTACTTAAACAGACTTTACCTTGCAGTGGAAAAAAATGTCCCTTGTACCTGGCTCTAGATGAGAGAGGAACTGTCTTAGGATTTAAACAAATTAATAGGCAAGTTTATGTGTAATGCTTAGGCCTTAATAATGTGTGGGTTGTCCTCTTTCAAAACAGGGGCATCAGATTATTCAAGTTAGAATGTCGCCACCAAGAAAACAGGCCAGCTCTGCTTAGATCATTACCTGTGTCTTTGTCACAACAGTCATCACAATGCCTTGCAACAAGCCTCTCGAGACTGATCATATTGCAGACATTCAAACAGTGAAAATGAGGACACAGATGCTAAAGGTCAGGGGTTGTTGCATGGTAAAGAATCTGCTGCTAGAAAGGGGCTTCCTCTGTGTGTCTCAGTGACTAAAAACCTGAACACTGTCTATACAGATGCTGTTTGGCACTCACATAAAGCTCCTGTGGTAAATAAAATCAAAGATGGCACCATACCACTTACTCTTTTCAGATGCCAATACTAATATCAATAATGAAACCTTGAGTATAAACCAATGCAATACTGATCTGACATTTTTATATAAAAAAAAAATTCTAAGCTCCAAAATGAGCCATTTTTAAATGAAGCACTTGACTTAAGATCTAAAAGTAAGCTATCATATCATACACCACAGGAAGAAACAGCCAGCAAACTTAATAGCCAGCAATGTGAGTGTGAGCTATTTCAGGATAGATTTGTTACAGGACTAAATTGGATTTATTCTGTTTTCTCCCCTCTGACATCTGATCCAGCATTTTCTGCTGCTTTCAACCCGTTATCAATCAATATTCACCAAACATGCCATCTCTAATTATCTTGAAATAAAATGCATTGTACAGCTGGATAAACCATTGAGTTCATAATAGGGATTTCAACAGTCTGGAATTTTGTAAACAATGAATGGAAATAATGATATATGAATCATTCACTGTGACATTAAAAAACATTGTTTCTCTGATAAAATGGCTTAGTGCTCAACTTCCGATTCATTGTTTTCAAGGGGGGTTAATAAATATGTTTTAAAGTTAAGCTGAAAAATATGCAAGAACAGAATCCTACTGTATACAGTTTATGTAAGAGACCAAAAACAATGTTTTGGCCTAACAGATATGTAAACTCAACATCAGTATCTTTAGGAAGCTTAAGGAGTGTCTATAATGGCCATCTATAGCCAAGCAACTGTTGTACCAAATTACAAACCCCAATCACAATAAAGCACAAAAATAGCACGAAGAGAATGCAGTCCTGTGGGCTTGTCAGCAGAGGAGTTTGGAAATGATGAACAAGCACATACCAAGTACATCAGCTAAACTAGAGGCAGAGGAAAAGGCGCATGAGCTGAACAAACAAAAGCAACTGAATTCGTGATAGAACGTATTTGATCTGTTCTTCAGTTCTGATTCAGACACAATTGCTAACAAATGAACAATCCGTTTGGGAGAAACGTTTTAATACAAGTTCGGTATTTACAACTGACAAACCATGGCTATTTACTGACGAGAACTCTAAATACCCATATAAATTACACATTTAACACTGAAGTGACTGGTTTACGTATTTTATCCAACTTCAGTTAACGATCTGCTTCTATGCTCTGAACGACTGTTTCATAGACTGGCTGGACTTATGTGGCCTCACTGGTTACAAAGTCTATAAACTGAGCTAAATGGTCTTTTGCTTATGTATACTGACAAAAGTTGGAGCAACCTGAGACATTTAAAACAAAGAGTATGTGTTTAGGTAGCTAACTGCGTGTATCATAAAGGATAAATCTGAGTCATCAGGTAGTACCCGACCCGCTACCGCCTTGGCAACACAGGACAACAACAACAGAGCAAACTGCTTAACAATTTGTACTTGCCTGCCAACTGTTTGGTTGGCGAGTTGTTTCATGCGATTAAATTGTTTCTTCATTTTTGTATCGCGGTCCACCAAGTCCTAATTTCCGAGAGTTGAAAGTAGTGTCCTTCGATATAAGTCATCAGCCAAAAATCCTTTGAATCATCTTCAAGTTGTGCTGGTAATTTAGCCGGCAGATGATTAGCCCGCTGAAGTAACGTTAGCTGGATAGCTAGCGTGCTAAGCTAGCAGCACGGTATAGAAAAAATGTAGAATACAATGTAAAAAGCTAGCTTTTGTAAGAGTAGTCGAACAGTTTTCACACCCTGTGTCGTATCTTTTAACGTAGCCAGTACCGACGTGCAAGTCCCATTTTGTGCCAATCTATGAGATGAAATGAAAAGTTGACACATCAGCTGTTGAAGTCTCCCTTCATGACTCGCTGGTTACTGACTGACTCTGATGATGATGATGATGATGTGTAGTCTGCTGCCTTTTCACGCCTACCCGACCAACAGGGTGTCATGCATTTAGAAATTAGACGTATTATCCCACTCCTCAGTGGAAGATTACATTTTCATTAAAATACTGTACATTCAGTGTCTAATTTGAATCCGTTTAGAAGTTTGATTTTACTTTGTTGTGTCTTTGTTTTAGCAGACATACAAGCTTAAAGTGTCTGATTCAAGTGAAAGTAATAGGGACTATTTTTGGTTTTTAATTCAAAGTTTACTTAAGACAAACCTTAATGAAGACAAAACGAACGTACCATTATTTTGTAGTATCTTTCAAAGCTGATATTCTTTATTTATATGATATTCTGTGATAGTACTTTATGTACAGCTAATCATTAGAGGGAGTGCACAAACATGCAATACATTTTGTAACAGCCAAAATCGTTAAAGTGAAGCAGCGTCACAGGTCCAGTTATTTATGTACTCTTGTTTTTTGAAAGTCCTCTAAAATATGAAAATATGAATAAAAGCATCGCAGTAGACTGATCATGGTGATATGTTGAATTAAATTTGCGGTACAGCACATTCAGCTACCAGTGCCTTATGAGTAAGGTTAATGGAAAGGTAGTATTTAAGTTTGTGGGATGTAAGTCATGTTTTTAATTTGGCAAGTCAAAGGGGAAATCCGATGATTTTTCAAAATTCCTGAAAAATGAAATTGTTAAGATATTCATAGTGATTCAGAGTGGTTTGTTTCTCTACTGTAGAAAAAAAAATGTAGAGGAACTTACAGTGGATCTAACAGAGGTTAATATGACCACCATTGTAAAGAAAATCTGTGTTCATACTTTTATCTACAATGCATAATTTCACATCAAAACATCGATTTACTTTAATTACGACTCAACGACAGCACTATGCTGAAATTTCGAAAAATGATGATATTGTTCCTCTTTAATTTATTTTAACTCCTGTTGCGCTGTAAAACAACAAACGTACGGTAGGTGGCGACAGGGAGATCAGTAAACAACACCGGAAAAAAATATGAAGAAGAAGAAGAAGAAGAAGAGCAGCCGTGCACTATGGGATAAGTAGAGGGTGGAGAAGGATGTGAATTGTTATGCGAACAAAATATTCAGATTTTCAGTCTATTAAGTGTTAGCATAATGAATACTGATCCAGTGTTTTCTATTTAATGAGCTGTGAGAACGTTTGCATTGTATCATTGGTCTTGTCTTTGCAGCGCTTCGAGTGCGTTAACGGAGCTGGTTAGCTTAGTGTTGAGCATACATGTAGTGTTTTCTAATGTAAAGAAGCGAAAATCAGTTATACGCTGAATTATTAAGAGTTAATGGCGTCCCACGCACCTTTCACTGATTCTGATACTGCTGATGAAGCAGTCCGAACAACTTGCGACGATGCATCGACATGCAAAAGGTAGAAAGTATTCCTGGCCGGAAAACAACAACTCTTGCTTCATGAACTCACCTTAATAAACACGATCAAATCAAATATTTTCAGATTAAACAGGATTTTCGATTTATATTTCTGTTTTCGATATGTTTCAGAAATGTCTTGATTATGGGCCCAGGAAAACATACAATTATTGTATTAAATCAAAAGGCTGCAGAGGGAAAATGGTGATATTATAAAGCAGTGCTTTTGATCTGTAAACATTCGAAAGACCTGAACTGCCTTATATAAAACCGACACACCTGTCCTCCGTTTTCAACTCCTTCAAACTGAAATATCCACATTTTACAAAGACACAGTTAAAATATGTGCAAAGTCCAACAGTAAACATTATATGTAACTAAGTTGCCATTTAAGCTCATTTTCACTGAGGGAATTATTACATAATAAAAGATAGCATCACTTCATCACACTTACCCAACTCCAGCTTCATTCATGCCCACCAATTGTAAAATATATTGAGGACCTTATGTGTTGCCCCTTTTTAAAAGTGATTAAATAACCACTTGGTTAAAAGCATTTTTTATTTGCTTGTCTATTCATTTATAGGTTTGCAACTAGCAAAGGCTATTGGACAGACCCTTACATACAGTATTTTGTGCGGCAGACAGGTGAACGCAAGGCACCTGAAATCAACAGAGGTAAATTACGCTTATTTCTTTTGTACTTTACACAGTGGTTCAGACCTATTTCTGGATTAATAATCCCTTTTCTCAGTTCATGAATCTAGTTATATAACACCAAAGTTGCCTCTTTGATTTCTGCGACAGGCTATTATGCGCGTGTACAAGGAGTGAACCACTTGCTGGATGCTTTTCTCAAGAAGACACAGTGTGACTGCCAGGTGGTCAATCTTGGAGCAGGACTGGATACCACCTTCTGGAGACTGAAGGTACATTTAACTAAAAAGTGGATTTAAACTCTTGTAATTCATTTTATGTCACCATTTACAGAAAAGTTTTACCTAGCTCAGGCAAAGATTAAAAATGCTATCCAAAAAGATTTAGCCCACAGAGAGAACTTTAACTGCAGAATGGTGTACCTGACTGTGAAGATATATTTTAGACATTTCTGATCTAGAAAAGTCAATTCCAAAAAAGGAGAATATGTGAAATGTAAATAAAAAAGGAAATAGTTGATTTGTAAATCCAATTTGACATTTTTATTTAAATGAAAACAGTACGAAGATGTGTTGTTTTACCTCATCAACTTCATTGTTTTGTTTTTTTATAAATATACACTTTCTGTGAAATTGATGCTTGCAACAAAAAAATCCACGCTTTCTGTTTTTATTAACATTTCACATACTGTCTGAACTTTATTGGTTTTTAGGCTATATTTTATTATTTTGTTATTTATAGTGATCAGCTGTCAAATTTTGCCTAAAACTTCCTGTTTTAATTATTAGGCTGAGAACACTTTGCCGAAAAAGTACTTTGAAGTTGACTTCCCCATGATTGTTGCCAGGAAAATACACCATATCAAGTAAGGTGTAGAACCTCGGTTCTTTTTATGTTATTTTTTCACCTATTATCACCATCAAAACATGGCATGTTAGACAGATGCCTGTAGAGGGAAGCAAAGGCTCAGTTTAGTCATATGTGTTAAACCAGTACCTGATTCATATTTCTTATGTATTACCATCACACAGATGACTGCCTCTCTGGGGAGCACTCAGGAAAGATGCTCATTTTTTTATTTCAGGCTGTGAATCGGCATTTTATACTTAAAAAATGCCATGAAGTAAACAAAACTGGGCTTTGTTCAGAATGTGAATATTTACATTTTTACTGACACAAACAGAGTCAAATCCAAGTGTCATTTCATTTAAAAGTGTTTTTCAGCCTAATCTCTCTACCATATCTGTATTGTGCCATTGATTCAGTTGCTGAATTTCTTGAATAGAAATTTGAAATATGCAACTGTGTAGTACAAATTAAAAACTACAACAGTTACACTCTTAACAAAACGGTCTTAGGACAAGATGAGACATTAGAGAACATCTTACAAAAGCTGTTCTTAAGAAGTTAAAAGCGCTAGAGCGACACAGTAAAATGCAGTTCATATATTACATATATTTTAACTGAATAGGTCATTCTGTTCTCCCAAAATATGTTTCGCATAAACCTTACTGACTGAATTCAGCAGCTGCCCAATGTCTTACATTGTGATTCTGTTATATAATTATAATTAAATACTTTTTGGTACAGAGAAGCTCCTTAGAGTTATTGTCTGTGGTAATCAACCGTATGATACAGATGCCAATAGAGATTAGGATGAAAAATGCTGAAGTATTCCTTTAATTACAATTTGACTACATGTCTAATTCAAGAGTGCAGTGTCAGAGAGTAGTACAATGGGACTCACAGGTCTCTTAAGATGAAATCATGTTTCATTATGCCAGGGACCTACAGTGATGTGGCTGTTAATGAGAGGATTCCTACATATTATGTGTTCTTGTTTGTTTCAAATGAGAAAAACTTTGATAGACTTAACACTACTTTTCTGGTGTTCTCTGAATAATCTGGATGTTTTTGTTAATGCTTAGGCTTAGCTTGTTGTTAATAAATCTCATAACTCTCACTGTCATTGACAAAATTTTTTCCATAAGGAGGCTTTCCTTCACCTTGCTCATCAGGGCATCGTACAGATTTCTGTAATGCGATTTTGTTTGTAAAAAGTGTGGTAAAATAATTACAATAATATCCGGTTTCCATTTTCTATCAGACTTCTATTGTATGCCATTTGCTATTAATGTTTAGCTGCAGGATGCTATCATGTTAGCTGTGTTAGCGCTAACATAAAGCAGTGGGTGGATTCTCAAAATGAGTCTCTTAAGTCCTTCTCAGTGGTAAAATTAAGAGTATGTATTGACAGTGATTCATCGTGGAGATTACATTGTGTATACAGAAAGCTGAAGAATGCGGTGCAGTTTTTTTTTCTTTTTGGGGTTCATACCATAGAAATACACTACAGTTTTAAAGGCTGTCTCTGGCCGTGCTTTTCCCTTTTACCAAGCAGCAATAGCTTCATCACTAAAGACCTGGTAAGATTTCAGGATTTAATTTATTTAAATTCAACTGCTAAAAACAGTAGGAGAGTAATAACAAAAGAGCAGAACTTTTGAGTATAGCAGAATGTTTTGAGCATAGCAAAGACTAGTGTGGGCTTTTTGTAGGGTAGTTATGAGGAGTCGATTCCAAAAGAATCGATTCTTCGACTCCAGCCCCTTTGGGAGTCAGGTTCGACTCTTGAGGCATTCTTGTAGTTGACTCTTCGATTCTGTTGGCTCCATGTTTTTTTCATTGTAAACGGCTTAAGTAAGAATACCTCAGAGCCACAGAACCGTTTGGTTCAGGCATAGCTAGAACTTTTAGAATGGGGTGGCTAGGTAAGACCCAGAGATTTTATTGGAGTGGCACACTGCTAGAAAAAAAACTAAATAAAAGAGCATTACTGTATTAAAATGAGATACAAGTGATGTGTTGGTGTATTTATGTACAACTGAATCCATTTATTTTTTCCACGTGAATAAAACATTACATCAATGCAACTATTGCTGAAAATAAACTGAAAAACAAAACTCTGTTGATGTATTTTAGTCATTTATGCACAAATGGTGTATTTGAATCACGTAAATGAAATGCATCACTTTTTCAGTGCCCAACGTTAATTTATGTGAAGAAAAATTCACATAATGTAGCTCACAGAGCAGCACAGCGGAAGGGACCCAGTGCACATTCACTCGCCTGTTTGCTGAGCCAGTCACAGCAAGATATGCTAATTATTAAATGCAGCATCATTATACACTTATAACTGATTGGGAACCACCTCAGATTTTCACCATATTGTGTAACTGATGCTTTTTTGATGATGTTTGACTGTTGTACTCTCCATAATTGTGGTATGCAGAAGAGTGGAACTGCCCACCTCGACCATCCTGTAACTGAAAACCAAACTCTTCATCTTCTCCTTGATTAGGGTTGCAATAAACGATTACAAAAAGCACAAGGAATGAAAAGGAAAACAAAACATAAATAATATTTTCACTGAACATTTTGGAAAAGAGGAAAGTTGGCTGAAGTTGGCTTCTTATTCAGATTTTCCATTCCACCTTAAATGGTGCATCGGTTACATTAGGTTGCAAATTCTGCAGGATTTAAGGTGGAACTAACAATTTAGATAAGAAACTTCAGTCTTGTGTCATTTTAAATGAATTATGACTGACTATAGAAATGATTTTCTCGGTACATCTCTCCGTGTTTCCCCTCGTCCTGTAGCCTACTGAAGCTCGAGCACCTTCAGCAGCCTCATTATATGAAACAGGTTATTTGATGGTAAGGCGTGTTCAAACATTAGTCAGTCATTTAATCATTTATTAGTAATCATTTATCAAAGTAATGTATACTAGGTATAATCTACAAATTTTCATCATATCCCTGTAATTTGTAGTCAAAAATTGATCAAACTACATCTAGGATGGTTAAAACTCTGCTGTATCTCTGTCACTGGCTCTGCCGTTGTGTTGGTTAAAACTGAGTAGAATCAGGGAGTCTAATCCAGCTGCAGAAGTCGAGATGTGGAGTCAACTCTAGAAAACCTGGAGTTGTGCATCACTATTGTAGGATGGAGTTTCTGTTTTTGTTCATTGATAAAATCTCCAGCTCGACTGAGGCCCTGACAGAAGTTTTTTCACGCCTCACATCAACAATCTGATTGGTTGGCTGATCACTTAGCTCATTTATTTAAAGTTCAAAAAACACCTTCCCGCGTCCCTGTAGCCAATTGGATAATGCTGCCTAGCATAGGTAGCTAGATGTCATTTTGACGTGCCATGATATTTTCAATCCAATAAAAAGTTCAGCGTTTTGCAACCGCTAGTTTGTCTTCTATTACACCTAATAGAAGCTTACTTTGGACTCATCTGCCAGTCAGAATTCTTATATAAACCTATGCTGTGTTTTGGATTTTTACAACTCAATGTAATGATTGCTGCATTTAATGACTTTCTTTACTGTCTTTCTTTTCTTTACTGTCAGGCCAAGCAATTTGTTTTGCCTTTATTAGAGGCTTTTTTGTCATTGATGTTCATGGTGTATGTGTGCCTGTTAAAGTCTTTTTATCTTGCTTTAAAAGTGAAAGAAAAGGCACAAAAAGGTTCTCGTTGATGTGCAAGGGTATGTTTACAAAGTCCTTTTTCCATTTTCACAGGACAAAACCTCCATTGTCAAAGCCTTTGATTGAGACCCATTCAGCTGATTCACTCCTATTAGGTAATAATTTTTAAAAGAATTAAGCATCTACAGAAACGATCAGGATGGTTGTCTTTAGTGTAAAAATGTTTTCACTAGAGCTAATTTTATGGTTGTTAATGTCTTTTTGACAGATGGTCACAGCCTGGACTCAGACAGATATTGTATCATCGGCACCGATCTCAGAGACATCTCAAGTTTAGAAGAGAAACTCAGAAAATTCCAGATAAATACAGAGTAAGTTGGTTGTTTTGGGGTATAATTTATATATTTAATCCCTTCTGCAGTGTGAACATAAAATAGGAATTCATAATTAGCATTATTAGCAAACATTGTTGAATTTAATTAGTTGATGAAGTGCTGTGCAAACGACCACTGTACGGAGACCACCCTTCACTTATTGAATTTCCAGTCAAAGCAGCCATTAAGTACAATTCCATTTTTCAGGAGATATTCTGAGGAGATTACTTATAAGGTAATCCACTTGCATAAGGAAGGAGAGTCAAAGAAATAGGTGGAAAAACACAAGTTTCCAAATTTAACTTTTAACAACTGTGCAAGACCTGGTAGATCACCAGAACTCATGCAGATAAATAGTATTTAAAGCTTTCTTTTTTGAGAGAAGAATAAGCTCAATTCTTGCTTCAGATGTGAAAAAAATCCCATTCTTTCCACTGAGGAGACAACTCAACACTATGAGTCTGAAAGGATGTGTAGCTGTCAAAAAGCTGTTACTGAGAAAAGGAAATAGGACAAAAAAGAAGAAATCAAATGGACTGACCACCCTAGAGCCCAGACCTCCACATCATTGAATGCATTTGAGATTACATGGTTTTTGACAAACAGAAAATGCAAACAATTCCTAAGACTTTGGAGGTGTGCAAAAACATCCCTGCAAATTTCTTTGAAAAATTTAAACCAAGTCTTCTGAAAAGAGTGGAAATTGTAACAAAGGCAAAGGATTTTTTATATTATATTATATATTCATATTATATTTAGCTGTTCAGGCTTCTGTCTGATTTGTTGAATGTGTTTTCTGCTTTTTCCCTGACATGGGAAAATGAATAACTTGTATTTAATGACTGTTATGACTGGAAATCAAGTAAATGAAGGGTGGTCTCTGACCTTTGCACAGTACTGTATATGGAGGATCTGGGATGTTATGACTAAGCCCTTAGATGTGCATTGTGCGTGACTGAATCAGATTTTGAATGGTTTGTTAATTGACTAGAAACAATGAATTTAGGATATCTGGCACCATAAATACACTGGGCTTGGCTGTGTACATCTACTTGATATAATTTTGCGCATTTATTGTTTGGTTGAATATCCCTCTGCTGATGGCCTTGACAACAATAGCGCATAAGGGAGTCATTAAATCGTCCGTATGTACGTCAAGAACTGCTCATCTTCAGTGATGTGCACTGAAGAGTCTTGGAAAAGTTTATAAACTTAGAATATCTATGACATCCGTGGCCTTGTTGTCAAGGACTCTTGCCTCAAATGCTTTTTTTTAACTTCCTTTGAGGTCCGGTCCACCATCCAGGCCTCATCATGGTTTGTAGGACTTGGCTTCACTTTATGTCTCCAGGAGTCTTCTTTCTTGTCCTGTCATGTATCATATTTTTTAAAGTATTAAAAAGTGATTATCTATGAGGTTCACTGTAGAGATGCTAATTATTTGCAGGTGTCTTTTTTGTCATCTGAATGTATATAAACATTTATGTTTACATTGACTATTTTGCATTGTAAACACCACACTCATTTCCTGATAGTAATAATGAGGTTTATATAACCTTTAGAGCTACTTAGTACCACTTTATCACAACATCTATTGTCAGAACATATTTCTGGTTGTTCTCCATAGCAGTTCCTGTAACCTGTAAGTCATAATCAACTGTTTGATGTGCCTTTAAGATGCTTTATCGTGTCTTGGCTCATCTACTGATGGTTTTTGCATGATCAACTGTTTTTGAGCTGTAGCCACTTTCTCATTTTTATACAGTATTATTTTGTGTCATTATCTTCTCTCAAATTAGGTTGCCCACGCTGTTTGTGTCTGAATGTGTACTGGTGTATATGACCCCTGAGCAGTCATCCAAACTGGTGCATTGGGCAGCAGACACCTTCCACACTGCCATGTTCATCAACTATGAACAGGTGAGATACTGGTGTAAGACGTAAGACTGTTGTAGAATATGTGTAGTGCTGTCATTCTTGATTTTATTAGTAATTGATGTCTGAGTTTTTTTTTTTACCCCTTTTTACGATAGTGATAAAATGCAATTTCCCTCAGTTGCATCTTTCTTTAATAAATAATATTGATGGAACAAAATATTTTGATTTAGATGTGCATGATTTACAAAACGGGAGGCAATATGGATTATTAAGTGAGCAGGCATGTTAACATTTGTAAATGTATTTTTATTGTGTTTAAATGCTATTTTTATTTTGACTGTTGTACACAAAGTTGTTATATCAAGAAAGATGAATTTGCGCTGTCAGTTTTATCTCTTTGTCAGAAGCAGTGAGGTGTTTTCACAGCAGGGGGTTCTCATCCCTCATTGCTCCCTAGCAGCTCAACCCAAAGTCACCATTTTACACACAGAGAGCCAACAGTGTCATAGTTAATCTGATAAGAAAATAGTTTAGTCATTTATATGAATTAATTAACATTATAAGTCGATTTCCATTTCACTAGCAGAATGGCCGCTAGGGGCCTGCTGAAAGAGGTTAAAAAATGTCAAACAATTAATATTGGCTTAACAGTAACAAACCATACATTGCCATTCAGAAATTCGAACAAAAATCATTAGAAAAAAGAGTAAATGTGATATTAGCGTCTCGCTGGTTTCTATATATAAAAAGTGGCGTTAAATCTTTGAACCATCTGTAGTTCCAGCCTGAACCACGGCTGCTCACACGTTGGTGTGACTCCATGACTGTAGCACTTTCATTTAAACAAAGTTTTTAATGCCAGTATAGGTAATATCACTAACATTAGCCCTGGAGAAGGCCTTCACTAGATTAGGCTAGGCAGTGCTCACAGGAGAACTGTGGATAAATCAATGAGAAGCAAACTAACAAAAGCAACAGCAAAGTGGAAATCTACAGTTCCCCTCAACACATGACATTCACAGACGAGTCGGAATATGCAGTCACTATTGCTCCTACTGTGTATCAGTGATTGAAAACTAAAACTGGACTTCTCACTACTTTCATGTTCACCCCGTGTCCACATGATTTTCATGCTCAGGTTATTGTGAACTCATCACACAAAGAGGGTAATGTTACTGAATTATTGAATGTAATTATAATAATAAGTTGTGTTCAGACATTCTCTGAACACAACTTGTGCCTGGTGTTCATTCGTATCAGTCAGAAAGTTATAACAACCAGCAAAAACGACCAGATTTACAAACTGAAACTCAAATAGTACAAGAAAATATTCTGGGTAGTTTCAGATATTTGACATTCAACCCAACATTCAAGTTTTCTAAAGCAGTGGCTTTAAAAATTTTTAATGAAGTTTCTAGTTTGCTTTTGTGCCACTGGAACCATAGTATTGATTAAGTTAAAATACAGCTTAAAATATGTACATTTGGATACGGTAAAGCACAAATTCCAATAATAATTTAATACAATTCAAAAAAAGACAAATGATTATAGAGATGTCCCAGGAGAGCATTGTAACCATAATGAAATGCTCTGTGTTTTAAATGAAAAAAAAGTTTTTTTCTCTAGCATCAAATTATACAAATAATACAAATGTGACTGTGATTACCTACACAGAATAATGTGATTAATTGTGATTGTTATTGTAATTATTGTTTTTTTTTTTTTAACTCACCCTAGAATAAAAGATAAATAATGAAATTGCCAACAAATTTCCACACCAATTCATTAAGAGAGTACATTTGAATAGTTTTTTCTTCAACTGGGTAATTGTGACAGCCCTAGTGCATTACTTGACCCAAGAGCCAAAGATCCACTAATACAGCCATGAGTTTTTCATGATTGACCTATCAATAATTAACCCCCTCCCTTTTTTTTTGACAGGTGAACATGGCTGACCGCTTCGGTCAGATTATGATTGAGAATCTGCTGAGACGTCAGTGTAATCTGGCTGGAGTGGATGTGTGCCAATCGTTGGATTCTCAGGTAAAGAAAAAATCCCCTTTAATTCATTGTCTTTTTTAAGGGCCTGCAACACCAGTACTCGACATAAATTTATAGTGTAACATTGTACAATGGCTGTAAATATGGCCTTGTGATTAAAACCGAAGATTTGTGTTTTTTGTACATAAAACATGCTATGTGTTACTTATTATTATTGTGGTGTATTATTGTTTGCATTGTTACTACCTGTTCAGTGTACAAGTTGTCTGGAATCCGAAAAAATAAAACCATCAGACTTGGATGTTGTACTACAGCAGCTGTTGCTAAACCACAAAGTCCCATACAAGCAGTTTCAGTGAGAATGGCTGAAGGTTAAAGGTAGCTTTACTGGAGGTAACCCTGGGTGGAGCTGCTGATAACATGCTTCAGTGGTCTCTCACATTCTTTCAGTACAATCAATTTTTCATTACATGCTCATCCCAAAAGAAAGTGTTTTGATTTAGGGTGGGTTAGGAAGACCTGACTGTACAAGGCATGGTATCTGTTCGCAGAAAGAACGCTTCCTGTCAACAGGATGGGAGAGTGTGAATGCACTGGACATGATGACAGTCTATAGCCTGCTTCCTCAGGACGACATAAGCAGGTATAGGATACCTCACAAGATATAGCCAACTATGGTGCCTTCTTTCTCTTTCAGAGAGTTCCCAGTTTATTAGGTACTCCTACCTTGTACACCTTGTAGGTTAACAATTACTGGCTATAGTTTGCTGCACAGTCAGTTTGTTTGCCACCTTCAATTGAATCTATTCATGGAAAATAGTCTCTAACTGTACACCTACAGGCTATCTCGACAAGTGTGCATGGTGAGGCACCCAAGCCCCTGCCCCTTTTGTTTAAAAATTATTAGCACTCTTTCTGATGAGCTCTAAAAGGTTAATATGCTGCTGTGCAAAACCTGTGCAAAACTTAAAATTATGTCCAGAGGGCAGGTACAGTTTGGTGGCATATGTAAATTTACAAAAGGGTTTTAAAAATGCCAGCCTGAACAGACAGCTTATTTTTTTGCCTGACAGCTTCAGTTTGTCATAGGACAAGGACCAGCAGATCTGTCAGGCTGTAAAACACAAAGTAATGTTAACTTACATATAAAGCGCAAGACTGTACATCACTCTTATTTGTTATGTATGGCAAGAAAGAGATGTCTTAACAAAATGCCTACAATATCAAGACATCACACTTCGATAGTCTAGATTTATTGAAAAGTGATGAGGCTTCATGGTGTTTTGAGTTAGTGTTATACCCAGATTTGTCCAGGTTAGTTTGAAGTTTGAATAATATTTTTGTGTGTGTGTGTGTGTGTGTGTATGTATGTGTATATATATATATATATATATATATATATATATATATATATATATATATATATATATATATATATAATTTAATGGGACATTTATTTGAATTAATGGTTCTTGCAGCAAGAAAAAAAAAATCATTTTAAAGCTACACTGTGTAGCTTCACAGGTTTTGGGGATTTGGAGACCTCTGTATTGGAAATGTGTAATTTCACGCAACGTGCAGAAGAACATATTGTAACATGGGTTGTGCTTTAGAGCTCAATGAGCAATCTCATCTCATAGTAGTGTACAGGCACCATATTTAAGAGTGTTTCTTTTTTTCCTCTTAACTCAGTAATGATACTTAAAATTTACAAAAAACGTATGTAGTACAATCTAATGCAACACATACTACCATGCCACTATCATGACAATGGTCCACCACCCAATAATATCTGGTCAGCAGTGGTCCTGTGGTAGTCTCTTTACATTGATGAACTATGTAGAGGCTGGCTTATGAATTGTACAGCGACAGATGGGCTACAGTCAATAACAGTAAACCTACAATTTCTGTCTATGTGGTAGGTGTACAATGACCAATAGATGTAGGTGCAATGCAGATAATAATTTGGAAACTCAATATGTAGATTTAAAGCCACTCTTACTCTCATTACATTTGCAGAATTGAACGACTGGAATTTTTAGATGAAAAGGAACTGCTTCAGCAGCTTCTCCAACACTACAGTATCTGCTGGGCTGTGAAGGATGCACTTAGTTTGGGTGAGCTTAACTTTTCTGCATTCATTACAAGCAAAAGTCACTGAGAGTGCAGCTAAATATTAGTGTGGTCATTTATATTTGCAGACATACAGTTCCAGTTTACATTTTGATGTGTGTTGACATTAACACCTCTTTCCCACTTTTCCAGGCATTTCACAAATTGGCTTTTAAGCGTGATGGGTATCTGGTTGGGAAGCTTCTTCTTTGTGCCAAGGTCAACATGAATCAGAGGAAGTCATTTCAACTCTTTTTTTCTTTTGTGACGTCAATAAAAGATGAGGCCGCTGTATTTTTGTCTTTTTGCATGGTTCCCTTATGTCTCCCCTGCGCTCCGTGTGTTGCACTCATGAAACTGTAATCGTCTGACTATTTTGAGTGTATGCCGTGCCACTAAATCGTTAACTCATTATTGTAGCAAACATATTTTGTTTAGTCACCCTTTTAGCTGTGTTAAATACTAGACTGATATGGCTTATCTTATCTGGGGGTCATTGGTAAAAAGGGAATGAGTGTGGAATTTCAGAAAATTTCAGGAATCTTTATATTAAACTTTGTTTTTAGTTATTAGCACTAAAAACATAGGCTGCATAAATAGTTTGTGCTGTTAAAATACATTGTGATTTCTTTGTCATGCATTAGAGTTTTGGTTTCTGTCAAAATTGTTCAGAATTGGCAAGCTAACAGTACACTTTGCACTGCATGGTGGAAGGTACTTATTTGTTTGAAGAGTAATAGATACAGTAATAAAATTCTATGGCTGGTTATTTAATGATAACACATTCCTCTGTTTTAATTACATACATTTTTAGTCATGTGATGACCTGTAAAATACCACATTTGAATATATTCATGTTTTAAAATTTCAAAACTGAATTCACTTGTTCGAATTTTTAAAACAACAGTTTTAAATTTAAAACAATTACATACTTTTGAAATATGTATAATTATATTGGAATATAATGTTCTGCCTTGCTTTGTGTTTAAATGTGCTTAGCAGGGCATTTTTGCAACAACAGGGATTCACAGTGGAGAGTGGACCCTAACAGCATGACAACTTTTGTTTGTGTGTGAGTCTTTCAGGGAAAATATTAACCCAACATGGCCTTGTGCGGCTGTGTGCTGTCACAGGTTCCCCACTGACAGATTAGTATGCAGTACTCCAAAGGTAGAATTGCTCATATGATTTCTTTTGCCAATGCTGTTAAAGATCAACATGGTCATTGATATTAAAGATTTATAGATGAGTAATCTTGCATGTAATTACTACTGTATGGACTGCATGAGGATGATGCATGTGCTCTATTCCACAAATTTTATGGTCTAATTCCTTTTATCATCAGACTTATAGATAAGCTAGATAAGCTTTTCTAACACCATCACCCCCTTGCTGCACCCTTTGCTGCTGGGTGTATTCTTCAGCCTTTGAAAGAGCCACGATGGGGTGAATAGTGGGCGCGTCTTGTCCTCCCTATTCCCCTCCCCTCTCCACCCCCAAAAACACCTTTATCAGCTTGAAGCCATGCACATGTGGACAGTGCATTGGTAGCAGTGGACAGCATGACAACTACTGAGTCTAAGTCCGAGCTCTTCACCATAGCCAGTGTGGAGTCCGCTCAGAGCCAGAAAGAGCAGGCCAGTTCCATGGGCTTCTTTGAGCGCTACGTGCAGCCGTGTCTGGCGGAGCTGCTGGGCTCCACGCTCTTCATCTTCGTGGGCTGTGTCTCAGTCATCAGCAACGTTGGTGTCACAGGCAGCATCCAGCCTGCGCTGGCACACGGACTGGCGCTGGCCATCACAGTCGCAGTGTTTGGAGAGATCAGGTCAGGACTTCTGACATCTTCCTGCTTTATTAGTGATTTAACTTATCATATGATTACAAGTCCTTGAATATAAGGACATTTTGATATTTATATTTGTGTAATGTAAAGTTGACAGAAGAGACTGCTGTAGTTATTACTAGAAATTATTCTATGAAACTTTTTTTTTTATTTTTAATATGGCAATGAGGAAGACTCCAGTAGAGGTCTACATAAGACCCCCAGTGTTTACTACTAATAATAATACTTCGTTTGAATTTTAAGACTGGTGTTCTTTCATATGCAGTTTTGGCAGTCAGTCTCATTGTAATTTACTCTGAGCCCTAATATAATATGATGGCATGTTTCCTCAGTGGGGGTCACTATAACCCAGCTGTGTCTGTGTGTGTATACCTGCTGGGGGGGATGGAGCTGGTCCTGCTTGGTCCGTATGTACTTGCCCAAATGTTTGGTGGAATGATTGGAGCTGGTCTTGCTAAAGTAAGCCTGATTATTATTCTGTTACCACTCACTTTCTGTTAATGGTAATTTTAATCTAATAATATGTAAATATAGTTACATTGTTATTACTTGTTTTTGTAGAACATATTTTTGGAACAAAATGACATATCCTAACGTTTTCTGTTCATATTAATTTGAACTGGAATTGGAAATTACTCCAGTTTTATTTCTTTCCAATTTTGTGCTGTAAAAATGATACATAGGGGACAGCGTGGCTGGTTGTCTGCTAGATATCCAGGGCGTGCCGTACATCAAAATAACTAGCAGCAAATGAAAGCTAAACATCTTGGCTAAAAACAGACTTTTTCAGTGTCAGAAGATATGTCCTGGAATTAGTGCATTCATAAATAAATTTGTGTTGTGTAATTTTGCCAACTTGCCCCAACATGAGGCAGGTTGCACAAAGGTAAAAGGCAATAATTTCAAAACATGAAGCAACTAATTGAGCTTATAATTTAAGCCAAACCAACGATGGCAAACAAATAACATTGTAATCAAAAATGTTAGGAATGCTTAATTTATTTTTATATCATTACCTTTTATTGAACAGTGGTGAACAAAGTTCAAAACTCCACTAGAGAGAACGTATAATAAAATATTTCGTAAAATATTGCTTGAGTAAACATAGAGTATATTTCATATTTAAAACATCATATTTAATAGATAAATACTTATGTAAGTTATGTTATTTTTATCTTAAGACTCATGCATCATCAAATGGCCTCCAGCTTAGAACAAATTTAACAGATTGTGACTTTCAGAGCCCTTGACAAAATTGATGAATCTTGGTCAAGAAGACATTTTTACATTACGTTTTTGTAAGAGCTGCTCTAACTCAGCCCTTACTCACTTACAAGTCAACACTGTGCCAACCAATCCCAAGCTCACATACGGGGGGGAATGTTTGAAAGTAAATATTGTAATAATGGTAAATAAGAGTTTTGCTAACATTCAGTTACCTGGCACAGTGATGGACCTTAGGGTTAATTCCTTTTCCATTCCATAGAAGTATTTGTTTTTAATGAATATTTGTATATAAAACTAGGCTTTTATTTTATTCAAGTTTAAAAACTTGTATTTTGTGCAGGCCATCTCCCCATCAGCTGAATTTTATAATGCTTCTGGTGCTGCATTCAATGCAGTCAAGTCTAGTGGTGACATCGGGCCTGTTACTGTGGCCGAGATGGTGATGACCCTCTTCCTGACCATGGTGGTCAGTATGGGTGCTGTGAATGGGAGGACTAAAAGCCAGCTGGCTCCATTCTGCATTGGCCTTACAGTGACTGCCAACATTCTGGCTGGGTAAGAAACACTTAATCCAGTAGGGGGCAGTGAATGATTAGGCTTAGGCTCATAACTGTTTTACTAAAGCAGTGTTTGCTAGGCCTGAAGTAGCTCAGTTCCCTACCATATTAACCTCTAGAGGTACTAAAGGAGTGTAAAACTGTGTAGTCTTGACATTTGGCTTTTATTATCATTAACAGATCACTAGCACACTGAAAAAGTGATGCACTGAATTTACATGATTCAGATGTGTACATCATTTCCACATAAATAAACTAAATCACATTAAGATTTGTCTTTTGAATCAAGTACATTAAATGCATTACTGTTGGTCTAAAAACTCTTCTTCTGCTTCAAATATATGCAGAAAAATGTAGCCTCAGAATTTTAACCGAATGCTGATGCAAGACATGAAGGTCATTCAACTGCTCCTGAAAAGTCAAATGTCAATACCTGATATGTATATATCAAACTAACCGGCATAAATTTTCTCACAGTGGTATGATCTCTGGAGCCTGTATGAATCCAGCTCGAGCGTTTGGGCCAGCAGCAGTGGCTGGTCACTGGGACTCTCACTGGGTGTACTGGGTTGGACCTTTGGCTGGTGCTCTTCTGACTGCCAGCATTGTTAGGTATTTTGTAATATATTGTCACCTTTTCAGATGGGCCAATGTTTCTGCAGATGTCCAGTAATCTCAAAATTTCAATGGTGTCTATGTTAGTGGCACAGATCAAAAGCTTTTGTCAAGTGTCCATTATTCATCTTTTTTTGTAGTTTATAGAAAATATGAATATTTCTGTTCCAATTAGCTCTATCTTGTTTTATAATCTTTGAAATATAACTCAAAAATGAAAAGACTCTATTGACCCACCATGCTTATGTATATATAATGATTTCTCCATTTTCTGTTCTAGGTTATTGATGGGTGACAAGAAGACTCGTGTCATATTAAAATGAGAAGGCTGCCATCTGTGAGGATCATTCATGAATGATGCAACACTTAAACAGATAATGCTGACACACTGCCAAAACGTATGTATTGGCAAGTGAAATCATCTTAAATCTAGTTAACATATCTAATATTTCTCATTAGGAGATTGCTGCAACCAGTGTTGGGTAGTAACAGACTACACATAATATGAATTACTTAATCTGATTACAAAAATCAAGTGCTTGTATTCAGAATAGGTTACCTTTGAAAATGGCCCTAATCAGATTATAGTTACTTTTTTATGCAATACATTTTTGATGAGGCAGCATAAATAGATTTTTACATCGTATGGCCATAAACTGCATAATAGCTCTATCACTATGACTGATAATAAAAGTTAAGTTGTTTTGGGAGAAGAAAAAAATTAAATTGAACATCCTGAAACCTTTTAACCAATTAGGCAGTGAAACTAAATGCAGTGGAAATATTCAAAGATTAAACCTAAACTTAAACTATAAAGAATTTTACACTGAACACTGAAATTTAGTCCAAGAATAAGATTAATCCATGTCCAGGAAACTGGAACCATAAAATTACAGTAAAAGATTATGCAACTGATTATGTTTTTAGTCAAGTAATTTGTACTGGATTATCTGATGCATTTGTAATGTAATTTGTAACACTGCTTATAAAGGATTACTCAACTCATTTTTAGACATTTCTACTTATTCTGAGCAGTTTTATGTGGTGAAAATATATTATTCCATTGTCAGATGGAATAGGATAATTAAAAAAAAGCTTGTTTCATGCATTATCTCTTGAAACAAGCAAAATTATCTGTCAAGAGAATAAGAAAATTTCACTAGATAAAATTAATATATTAATGATATAAAAAACAATAATATAATACAACATCTCGTAATGAGAAATATTAGCTATTAACTACATTTAAGATTAATTTACTTGCCAAGATAATTTTTGCATTGTATATTCATCTCTCTCTCTCTCTCTCTCTCTCTCTCTCTCTCTCTCTCTCTCTCTCTCATAAACTGACTGTAACAAGTTAACAAGTGTACATTAGGTATGTGTAAAACTCTTTGTGTTTCTTCCAATCTCCTGTAAAAACAACCAAGTTTCTTCCATTTAAACTAGATTCTCGAGAAAGGATCCCTATGCAGGTTTGTGTTTTGTAACTGATGATTGTGTCAAATAAAGCTTTTTACTTTTGTTAGATAATAATCTACATGAATTGCTCTTCATATCTAAGTTTGACATGAGTCAAAGTTCAGCATGATATGACAATCAGCGGAGATAAGATCATCACACTTAACACTTAACAGGACTGTATTTCTTTTTATAGAGAAAATAAGCAAACTAAATGGCATCCATGATCTTTGCTTCAAAAGAGGTTGGGTACTTTAATGACTTCAAGATCAAGATACATCAACCTTTCCCTTATTTCACATTCAGCTTTGCAAATGGCATATTGCAGCTACACAGTAACTCAGTAAGAGTGATAAACCTCACACAAAGCCAGGCAGGCAGCCAACACTGATAAGAGAATATCATTTGGACACAGGCTGGACTTTATGGTGGAAAATGAAACCTGGGTTCATAATTCTTATGCAACATACGTTTGATACGTGTTGAATGAATTGATTTGTGTGTGCAAATTGCTGCTTGTCACTGAACTTGTGTCATGTCCCTATTTGAATGGCTATTTGGGAAAAAGAAAACACACTTGCTGTCCCTGTTGAAACAGGTCAAAGTCTGCTTAAAGTTTGCCAGACAATTCTTTTAAGATGATCCATGGGAACAATGAGCAAAATAAGCAATAATAATAATAATAATAATAATACACACACACATTTTCTAAACCGCTTATCCTTCAGTCGTGGTGGGTGCTGGAGCCTATCCCAGCAGTCGTTGAGCAGAAGTCAGGATACAGCCTGAACAGGTTGCCAGTCCATTGAAGGGCAGACAGACAGACACATACATTCACACCTAGGGGCAGTTTAGTGTGTCCAGTTGTCCTGACTGCATGTCTTTGGACTGTGGGAGGAAACCCACGCAGACATGGGGAGCACATGCAAATTCCACACAGCCACTGCGCCACCGTGCCACCCAATAATAGTAATAATAATGATGGTTAGATGATGAAAAGGGGAATTCCACCATTTCTCACAATTTCTGCATAATTTAATTGTTAACATGTAAACAAAGTTGTACAGTCTAAAATGTGTTATTTTAACATTTCTGATGACTTTGTCAATAATTTATTTACACAGAAAAATCTGTGTAATTACCCTATTACAGGTGACAATATCAACTAGAAAAGCAGATGCATTGATTTGACTTGATTGCCAAAAGTAAGTAAACTGAAAGACAAAACTGTGTTGATGTTTTCTTCTGTAAATGATTTACTTATTGAACTCAATGCATCCTTCTTCAGTATATAAAAGTTGCACTAGCAATATGTTGTACACATCTAAGCATTTTTAAGCACTGGGTGTTGCACCAAATGTAGAAACAGTGACATTTTTGATGGTTGAGGCCAAAAGCTCTTTATTCCATTATTAAACTGAAGATTGTCTGTGTAGTAAATATTATCAATGAATCAGTAGCTAATATGAAACTAATATGTATATTATGTAGTACATAAAGAGTGGAAGTCTGTATCCTACAGCAGGGGCTGGATTTACAAAAGTGTCTGAAGAAAGTAAGTCTTCTTAAATGTGTCTTTTTTTCTTAACTACATACTTAAGAAAAAAGTTTAGATAAATTGTTATTCTTCAAAAAACTTTCAGAATGTTAATTTCCTTATTTTTCACATTTGTAAGAGCAAGTGGTATTCTGGAAAAATATGTTCTTAAATATTTTTGTGAACTTTGGACAGTATCACACTTATTTTAGACGGGCAAAATGGACAGAACAACCTCATAAATTGTAACTTAAAATGAGCTTTACAACATAAAATTGTACAAAAAATTAGCCAAGGAGGAGTCATCCTGTTGCGTGTTTTCTTTCACCATCACTTCCAGTTCTTGTTTGCCAATTTTTTTGAATGTTTGATTGGCTTTAGTTTTACCTTGGGCACTGATGCGTTTAAACTGACAAGAACAAAAACGGTCAAAGGAAATACGGTAAAATTTCTGATAATCTATCAAATGTAATAAAATACTAAGAGTTTACATTAAAATAACCCATAGCTTACATATGAAAACAATTAAGATTTTTTTTTTTTCTAAAGACATAAAATTTGAGAACATTTTCATGAGAATTGCATTTAAGAGCACTCTTATGAACATCTTAGTGTTTGTCTTTAGATCTTTTATAAGGAAGGCTTTTGTGAATCTGGCTCCAGGTCCTTTAAGGAGTTAAAAGACACCATCCTGCTGCCAGGTCTGTTTGATATTGCTTGCAAACACAGCATGGCTGTGTGTATTGTTATGCTAGTCTGGACTCTGGCAGTTGAGGTCAAGGTGCTAAGAATAGTTACGGTATCAGCCTCGTAGTAATAAATGAGGCTACTTGAGGATGGCAGCACAGATTAACTAGTCAGTCACTGCTTGGACTTGAAACAAGTGAATCAGACAGACCTAAAGCAAGATGGAAGAAGAGAAAATGGAGCTTAAGGAGGTGGATAGAAGCTTTCAGGAAAAGACCAAAAAAGCAGCCAAACCACCCAGCACGTTTGAGAGAGTGATCCAGCCATGTATTGCAGAGCTGGTGGGAACCACGTTTTTCGTCTTCATTGGCTGTGTGTCAGTGATTGAGAATGTGGAAGCAGCAGGGAGGCTGCAGCCAGCACTGGTGCATGGTCTGGCAGTAGCTGTGTTGGTGGCATGTATGGCAGAGATCAGGTAAAGCTCACAATTCTGCTCTTTTAATGTTTTTTCATTTTGTTATTTCAGATAGAACATGAAAGACTTTAACACTTAACTATTAGAGCCTATGCAAATGGCTTGAGTGAAGTGACTTTACAGGGCCCATATCATGGAAAATACAAATTTGCCTCAGCTTTTAGCACAACTTCGTTTCCAAAAACAAAAAAGTTGGGCTGCTGTGCAAAATGTAAATAAAAACAGAATGCAATGATACATGATGTGCAAATCATTTAAATCCTGTGTTATAAAATAGTAGAATAGTACAAAATAGTACAAAAACAACATCAAATGTTGAAACTGAGAATTTTTTTGTTTGTTTTTTCTTTTTTTATAAATCTATGCCCATTTTGAATTTGATGCCAGCAACATGTTTCAAAATTTTAGACAGGGGCATGTTTACCACTCTGTTACATCACCTCTTCTTTTAGCAACATTCTCAAGCTGTAGTTTTGAAAGTGAAATGTTTTCCCATTCTTATTTGATATAGGCTTTTAGCTGCTCAGCAGTTCAGAGTCTCAACAGACTCAACAATTTGTCACATTTTTCATTTCATAATGCGCCAAATGTTTTCAATGGGTGACAGATCTAGACTTGCAGGCCAGTTTAATATGTTGCAGTATGCTGTGGTAATATGTGCAGAATGAGGTTTGGCGTCCCTGGATGGTGACGTCTTTTTCAGGGACGGCCTTGCATATTTCAGCAAGACAACGCATATGTTGCAACAAAACCTATATTTATCATTCAACATTAACAGTGCCTTCACAGATGTGAAAGTTACCCATGCTATATGCACTAATGCATGTCTGTAACATCACGCTGATTTTTGAAAGTGCACTGATAACAAGTCGGCTGGTCTCTCTCTCTTGTACCCAAGAGGACACAGTGTCCATGTTTTCAAAAAAAGAAGTTCACATTTTGAAGTTCACAGGACACTTTTCCACTTTGTCTCACTTTGCCTTACTCTATCTTAAACGAGCCAGCCAATACTGGTTTTCCGTCTTGTTCCTTGCATACAGAAATTTTTCTAGATTCTTTGAATCTTTTAATGATATTCTGTACTGTAGATGATGAAATCCTCAAGTTTTTTGCTATTTTACATTGAGAAACATCACTCTTGAATTGTTGCACTATTTGCCTGCACAGTCTTTCACAGAGTGGTGAAGACTTCCTCATCTTTACTCCTAAAAGACTCAGCCTCTCTGGGATGCTCTTTTTTATACCCAATCATGTTACTGACCTTTTGCTGATTAACCTGAATAGTTGTGAGATGTTCCGCCAAGTTGTCTTTTAGCATTACACAACTTTACCAGTCTTTTGTTGCTCTGTTCCAAGTTTTTGAAATGTGTTGCTGGCATCAGTTTCAAAATGGGCAAACATTTTTCAGAAAATTTCTCAGTTTCAACATTTGACATGTTGTCTTTGTTCTATTTTTAATAAATATAGGGCGTCCCAACCTTTTTGGAAAAGAGGTTGTAATAAAAGTTTGATAGAGTAAATTTCAAACCTCAGTTCACTTCCTAGTCCTTACAATACATATACATTTACTGTCAGAACAAAACTTCATATCTCCATTTTGTCATTTTTACAATTTTATTTTTTCAGAATTTCAAAATGCCCACTGCCACTTTTGTCATGTCAAAATATAATGATGAATGGACCAATAGAATTGGTCAAAAGTTGGACGAAAATCATGTTCCATTCAAACAATGATATGGAAAGTAAGGTGCAAAAAATAGCCTGTTTGAAATTCTTTGTTTTGTGATGTCAACACATTTATACAAATGTGCATATTCGGCCTACAGCACTTCAGCCCTGCCTGTTTACACTGGTGTTTTTAACAATGTTTTAGTCTGGATTGCAATGTAAATCACTCACAATGGAGGGCTCTCCAGTATCAATCTTAAAGGCACAGTAACAAAAACAGCATGTTCAGAGGCTGTTTAGAGAGATGAAAAGGGAGGAAAATGGTCATGTAACAATGGATATTTATGGCATATATAATCACACAAACATCATTAGTTGAATTCTGGGCAATAAGGTAAATATAAGAAATGTCAGATATGAGCCCTTTAAACTAAAGAGAAGCTTGGGACACGATAGATTTTTGCTTTTTATGCTTCTTGCAGTGTAAATCTTAAGCTAGACCTCTTTTGCCTCTTCTGCAGTGGATCTCATTTTAACCCTCCTTTCACCATCGGCATCTTCCTGTGTGGAGGAATACAGCTGTCCCTGGCCGTCCTGTACCTTGTCAGTCAGCTCATTGGAGGTGTGCTTGGTGCTGCTATGGCAAAGGTGGATTCAGTAGTATCAGTGTTTCACCATTTTCCCCCATTAACTGTAGGAATTTGGAATCCAGTAGCCAGTTGTGATGTGTTTGATTCTTTGAATAAATCAGGTTACCCTCAACTTACTGTGTTCTTCAGGTTATGACCTCAAAAGAAAACTACATGAATGCTACTGGGGCGGCCTTTGCCATTCTAAAATCAGACGACCAACTGGGAGCAGCCATCTTTGCTGAGGTGGCCATGACGTGCCTGGTGACCATGGTAGTGCTGCTGGGGGCAGTCAATGGGAAAAGTAAGAGCCCCCTGGTGCCTTTCATGGTGGGCTGCACTGTGATCATCAATATCCTGGCGGGGTAGGTCAAGAATGCTCTGAAAGACAGGATGATATTCAGAGTTTTATGACTCTAACATGCACAATATACAGTGCCTTGCAAAAGCATCCGACTCCTAGATTACAAATGACACTTCGATATTTTGTATGGTGCCATATTTCACTTAAAAAGGCTGACCCTCAAAATTAATTAATTTAAAGTGACATTGGTTTTATGTAAGACAATATTCTGGGACTGCAAAATGCCCTTTGCAAAAGTACTTAAACTCTGTGCTGTGGAAGTTCCAAGTTTCTACAAATGAAAGATCATCTTTTCTGGATAAAAGATTGTCTTAATTCAAATACCATTGCTCAGACTGTGAATCTGAAGGACAGCTGTGAAAATAAAGAACAAGAAACATTTTAAAGAAATTGGAGGTAAAACTATGGACATGTTCAAGATAGGAAAAAACATCCAAGTGTTTGGATATCCCAGTAAGCACTGTTGGATCAATTGTGAGGAAATTGTGAGGAAGCTACATCATATCACCCAGGCCTTGGCTAAACAAGGCTGTCCTTCAAAACTCAGCATCAGAGCAAGAAAGGGACTTGTGAGGGAAGCCACAGAGAGGCCAAAAATCACTTTGAAGAAGATACAGAGTTCAGTGGCTGAGAGTGGATTGAAGGTGCACCAGAGTAAGTGTGGCGCAAATCCAACACTGCCCATTTCTCAACAAACACCATCCCAACAGTGAAGTACAGAGTTGGGAACATCGTGTTAAAGCATCTTGAGCATCTTGTTAAAACTGAAGGAGAGAAGGATGGTGCAAAATGCATAGAAACACTGCAAGACTGCTTCAGTCTGCTAAAAAAAAACTAGAGCTTGGGAGAAAATTCACATCTCAGCAGGACAGTGATCCCAAGCACAAGGCCAAAGAAACACAGGAGTGGTTGAACAACAAAAAGGTGAATGTTCTACAATGCCCAAGTCAAAGTCCAGATCTTTATCCAATCAAGAATCTGTGGTACTATTTGGAAATTGCAGTCTGTAAGGGTCATTCAACCAACCTGAACAACCTGGAGCAAATGTGCTAGGAAGAAAGGGTAAAAATCTCTCCTAAACAGTACGCAAAGATGAAACTTACGCCCCGCAATGCTTAAAGATGTTATTTCAACAAAAGATGGTTCTACCAAGTACTAGTCTGCAGGGATTGAACAGTTATGCAAGCAGCATTTTTTCAACATTTTTTGAACATCTGCTGATAAATAATGAATTTAAAATTTGAAAATTTGTTCAAAGGCACGCTGGTTTATAATAAAAAATATAATCTGAAACAATCTGTAGGTGTTATTTTAATCCAGACAAACCTAAGGACCTTTAAGGGGGCTGAATCCTTTTGCCATGCACTGTGTACATACAGCTATAACTAAATCAGTCAAGCCTTCAAACATCTACTATACATCCAAACATATCCAGACACCCCTTTTAATTGGTGAATTACTAATTACTACTTTCAGGCTTTAAGGTGCATCCATTGCTGACAGAGGTTTTCAGTTATTCACACACAGCTCGTATAATCTCCATAGAAAAGTTTTGCCAAAAGAATGGGATACCCAAAGCCAATATCTGGGGTATAAAGCCCCCAGGCATTGTGCTGTACAGCAGAACTGTGTTCTCTGTAGTGATAGTGCTCCATCCAACACATTTGGGATGAGTTGGAGTGGAGTTTGTGATCCAGAACTAATCAACCAACATCAGCAGCTAACCTCACTAATGCTCTTATGGCTGAATATAATCAAATCCTCACAGAAATGCTCCAACATCTAGTGTAAACCCTTGCGTTTCATGTTTCACAAATAACAGTGTAGTAGCTGTAAATTTACAGTTAATGACAATTATTATTCATTTTACTTTAAAATCCCCTGTTGGGGAGAAAAGTCAGCCTTTTTCTGCATTACTGTTAAGTCATTGTGATTTGTCAACATGGCTGTATTTGTTCAGGACTTTGTCAATAATATACAAACAAGACAAACAAAATGTACTGTAAAATGCTGTCACATAACACATACATCACATGCATCACATCAGTTTAATGGCTGAAAATTTACAGTTAATGACAATAATTCAAGTTTTTTTTTCTACATTTTATGATTATTACCCATGTAAGCTCAATCTCTTTCTGTCTGTTTTTTTACAGTGCACGTTGCCAAACATTGACTATAAGTTTATAAGCTCAAAGTGTCAAACATTGTAAAAAAGATGGACAATAGTTAGCAATCAAAAGTTTCATACTTTTGACTGCTAACTATTGTCCATCCTAACAAGAAAACTATGTGTTTAATATATGGGCATTGACATTAAAATTACTGCAGTAATGTTTAAGAGAGTTTGCAAAATTATACATTTATATCCTATATTTTATTTGGATATACAAATGATAACTGTATTTTCACAAATGTTCTATAGAAATACTGCTACACCAATAACTGACATGATGCCTTGAATCTACAAAGAAAATAAACAGAAGATTTCATTTTAAAGTTAAAATAACTGTAAAAAGCATTAAAACTACATCTCCCTATAAGAGGATTCGTGCTCTGAAGTGGTGCAGGTGTCTGTGAGTTTGAGGATCAGATTAGGAGTTTAAATCCCAGTGATGCTCTCCTTGGTTTTGATTTGTCTTTCTTTTAAATTTACGGTAAATGTTTGGCTGCCAGACTTTTGGTCGTTTTTCAGTGTGGCTGATGTGATGCTGAGCTGGTGGGAAAAAGCTCTTTATCTGAATGTGCGTGTGATTTAGATATAGTGTGATTGCTGTTTCAGTGGGGACGTGTCCGGCACCTGCCTGAACCCAGCAAGAGCTTTGGGACCAGCAGTGATGGCTGGTTACTGGACATATCATTGGGTGTACTGGGTGGGCCCTATTGGAGGGGGTTTAGTAGCCGCAGCTCTTGTAAGGTGAGTCCACTTTGCACATATAACCAATAATAATAGGCTGCTCTTGTGTTATTATTATTATTATTATTATTATTATTATTATTACTATGATTATTATTATTATCTAAATACATTATTGGCCTATTTTATGCTTCTTTCAGGCTTTTGCTTGGAGATGAGAAGATCCGTGTAATAATGAAATGATATACACCAGCATGATTACTCATTTCATTGCTAATGTAACACAGGTGAATCATTTGAAAAATAGTTTTTTTCTATCTTGCGGTAGATCTACCAGTAGATGTCAGTAAGATACAGAGTCAGTAAAATACACACACAAACGCCGATTTTCCCTTTATTACATACACGTACAGGCCATCTTCGAACATAAGCATGCAAGCATGCAAGCAAATAAATAAATGCATTAACAAATAATTCCTCTTAACTTTTCCAGCAGAAACAAAGTAACATTAAAGTTTTTTTTCCCTCGTCTTTGCTCAGACCTGCGCTTTTCTCGCTGTTGTGAAAAACTCTCAGCAGTGCGTGCTGAAAGCTTGACTGGTGCCCGTGTGTGCTACAGGCTAAGCAGTTCTAAGCATTTCTCAGCCTTTCTAAGCATTTCGCAGATGTTTTGTCAGCCGCCACCGTCACTACCCCCTGTCAGCTTTTGATGAACAGTCTACTCTCACAGAGTCACGTAGACAAAAGATGAGCTCATAATTATGGCGGGCAGGCTGGGAATTATCTCTACATCTGTTATACTGCAGGAGTCTGGTGATGTACAGAACCAGCCAACACATTAATTTAGTTTAGTTTTGATTTTTTCCGCATTTTAGAATAATAGCAAGATTATTACTATATAATTAATAATTCTATAAACATTTAATCTTTTTAAAAATGTTTTCTTAAATCAGCTCCTTCGTGCCTTGATGCAGTTTTGCACCCTTAGCAGCGTCATATACTTTTCCAACAAACTCCACGTACTTGTTGAGGGAACATTAAAAAAATGTTACTTGTTTTTTGGAAATCATCTTCCCCATTTATAATATAGGCAAATATACACTCATTTGGACACATACCATCAGATCAAAATATCTTTAAAACATATCTCAGCCAGGTGTGGACCAAATTTTTCTATGTCTCTGTGCAGCTCATGCAAATGTCTGATAGGCCAGATGTCTTTTGAGAATCTTCCAGATACCATAAGAAAAGAGGCTTGTTTTCATTATTGCATGTATTTTTTCTTGGCATCGCGTGAATATTTTTATTGTGGTTATAATATAATCAGGAAAGTGTCAAAATGTAAATGTGTGCAAGTGTGCTTTTTCTCTTCAGATTGTTTCAAAGAGCTAATAAATGAATAAAAGGACACACATCAGCTCTCATCCCTGTTTGAGGAAACTAGGGCAGCTAGTCTCACTTCACGTGGGTCGCATAATCAGTTTATTACCGTTTTAGTCATTCAGCCATATTAATCTAGATTCTAGTGATGAACTTCAGTGAATAAAGTTAACTTCTAATGCAACATTCTTTATTAACATAAAGCAGCTTGGTATCAGTAAGCGATCAGTAAGCAAACGATATTGAAATTCACATACAGTACAATGACTCTTTAGTAGTTATGTTTCAAATGTTTTTCGATTTTTTCGAGTTTTGTATTTTGAGTAATTAGTTGTTTGTAATACTAGTCTGACATAAAACTGACCAGCCTAACTTACGACAGCACTGCATGATTAATGTACCGTATTCATTTTGTTCAAACCTGCATCTTTTTGTGTATTCATGCTGTGAGATGAAGTTAAATTTAAGACGAGGACGGTTTCTGAATATTCGGGGGTCCTAAACGATCTCCTCCACCAGTCCCAATCTTGTTATTTTGTTTGAAAAAAAGAAAAAGAATTGAAATTTCAATTATTTTAACCACGAAAACGTTTCATAAATGACAACATAATTAAATAATAATTAACTACATACAAGGAAAAGAATCGTTAAACTTCTAAAATAAATACAAATAAAAAATATGGGTGCAAAGCCACCAAAAATTTCTTCTTATGATATTTTTATGCAGATATCTTCATTGACACAAACCATTAAAAACAAACAAACAAACACACATAATTGCAAGCCTTTGTGGATCGGGGGTCCTGGGCAATTCTGTATATGGTTTATGACAAGAAACGGCCTTGGAGAATTAAATTATTTCATCTCTGTATCAATAGATCAGGGCACTCAACTGTCATCGAATTAAAAATGTTTGGCCTGCCACTTAAACAGATCTAGAGAAATACTGTAAGGCTATAATGTTATATAACACTTCTATAATAATCTGTAACATTTCCTCTTATAATATTCCTATAGTACTGACTTATAACCTATACTTCTGTAGTGTCTTAATTGTCCGAGTTTACTATGGGGTTCTTATAGGATATATCATTGCAGAAATGTCTGTAGTATTGCTATAAATATTTCTCGTAAGAATAATGTGGCATATTCTGCGCATCCTGTGAGAAAAACGACAAAAACACGTTAACATTTCTCCACATTTGGTCACTTTTATTTTGGTACGTTATGCCTAGGTCTGAGCTAATGAGCCCGCCATTGCATACCAAAAGGTGTGTAAATATTTAACGATATTTATCAGACATGGCCAGGGCCACATTGGCGAGGAACTTCTCAAAGGCCAGGTGGACCTCAGGAGTGAGGTCATCCGGGAAATAGACGGCCAGCACCACGAGGATGCAGTGGGCCAAGATCTGTTGGATTGAGATTGAAGGTATAAGAGTTCGAAAAGTACAAGTTGGGCTTACAAATAATACCATTTAATCAGGGTAAACAGGGGCAGCTTCTTAATCCAAGTCAAAAAGGTTACCTTATAGTTGGCAGGGTCTACTCTCATCTGGAAGGCGTGCAGCTCGCTAAGGGTAAGCAGACCACCAACGAGGTCGTCGATTTTGGCCACAGCCTCTGCGAGTCCTCCCATGATCTTCTTTCCGTGGTTCTTCACGGGGGCAGAACCAGAGCTCATGTCCGGCCAGTGGGAGAAGTAAGTTTTGGTCTGAGGGTAGACCGAAAGCATTCTGGCAAAGAAATCAGGAAGACGGTTGAGTCAGCGAGCAAAACTAGTTATCCAGTCTACTTGGGACGAATTGTGGTGACGAAGAAATGGTCATCAAGTCAACCTGGCAGGAATTATTGTGACGAAATGCCATCAGTAACCAAAACAAGTAATCAGGTCTAGTTGGCACGAATTATCGAGACGAAATGCCATCAACGAGCAGAATGGTCATCCATGTTCTACTGAACCAAGCCACACTCACCTGTACAGGGCATCGTGGCCAATGATTTCAGCCTTTGGGGCGACCTTTGCCCAGAAGGCCTTGACGAGACTCTTGTCCTTGTCGGAGAGGCTCATTTTGGATGAGTTTGTCCTGCTGTATTTGCCACCGGCTCTCTTTTTATGCGTCTGTATTCGTGCTGGCACACCCAAGATAGGAGCCCCAATTACGTGCCAGATTGAACCTCTGCCAGGGAACCGTCGAGCTTTGACGTTAACCTACTGAATGTTTTCCCCCCTTTTTCCACCCTTTTTCAGAGCTGAATTTGAGCGCATTTCATGGAAAATTCAATTATACACAATATAAGCATATCCTACTCAAGCGAATGTAACATCTCCACAAGACTCAAAAATACAAAATGAACGTAGTCTCCACTTTAAATACATTTGTTACATTTTATTACATACATTATGTTAAAAATGTGTGATGTGAGATAAAACATTCCACAGAATTAGGCCAACGTGTATAAGTTAGCCATAACAGGTTTTACACCAGTTTTCAATCACTTGATTATTTATGATCGAATAGATAGATAGAATAGATAGAGAACTTCTAAATGTAGAATAAAACGTCATAAAACAGTGATTTCATTATATTTGAGAGCAGATATGCCTCAATCACACCAGCTGGTTATAATTAAATATAGTAAGAAGCAGTTACCCATGTTAAAGCAGTTCTATTGGCTGATCTGATTTGTAACAGATTTATAAATCACACATTTCATTTATTGGCTCTAATAAATGCGAACCTATCAAAGGAGATAAAAGCCACGCCCAATTACTCCTTACTTATTTCTGATGAGCTCCACAGAGCAGACTAATGTTTTTATTTGCAAGCTCACGTGACGGGGAGTGTGATAGAGCAGATAGAGCGTCTGACTGTGCGTGCGTGTGTGTCTGTGTGAGAGAGATAAACACAGAGAAGCTGCAATAAGTCTGACTTTAGTCCAGACAGAAATGACAGGGGATTTTATATATAATACAATGTAATAAAATAACTTTGACGCGTTTAGCTGTAAAACAGAGAGAACCTTCTGTAGTTTTGACAGTTAATTATGAAACAACAGATCGTTGAGCCGTTATACTCTGAGCCACAGACACTCAAAAATGCACGAATAAGTCTGTTGGACTTACAAACTAAAATATCTCGCCATAAAATAAATGAATTGTGTTGTCTTAAGTTACTGGTTTACGTAAAATGGACAAAATGTAATGAAAGTACATTTCAATGACTAAAAACTGTTTATTTTAATCCAAAGAGAATTCCATTTCAATTATACCCAGATACTTCGCATTGAAATGTTTCTATTTTGTTCCATAAACAAATTAACTTTAATTTGTGTTGAGTGAAAGAAAATTATACAGTGACTCTGCTCTATCCGACTGAACGAAGACGTGTGGCATAAAGGTGATTCAAGTTCAAAGTCATGGGCATAAGCTCAGTTTATCAAATTAAACGCACAATAACTCAAATAATAAACAGGCAACATCAGTCATTAACTCTTTAAATTGTGGGCTTATTATTCAGTTTTCAGTCTTAAGATCATTATTCAGAAACTTCAATGAATTAATTAGTAACTATAAAATTCATGAATCATGAGCGCACATACGGGTCTTCAGAGTTGCGTTATTAACCTAAAAAGATAGGCCGCAATTTCATCCGGGCCTTTTACCCAAAAGTCTCGAAACACCAATCAGACAGCTGCACCAGTGAGTGACCACACCCTCCTCCGCGCCCTGCCCGGGACAAAAAACACAGCTAACAGACGGCAGTAATGAGCTTCATGATTACTACAGTACACCACACTGAGAGTGATACCAATTCTTCAGCTAAATAAGTATACATATAAAACATACGTCACCCAGCAAAACCATGGTGGAGTGGACTGAGGAAGAGCGAGCCTTCATCCAGGAGATTTTCAGTAAGCTTAAGTATGAAGTTGTAGGCCCTAAGTCTCTCTGCAGGTACGTTGGGAATGAGCTCATGGTTCTGATACAGCCCCTGATGCTCGAGCCAGAGCCGGAGACAGTGGTGTCTTGTGCTCCTTTGCAGGGCTCTGATCGTGTACCCCTGGACTCAGCGCTACTTCGCGCATTTCGGGAACCTGTATAACGAGGATGCCATCATGGGAAACCCGGAGGTGGCCAGGCACGGGGTAGTGGTGCTACATGGATTGGACGCGGCCCTGAAGAACATGGACAACATTAAGAGCAACTACGCCGAGCTGAGCGAGCTGCACTCCGAGAAACTGCACGTGGATCCTGATAACTTCAAGGTGGGAAGAGCAGCAGCTTAATATAGAGAAATAGAGATCTGTCATTTATTACAGTACTACTTACAGTCAGTAACCATAAACCTACAAAGTGTACCGTTAACTCTTGCCAGGATTTCACAATATTTGGCAGCAATTTTTCAGTCTGAATTTTTTCTCATGTTTGTGCAAAACATAAGCAGACTCTCTGTAAAATGTGTGTTTGCATTTAAAATGCATATAAGATATTCAGTTCACAAAAAATGTAAGTTGTCACTTACATATCAAAATATGTTGATCTTTTTTATTTTAGTTTAGCTTTTAATTTATTTACAAAATGATGTATACATATTTATAGGTCTTTTGAAATTAAAAGTCCATATATATATATATATAGTTATTTATATATTATATATATTATATATATATTTATATAGTAAATTACAGCTTATTGCTGTAAGTGTACAACAGCATATAACTACATTACAGTAATCTTGTTGTTCAGAGACTGTGGAGTTCTTTGCTGTTAATATGGTGCAGTAAATTACTGTGAAAGTAATGCAACTAGTAGCCAGTAATTGACTATAATTTTGCAATTTAGGCATTTTAAAATGGCCAGGAAATAGAGGTACAAGGGAGACATACATCATAAACTGGAATATATATTTGGGTGTAGATGTAGATATAGTCTGCATATATGTATTTATCCCAGCAGAAGTACAAAAGGTCTTGAGGCACTGAGTTTGATTCAAATGTGTACATCATTTTACAATGATAAAATATATTACCATCAACACAGTTATTGCCAAAAGTAATATATTTTTATTTATGTGGAAATAATTACTAAATTGAATGAATCCCTTTTTCAGTGTACATACAGATCTGTCTAATAGAGTTGTGCTGAGACTAACTGGATTGTCTTGTTGCAGCTGATGGCTGACTGTATTACAGTGGTGATCGCTACTCAGATGCGATCCTCCTTCACCCCCGCCATGCAGGCCGCCTGGTACAAGTTCCTCTCAGTGGTGGTCTCAGCTCTGAGCAGACAGTACCACTAAATCTCTCTTACACTCACACACAATGACTCTGTTACACTGTAAAGAATTGATATGTTGTCTGAATGTTAAAAACATGGATTATAATGTTACCTGAGTATAATGGGGGACTTAAACTGACTGGACAATAGAGGAAGAGGTATAATAACAAATAGTCCAAATCTTTTTTCAGTCTTTATACATTGCAACCAACTTAATGCAACTTGATCCATTCAGACTTGTTTAAAGCTGTGTTCACTTGCTTTGTACTGGAAGCATTTTGTTCTGGATCCCTCTGTTTTTCTGTTCTCTCGGTTTTTGGCTAACAACAAAACAACATGTGTGATGTTCTTTAACATGCTCTATAAACTTTTTGTCGACAGTGATTGTACAGTGAACTCTAGTCCTAAAGATGTTAAGAGTGTGAGATTGTGAAACTTATGAGAACTTTAGACCACTCTCTAAAGATAGTTTGCATGCCAAAGAGAGTTCACGAAAAGAATAACAGAACTGCTAGTTGACAAAAATGTATGATGAGAGCATATTTGGTGTTGATAATATTATGCTCATCATGTGTCTAATGAAACTGTGTAAATAGCCAAGATAAAATGTGTTCAATAAATTTGTAATTATAATTTATTAACCCCTTAAAATCCCTGGCTTATTACACACTTAGACTTATTATTCAATAACAACATGAACTACAAAGCAAACTGGCTGGGTTATTCTTAGGTTATAGAAAAGTGTGGTAAAACTTTGGACCTGCTGGTGGGTCCAGGCCATTTAAAGGGCTAAATTTATGTATTTTATGAAGGTTGTTAATGAATTGTACAATCCATTATCTTAGTTTACCACTAGAGGGAGATAGAGTCTATATGCAGTTTGGGTTGCTCTGGACAAATTACATGTTTTGCAAACATCCTCTACAGTTTATGTATAATGTTTTCTGCAGATGTGTAGATGATGTGTTGACTTATGTTCAAATTAAACAACCATTGAATTTTGCCATATGACTGGTCAAATTTGAGAGGGGTTTCCAAGCTGTGGCATACAACTGAGCCAACACAGACATGGGAAATCCTCTGACAGCCTTGGACTGAACTATGTGTGTGTAAAATGAATGAGCTCCAATGATCCATCCTGCAGATGATCCTGTGTTTTCAGGACAAAGTCTGAACAAAATGTTGGTCACAAAGAATCCAACACACTGAACACACAGAGAATTAGTAGAGCTTTCCTCATCCTCCTGCATGTACAGCTAGAGTACCTTTCCATTACTGCATCATGATAAAAAAGACACACGTCATGTTAATGTTTTATTACAAAAATATTCAACTATTTACATCAAATTAATAATGAGTGACTAAAGGAAAGATTCTCTTCTCTTCCATCTTTCTGGGTAAATTGGCTCATAGGAAGTGTTGGTGTTTGGTTAAGGCTGTTCATCTGAATTTCTCGGCCAGCACTGCTGAGTAAGCTGACAGATACTTGTCCGTGGCTGCGTGTGCACGTGGAGAGAAATCTTCCCCTAAAAAGCAGGCTAATGTCACCAGCATACAGTGATTGAAAAGCTGTGGAAAGAGAGAATTTATACATGGAAGCAATTCAGTTTCAGTGTGACTTGACATGTCAATTCTAAAATGAAAGAATTTCATAATCAAACTAAGGGAGACTGGGGGAGGGTTGTAACATGGGGATATATCACTACTGCACACACCCACCACCTTCCTGCACTGATAGGAGAATATTGAAGACTGTGTGAAGCAGTGACATGTTTATGTAACAAAAAGATAAAATAAAAAATTAAGGTAAGAAAGTAAAATTCCACCTAACTTATATAGTGTGGTCAGCACTCATATTCATGGAGGTTCCATAACTGATATGGGCTTTTTTAGGTGGAGAATCAGCAGTTTCTCTAGTTTTACAGTTATTCACTGTAAATTTACAGTACATTACTGGCACCTCTTCTGCTAGTTAATTAATGTAAATTGTGTTGTCTGGTATGTCACTGCAAACCGATGCACCGACCCCAAGCTTTTACAGTATAGACGGCTTGTGAAGTGCATGTTATGTTGGGTGTGCAGTCACTGAAAGTATAATTTGTAATAAAAATATTGTAAATTAGAAAAGACTGCAAAGCAGAAGCATTTTCAGACTTCTCAGACTTTTGGACCCCACTGTACATGCTGAAAAAATCTAGCCATGTCATGACCAACCAGGTCGGGCTGAGAATGTACTGTAGAAAGACTGACCAAAGAACAATACGACCCCTCACATTTCTTTTCTGACCCACTCACATAAGGTAAATTATAACTATCAACGACAAAAAAAAGCTTATGCTGAGTTTTGGGTGCTGATATTCTGGTCAACAGGACCAGCTAAACCAGCTCCAGACCAGCATGACTAGCATTGAATGCACGCTGATCTGTGCTGTTTCTTTTCAGCAGGGTTGGTTTCCCTTACTATGATGTACAAACCAGATAACATTATCATGATGGTAAAATGAACCTTGAAGTTGGTGGGGTGTATTCGAAGTTGGTAGGCGTGGAATCTGCTAAGATAGCTGAGGTTGGCGGTGAACTGGGCGGTGCCAATGTGTCTGGTGCCCTCAGCTATGGCCTCTACTATCCTCTTCCCAATGGAGCGCAAATGCTCAGAGCGCGCGCTGAGGTCCAGATGAGCGAAATATGTCTTAGTCTTAGGAAACGTCGTAAACATCCTGAGAAGCAACAAAGAAGAGTAAGAGAGAGAGAGAGAGGAAGAGAGAGAGAGAGACTTTGACTTAAAAAAGCATTTTTTTTTGCACTACTCTTCCATTAAAAGACATGCATTAAAAAGCTAGAGGCCTTCCTGTCACCACGGTAAAGTTAGTTTTATTTTCGATATTCGTCTTTTCGGCGCTAATAACATTTGTACGGACTGTGGAGGCTAGTAAAGACTTACATATTCATGACAGCAACCACAGAGAGTGATTTTCTTCTGCGGTTTGGGTAACATTTAACGTACCCCTCTTTTTTTGTTAATGCCGAAAAAGTGAGAAGAGATTTCCAATCGGAATTAAATGTATGCGTTTCTAGACCACATCCGTGCACACGCATTTGTTTTCCTCCAAATTGTTTCAGTGCTTTTAAAAACATATTTTATTGCTTCCTTTAACAGTAATACTTCCTGTCTGCTATAACGGACGATATTCGGACAATAAACCTGTCCACATTTTACTCTCCATATTTAAACTGCTAAGTTAATATTCACGCTTAGACAAGATAGCAGGCCCGCTGAAGAAGAATCATGACAAACCATAGAGCTTCTGCTTCAGTGAAGACAACACCCGTCAACAGTAAAAAAAAAAACGCCGTCAGATCTAGTTCTTTCCAAAGCATGAAAAATGTTTGCCTGGAAATCGATCTTTAGTCGCTTAAGTTGAAATGTAGCTCTATATAAAAACGTACAGACTCTAATGTCTTTACAGTGATGTGATAGAGACTAGGGGTTGCCACACAAATACAGCCATTTTATTTACGACCGCTGAACATAGACAAGTCTCTACACTGAAAATGCTAAAATAGTGAACAATCTGAAAAAAGAACAAAGCTTTGGTTACCACTTTGTCTTACAACGCCCTGCCCCTACCCCTGCTATGAATTGATTTTTTAAAAATGCGTTTCAGACTAAAAGCTTCTCTCAAAATGATCGTAAAACAGTATCTCAGGCAGGTAGCTACTTTAACCATTTTCTGTCAAGTAGCTTTAAATACTTCAGATGTCTGGCTGATATCATCACCGCTGTGAACAGTTCTGTAAGGTTCTGTAAGTTTCTCCAAAACGGAGCATTTATATCAATCCACACTGAATGACTGGTTACACTTTAAACATTTAATTATGAAAAACATTTAGAGAATCTGTAAGGACAGCAGGAAAAATAACTTTACAGTGCTATCAAAACGTGGTGACATTTACTCCACTCGTTCCACAGAAAAAAACAGAATATTATTAAAGATTGCAGCCATGCTCTGAAAAGGCTACCGCGTCTCATGCCACCCACGCCAGAGTTCTTTGCCTCAGACTGCTGAATAACGGTCCTTCATGCGCAGTGATGGAAGCGAGGTGATTGTCTATTATGGTGTGATAGATGTCTGTTACATTGCGTGTAACCCTCAAAGAAGATGACTTTAAAAGCATCACACTGTATTTAACACACAATAAACATGAACTTGAACGTTATAAATAACATACAGTCCCATGCAAAATTGAAACACTCGCGGTCAGATTACCTTTTGTTGATTTTCTATGTGAAAACAGGTTGGCACATCCTCTACCGCAAACACACTCAAGTATGGCTTTTTCTGCAAATTATAGTGCAAAATTTTTGTAATACTGACTTTAACACCCTGGGAAAGGAAACATAAAATACTAAATGTTTTTCACATTTTATGTTTCATTATTTTTCCAATATGTCTAACTGAGCAAAGAAACAGTAACTGTGAATTAAATGTGCAGAAATGTGTTCTCTGTAGAGGATGTGTAAACTTTTTTTTACATTTAGAGAATCAACAAAACGTAATTTGAGTTATTACTTTAAAGTAAAAGTAATAACTGAGAGAGAGAGACATACAGGCAGTCAAAGTGAGAGAGAGAGAAAGAGAGAGAGAGAGAGAGAGAGAGAGAGAGAGAGAGAGAGAGAGAGAGAGAGAGAGTGAGTTCCCCTGCTTGCGTCAAAGCGCAGGGTCGCGCTCCACGTTCGATAAACAAGCTAGTTTTTTAATGTCCCGATATAAACCATATAAATCACCCGACGGACTGCGAGACAAGCGTGTGACTAAAACTCAGTAATACCATAAACAAACTACCGAATATTTAATGAAGCACCGTGAGCACTTTAAGCGGCATAAAGCAGCACAGCCTGGTTTTAAATTACACAAAATCCCTGTGAGTGAGTAAAAAGCTGCTGTGCCTCCGGCCCTGCAGTCATACCTTAAAAGAGCCTCAGAGCCGATGTCTTCCGCCACTGGAGTCAGTCTGTCCCACAGCTCTATCAGTAACTCTCTCTCTCGTGCTGACAGCATTGTGACATTCTGCGACGAATAAAAACTTTGAAAAAAAAACGGGCTATTAAAAAAACGAAAATAAAAATAAAATACACTGGACAAAGACTACGCGAAAATTGACTGAGCTGTCCAATGGTATTCTTTAGCCATTTTGACAGCAGCCCAGGCAAAAGTGCACTAGCTGGGTTAGTGTGATGAGGCGCGGCTGCGGTCAGTGTAAGGCGCGCGCGGCTCAGGGGAGCTTCATCACGTGTTCGATCTGCAGCGCTGCGTCATTACCAGTATCAGTGGATTCACCCACAATCAATCTGTCACTCTATGTAAGGAGTTAAACCCCCAGATTTCAGGACATTTCAACTGCAACTGCTAAAAATAATGTGAAAGATTTGAACTTAAAACTTATTTGACTGTACACAGTAAAACCTAATCAGTTAAGTGAACTTAAATAGTTTAAGGAAACCGATTGCCTTAAACCATTTAAGTGTAAGTAACTCAAATCTGATGAGTTAGGCAAATTATATTTACTGCCTTTACACAACTCTAGGCACTCAAGTTCAGCTAACTCACCTTCTTCCATTAAAAGCTAAACTAAGCTTTAATTTGATCAAATTTATACTGAATGGCAGAACATTTTTGACAAGAATGCCTTAAGCAGTTTAACTTAATACTGCTATGGACCATCTCGCCCAATACTGACAATACAGCCTAGAATGCAGAAGTGGTCTGAAGTGTTCAGGACCACTCTCAGCAGGTGGGGTCATGATAGCTCAGCTTACTCAGCACTGATCTACAGTCAGTACTGACTGAGAGTAGATGAGCTCCCGAACTGTAGAAAATAAGTAAGCGCCAAAGGGAAGGTAGGATGAGGAGAATGACTACACAGAGATGGTAAGTTAAACAAGGTGGAAAGATACGCCCAATATGCATGCCACCAAGAGCCAATAGGAATGATGCAAGTTGTACTCAAGGTTGCATTGACCAAGCTTTCATCAAGTAAAGCTGCCAAGTCTTAACAAACTAAACTAAACTGCAAGAGGTTGATTCAACCCAGAGATCCAATTTGAATGCCCAAAGTTGTCAAAAGTTACATGAAAAGCATGATAAGTCCAAATCATTTGAATGTAAACCCAACCATGTCTGTATCTACCTGTAAAGTCAACTTAAATAAAAATAATGAACATAAAACACTTGAATAAAGTTACCTTAATTTAAAAATATGCTAACAAATGATTTTACTCAAAATGAGTTACTATCTCGACAATTCATTTTTGAGTTGGTTTGAATTTGTCTGGTTAAGTTACTCCAACTTTCTGTGGTATTTATGTTGTGTTAACTCTTCAGTCTGTAGGACTGTAGAACTAACTTTACCTAAGTAACTAAGGATTATACAAGAAATAGTATGTGTTACTAGATTTGCATTAGTAAGTGTAACAGATGAGTAAAGTAAACCCCAAAAAAATAAGTTAGTTCAATTGTTACATTTTACTGTGTAGTCAATGCTTTTTTACAGGCAGGACAGGAGAAAGAGAGAAGTAAGAAAAAGAGAATGGTAGGATAAATAGAAGGGCAAGATAAAAATAGATCAAAATAAGGATTCTGCATCAATAGAATTAGCTTCATATTGGCACTCTTGCTAAAGATGGTTTAAAAAACACAATGAAAAGTGTCTTTAAGATTAATTAGCTCAATCTCACACTGAAAATATAAATGGGAGCATGCTTTAATTGAAATGAACAAAACCCTGAAAGATATATTTTATCCATGCATTCTACTTTCACTGGGATATATATATATTTATGAGGTGTCACAGAGGCGGATAGAGTAGATCAAATAGATCCCCCTCAGTCTTACACACTGCACCTTTAAGTACTGAGTAACTTATAGAACTGCAGTGGAATTTCTTAGTAAATTCAGCATCTAGCATACATCAGCAAAACCTATTGGTTCTCAGGACCATATATTTCCATATTGGGCATGTCTTTGCAGTTTTCCTACTGTCTGTCTGTTGTCATTCTCCCCAGCCAACCTCCAATTGGGTGCCTACCTGTTTTCTGTATGTTGGTATATAATTTCAGTTCAGCTATTTTTATTATAATCAAGATTAATGACCATATTCCCACCTTCTGTGGTAGCTGGACACTGCTGTGGCTTCTTCTGCACTCTACACTGCAAGCCCTGATATTATTTGTACTTAAATAATCACATTATAATTACTTATTTTTTTGCAATTAGAAGCTATTACTGAATCCAAGCACACTGTTTGGACTGTCTGGTTAAAAATTCAATTGTACTTATTTCAGAGATTAGAATAAACTAAAAAAAAAAACAAGAAATAAAAGAGTATGGAGTTGATTTCTGTTTGTTGGCTCTTATTTTTCCTTCAGATGTTGTTTTCAAGCAAACAACATTCACATGTTCTATACTGGTTAAATGTAAATTTAGATGCACGTTTGCATGTTTTAGATATCCACTCCAGCCTCGTTTAGAGGCAGAGTTACTCTATTATTTTTAGCAAATTAACCTTTTCATCTTTACAGTGGGCTGAACTATCAGCATTTGGCAGGATGGCCTCAGTCTTTTCAATAAGTTATTGCAATGCAATATGAATTTGTTACAGTTATAGCCTATTTTTTAAGTGAAAGAAAATTAGGACAACTTTATGCCCATAACTCACAGTCACTTAATTGTATTGAGTTAGAACAACAATTACGCATAAGTCCAAAATACTCAATCATTTTAAAATCAGTCAAATGAATGGAGTTAATATAATTTACTGAATTACTCAATTAATATGTAACATGTTTTGTTCATACTCAGTTCAGGAAATTATTTATGGTTACTTAAACTTAAAAGGTTTAAGGCAATCAGTTTCCTCAAACCATTTAAGTTTATTCAAATCTTCAGTTTTACAGTGTAATAACTGAGGTTTGTATGGCTCTATTCTTTGGGGTTTTTTTGTTTTTGGAGGGGGGTTATTTTGGTCTAAAATACACAAAGTCAGAGATATAACCAATCACACGGCAGTATGGATGTTGTCACCAACAAAGCGTAATGAAATTAAACACAAAAAGGAATTAGTAACTACATATGAATGATTAAAATGCAGCTGAATGAAAAAGGTAGATTACTAATATACTTGAGTCATAAAACCATAAAAAAGCCATAAAAACAGATACATGATTGAAAATGCTCATGTCCACTGCAAGGGAAATTATTAAGAAGTCTAAAACAACCAGAAATCTAGTGAAACTGCCTGGTAGAGGATGCAAGTGTATTTTGACCCCACAAACAATGAGGAGGATGATTAGAAACATTTCTCCAAGGATCATAGTTAGAGATGTTGGAGATGTGCAGAAGATGCTAGCATTTTAGAATCATCAAGTCTCCAAAACTACAATTAGAATCCACTTCCATGCAAAAAACATTTTGTAGGCATGCCAGAAGAAAGCATTTTCTTTGTTTCCTGCCAGTGTACAAATATTAAGCCATTAGTGGATGGATGACAGAGTGATTTTATGTTTAAGGAGAGTAGCTATAACTGTAGCTTATAGGCATGGAATGGAGACAGATTACAATACGATTGAATACACCAAAATTGTGTGCAATTTTTATTGCAAAAAAAAATAAACTGCCAATCAATGCAGTTTACTAAGACTTGCCACGCAACATAACAATTAAAGATTGTCCCATGGACAAAACAATGTTATTTAATCACTTGAAATTGAATTTTCTCCTAAATGCAGCCATATGTGTGTATATCTAAAAGATATCATTGCAAAATACTGAACAGATGTGCACCTATGACTATGGTGGCCCACTGAGTCATGTCAAAACATTTATGAAGCACACAAAAGCTGAGAACACAACATTGTTAATACTCTTTTGGTGAAAAAGGCTGACAAACCACAAAGAGATACGACCACCTTCGAGCGGCCCTACCGAGCATGTGCATATTACTAGCACAGCCTACTAACTCAGTGTTTTAAATGTTAATTCAGTACTGACTCAGCTTAATACTACTATCCCTTGATAAGCTGATCAAAATGTCCTAATTATTCTTTAAATGTAGGTACTATTTTCTGATAAGGACATTCACCAGCTTCTTGTTTGAATTCTCCTGTTCCACCTTAAATGGTACAGCAGTTATATTCTGGTGCCTGAGGTGTTATAATAACTGCTGCAGCATTTAAGTTTAAACAAGAAACTTTGAGTAAGAAGCTGGCAAAAAAGAAACTGTAGTTTTAATGCTGGTAGTATATTTTTGAAAAGATGATTTATGGTGTCAAAAAATCCTACCTAAATGTTTTTTTGGTACAGAGCTACCAACAAATACGGCGTTCAGGCATAACATTATGACCACCTTGTTGTTTCTATGCTCACTGTCCTTTTTATCAGCTCCACTTACTATATAGGTGCACTTTATAGTTCTACAATTACAGGCCGTAGTCCATCTGTTTCTCTGCATGCTTTGTTAGCCCCCTTTTACCGTGTTCTTCAACGGTCAGGACCCCCATGGACCCTCACAGAGCAGGTACTATTTGGGTGGTGGATCATTCTCAGCACTGCAGTAACACTGACATGGTGGTGGTGTGTTAGTGTGTGTTGTGCTGGTTTGAGTGGATCAGACACAGCAGTGCTGCTGGGTGTCCACTCACTGTCCACTCTATTAGACACTCCTACCTTGTCAGTCCACCTTGTAGATGTAAAGTCAGAGACGATAGCTCATCTGCTGCTGCACAGTTTGTGTTGGTCATTCTCTAGTCCTTCATCAGTGGTCACAGGATGCTGCCCACAGGACACTGTTGGCTGGATATTTTTGGTTGGTGGACTATTCTCAGTCCAGCAGTGACACTCCAAATAGTACCTGCTCTGTGAGGGTCCATGGGGGTCCTGACCACTGAAGAACAGGGTAAAAAGGGGCTAACAAAGTATGCAGAGAAACAGATGGACTACAGTCTGTAATTGTAGAACTACAAAGTGCACCTATATAGTAAGTGGAGCTGATAAAATGGACAATCAACCTGGAAACAAGGAGGTGGTCATAACGTTATGCCTGATCGGTGTAAGCACTACCTTAAATCATTTTGACAAGCCTTGCTTTTGTGTAGCTTAGTGACGTCAAATTGATATGCAGCAGCAATGGCTTGAATGTAGCAATATTAGTATTAAGACTCTTTAACAACTTTGTAATTCAGAGGATCCAGTGATATA